CACAAACATGTCATGGATGTACCTTGGCGCTGAGAAAAAAGAGGCACAACAAGTGCATCTAGCTGTTTTCAAACCATTCAGAGAGCGCTGCTGCCACCTGCTGGCTCGATTCAATATGCTCTCAAGCTTATCCCCATACATATTAGATATAATAGACATCTGGGAACATGAAAATAGCGGAAAACGCAATTGACTTAATAGTCCGTCAATGGCATGGCAACGCCATGTAAAATTCATTCGCGGGCCGGATTTGGCCCGCGGGCCTTGACATTGACACATGTGACTTAAATGGTGATGATTGGCTATTTCAATGATGGTTTAGTTGCAATGAATTATGTTGGAATCTCCACCCACAAGTGTCAGCAGTGTATTTAGTGTAAAAACCTACAGTCAAAGCCATCTGACTGATGTGTGTACCTCTGTGTGTTCTCCTTCTGTGAACACACGCTCACATCAGCACCATCTTCACGCCGCAGACAGACTTGCAACTCGTCAATGGCAGCAAGGTTTTCTCTAACGGTTTCTATGGTAACGCAGGAAAAAGTGTCTATGAAAAGAGTGAGTCGGTCATTTGTTGCATTAAACAAGACTGAAATTATAACGTGATGCTTATGAATGAGGCTGTTCGGGGTTTTTGCACCGCCATAACACAATGTATAACTAGTTTTGGTTTAATTAAATACAAGTACGACTGCTCTTCCTCTTTTGATCTTTTTACTAGTAGAATAATGAATCTTCTTTTGCTGGTTCATGATTGGTATCGATTCAAAAATCTTTAAAGCAAGATAATGCTTGATTCACAAGTTGAATCCCCTTTTGTTTTTTAATAGTAATTGTCTTCTTGTCCTTTTATTGTTTTGCATACAGTAGGAAGCTAGTAAGATGCATGTGGTCAACATTTCTTTGGTCGACTACAGAGGTAACAATTAATCGGACGAATCTCTTGTCTCATATTAGGGTGTAGCATTTTTTGTTTTGATTTATATATAGCACATTTTCATACAGCATTGCAATTCAATTCATTTTACAACGACCGTGTTGAAAGGTCTTCATTTCCTTAGTTTTGCAGTACAAAGGGATACATTAAAAACACAACAGAAGAAAAACGTTGTACATTCAAAAAAGTCCAAGTTGCCCATAGGTGCAAACTTCACAGTCAGTCTTTTAGTTTGCATCTTACTAGTTGCTGCTTCAATCTTTGTGCTGGACCTTTCTGAGTTTTCACATTTCTCTCTGTGTCTCCAAAGCCTCAGCCATAAGCTTACTCTTCATCAACCTGTTAAGTTTCAAGTGGCATACTTTGTCATTTCTATTTTAGGGACTTTAGAAACTTATTAGTGTTAAGTGGTTGTTGGTTGAGTTCCTTCTGCTCTGCCCCTGCTCTACAGAGATAATCCTTTACTTCAGTGTGTTGATTTTCAAAATAGTATTTCTATTCTGCATAATGTTAAGAGATGATGTGTGGTGTATGCTGCGTCAGATGTGAACTTGCAGCACATAGGGCTATAGGATTAACGTATGGATTAGTGTGGATGTATTTTAATATTTCCCCAGTCCCACGCGTCCTTCTCTGGATCCCTGTTAAAGCCTTTGACATCATAATACTCGTGTGACCCGGTCCGACCCCCAACAAGCTTCAGTGATGTCTTGTACAGCGTTGAGTTATGAGACACTATAGCAGCCAAAGGGCAGGAAGGACAATTGGATCATAGTTGTAGCGCAGACCAAACCATAAATAACGTGGGATTTTAATCTCAGTTTTGATTGTATGATCTGTAAGTGAAACGTATGTAAGTAGCAACAATGATTGTGCGATCTCACATCTTTTACCTTTATAGTTTTGTTGTTAAATTCTAGTGCATGAGTATTATATGTGGTTAGATAAAGACATGAGCAGATAACTGCAAAGTCATTCTTTCATTCATACTGGCCATTATTGTCTAATAGTTAGATTTTCAATATCTTTAAGAAACCAATCTAAAGAAGAACAATGTGACTGTGGCACAAACAGTTTATGTTCATATACGGTACACATATTAATTTGCCAATATATAATCCTGCAATTCTTGGTCTGATTCAAACATTTGAAATTACAATTCTAATAATTTATATGAATATTTTACCTTTTTTGAGTTCCATGCCCAGTCTTCCTTATCGTGCAGTTAAACTGACAAGAGTGGGAATCTAGAGAAACAATATCTATGGTAATGAATTACAGTGATGGCCTTATATTTTAGTATTAGGATGTATCAGATACAAATAAATGCACACCCTTTAGAATAAATAATTTATACAAGTCTATTCTATATTTCTTTTGACAATGGACACAGAATGATCAAATCTTTTCCTGTATTCTAATCTCCATTTGTCGCTTGTTTTTCTCTTTGTAAATTTCAATCTTAATCCATAATGTCAAATCTCGGACATGAGATTTCAGAAAATGCATTTACAAAAAACAGTGGTGTGTTTTTCAACCTGCAAGAGCAGAACCCTTATAATCCAATATTTGGATTAGTTGGATGTGCTTTTCATCATGCTTTTTACAAACAAAATTGCTTCTAATTTTAGCAGCCAGTTTTACAGTCCATTCACTTTGGCACATGGTATGATGTATTAGCGCACCGTCTGCTCTGTAATTCTCTAAAACGATTGTATATGGCTCTGAGTATTTCTGTGAGTGACAGATCCGCACAGCTGTACACTGCACACATGTGTAACGGGGTCACTGAAGTACAGGCTGTTACTGAGACTGTGCTGAGAGGATGCTGACAAGCTCAAGAGTCTCTGCTGAGAGGAGCTAATTGGTCTGAAGCGATATATGAACTTTGAAATAAAACATACTGTTCAAGTTTACACGGTTACACTGGATAAAGATGCACAAGGTTGTTTTTTTTATGCACAATAACAGTGAAAATAAAATGTGAATGGTGAATAAATGTTAGTATTTAGAGAATACACTTCCTGACTGTGGCTCAAACTTACAAAGTTATTTTAAGCTCATCAAATTGTTTAGCGTTTTGTGTGACACCCATAGAGACTTCACATTCACTTGCTCAGGTTCTGGAAGTGGTTAAAATGGGAGTCCACAACTGCACAGAAAGCTGCTGATCTGATGCAGCATGTGGTCCACTGATCCTATCTTGCTGAGTAAAAAGTTATATGAAAGATTCTTTAGTCTAATTTTCTGCTTCTCCAGTTAGGTAAATAAGGAATTTAAGTTTAAGGAATACGTTTGCATCTCTACGCATTTTTCACTTAATTACTATTGGAGCTAAGGTAGCTATTTTTTTAGTTTTTAACTCAATCTTCAGTCAATCCCAATATTGGGGCAAGGAGGAAATGATTACATTTTGAAGCTGGTCTGCATCTTGGATGTTTTCAGGGAATGGAACAGTGGTTGTTCTCTCTGAGAGATAATTCTAGGCAAGGCAAGTTTATTTATATAGCACAATTCATACACAAGGCAATTCAAAGTGCTGAACAAAATAAAGCATTAAAATCATAAATAATCACAGAACATTAAAAAGAAAGATAAAAATATAAAATCCCTCAGTTGTACTTGTGATTGTGAATTTAGTATAAGATAACAGTGGCTGACTTTATAGAATGTATTAAAATGTATGATTCATGTGTCCAGATGTGCAGAGCAAACACTTGATTCTATAAAAATGTAAATGTCTGTTTATTGAAGCTCCACCTTGTCCTGCCCCTTGAGTGAGCCAGTATTATAACGTGAGTGAGATTTAATAGACCAGTTAAATCCACGTTGGTAATATGGCACTTGCTGTACTCTGCTGTTTTCCATGGAAAGTTTGTTAAATGTGAGTGATTTCAGAGCTGAGAAAAGCAGGGTCTGAGTGCACTTGCAATGCAATAAACTTAAGGACGTGGCAGATGGCAGGTGCAGAATGCAATATCCAAAACAGCCAGTGATGATCTTTTATGATGGCATAAAGGTCAAGTGCCAATTAAGAAGTCCTGTAAAGTGACGCAACACTTCATTTAATGCTTTATGCATTGGTCCTTTTTCCGGCTGCGAAAAACGGGTATCCTGCATGTACTTTTCAGAAATTAATATAATGCATATTAGTGGCTTAAAGAAATGGCGCAAAATGTTTGTCATTTTTTTGCAAATCTTTTTGAGCCTGAGTGTAATCTTATCTTAGTAGGATTACAGATGTTCTGTGGGGGTCCCTGAGGTTCGATAAGATAATATTAGTTATTAAACAGCATCATGAAGTCCAGGGAACTGAGAAGAGAGGTCGAGAATTATGTTAAAACATGGTTAGGTTAAGAAAAAGGTGTCCCAAAATATGTGGCAAAATGTGTAAAAGGGTAAGAATGAAGGTGAGGCCTTTTGCATTTGCTTCTAGCTTTCCTTTGAGTAGTATATTTGAGGGATTTATACCATGTCTGAGTTTTTCTAAATTATGATTAAAGCTAGGGTTCAAAATTATTTTAATCCATTGGTCACAAATGCATATCCTTGGTATTCACATGCATATGTCTGACCACTAGAACAGCTTTTACTCTCACACCATTCTATGAATCCAGTTTCATTTCTAGGTTTATAAATGTAATGTGTGCTTTTAGAGTTATACAATGATACTTTGAAATATTTCAGAGGGCTAGATCTTTAGTTCTTTAGTCTGTTGCCTCTCAACAGTTCACACGCAGAGTAGGATACTTCAAACCCACCATATCTACTGTGGATATTTAACCTTTGGAGTGGTGCCATTTCTAAACCAGGTCTAAAACAGGCTTTTTATGAGCCTAAATAGCCTTGAGAGTTTTTTTCAACATCACTCAATGAGTCCTTTAGGTCTGAACTACAGAACGTGGGTCCACCACGAGTTTTTTTTTTTGTCGACTATCTGTATTTGAATCCTTTTGAGATCAGTCAGACTCATTTCTGTTTCACTAATTTTCTCTTTCTTTGTTTACCGTGCAGCTGTGGGCCTCCACCTCCTCCTCCTCACTGGCATCCGTGTCCCAGAACCATGGGGAAGCAGAACAGTAAGCTGCGTCCTGAGGTCATGCAAGACCTTCTGGAGAGCACCGACTTCACCGAACACGAAATTCAAGAATGGTACAAAGGCTTCCTACGGGACTGTCCCAGCGGCAACCTGTCCATGGAGGAGTTCAAGAAGATCTACGGCAACTTCTTCCCTTACGGAGACGCGTCCAAGTTTGCAGAGCACGTCTTTCGCACTTTTGACGCGAACGGTGATGGGACAATAGACTTTAGGGAGTTTATCATTGCTCTAAGTGTGACGTCGCGTGGGAAACTGGAGCAGAAGCTGAAGTGGGCCTTTAGCATGTACGACTTGGACGGCAACGGCTACATCAGCAAATCAGAGATGCTCGAGATTGTACAGGTGAGTGCTAATCCAGTTTAGGATTCTTCAGGGGTCATTTCTAAATAATTGCATTTATCTTCTTCATAGAGATGTATTTATTTGTATTATTACAAAGAGCAAGAGTTGGCTGTTCTGTGTCTCCCAACTTTCTTTGGTTCGGGCTGCCTGCCTCTCACTGATCATTTTCCCAATATTGGCCAAAATGCAAAAAGAGAATCAATACATTTTGTGGAAAAGGGAGAGGAGGATGGATTGGAGAGGGACTATTTCATTTAGGCATTTTGGGCACAATAGCTGAGTGGGTAGCAAGATGTGTCTGGGTGGGTTTCCTCCAGGTGCTTCGGTTTCCCCCACCACCCAATACAGGCACCATAGATGATTGTCCAACTCTGGTAGTCCTGAACTATAGTGACACTGCTGACAGGTGCCTTAGTGGCATTGCAGGATGGTCTCATGCACAGGACAAATACACATTGCTGCTACTTCTTCAGTGCAGTGTGAATGCGTTATTCTGCTCACGGAAATGTATTAAATGGGCTCTTATTCTACTTTCGCCTTTGTGGTTAATTTTTAGATCCAACACTCATATAGAATACATATTGCACTGTTTTCCATGAGTCATTCTTGGCTTGCCTCAGAAAACAAATACTAAAATATGTTTATGGAATCCTGTGCACTGACAGTTGAACCAAATTCATTTTTAAAGCTGCAGAAGTGAGCGACAGAGCGATGTACACACTGTAACTTCTACACTAACCAGCTCCTGATCATTAAACACACGCATCATGAAGCGCTGCGGAGGAGGTCAGTCTCCGAGGGGACTTTCTCCAGAGCCTCAATACCCATTTTGACACCAGGATAACATTCTATAAACTGGACAATGAGCTGCATGAGTCAAACCTCGTGGTAATGGTGCCATAAGGTTTATTAGTAGTTCAGTTTGTCATCAAAATCCTATATAACTTTTTTAATAAAAACGTTTTATGAAAGACCAAACACTTTTTAAATAGAACACTCATAGAGTGCAGACCTCTGCCTACATTTTTGATCCTCTTGACAACCCTGGACTACAGTCACCCCAGTACTTGTTTTACACAGGACATGGAGTATTTTACTGTTTTATACAATCTTTACAAAATGTGCTTTAATTTAATTACAATTCACTTTTTAATCCTCAGAGTGTGCTTTTCACAACTCTAACTGCAGGCTACACATTTATGCACTTTAATATTCTTTGGCCACATACCAAGCGGTTATCTTTACCCAATAACAGCGTTAGTGACTTGAATAGTGCGCTGCAGCCGTCTGTACTGAGAAGATATCTTCTATTTGTTTGTATTTCTTTTCTATTGAGGAACTTTTATTTTAGATCGTTTAGGATTCTCAACGCCGCTTCTTGCTTGTCGTCAGGGAGTGTGATGTATTGCTTCCGTATATACAATATCCCAGTTTAGTACGGTATACTGTAAACTTGTCGGGGTTTTTTTGCCAAAACTCTTGTTTTCTATATGACAGTTTAATCTTTTGACTGTTTTGTCATTATTACTTATAATAGCCACAATCGTGATGCGTTTGTGTTGTTATTACTCCACTCTTCCTCCCTCTCAACTGTTAAGTCTTTTCTGCCCACGTCTCTTTGGATCAAGGTTAAGTTCATCTCCAGATCACTCAGGACAATGGTGATTCACCCGGTCAGCTTTCTTTCGGCGCACTGCACTCAAGATCCAAAATGCATGACATATTTGTCGTTCATTAGTATTCTATATGGATATACAGAAGACAGATTTTTACTGCAATTCTATTTTAATTTTCTATTTCAATAACCCATACCTAGATTTTCAAGAAAAGACTCATACTGTGCATATGATTCCAATCTGACATACATTAGAGTCATGCTTGTTCGTAAGTGGGGCTGTATTTAACAATTGTTTTTGATATTTGTGTAGTTGGCTGGATTAGTTTTAGATCCCTTTTAGGTTTTAGAAAACTTCTTCTCAGCCTGTTTAAGTCTATGTAAGGTTAAAGAAACTACTAACATTTCAGGAACAGCCCTTGTTTAAGTGGAGAAAAAATTGAGTCATGGTGCTTTGACGTTCACTGTCCTTCATAATATGCTCGGAAGGAAGTGGTAATGTTGTCCAGAGGTGACTATAATGTAGTCACCTCTTTTGGCCCAGAGACTTCAATAACCTCTCATATTATATTCCATTTCCATTAAGACTCAATAACTATAGCACCATACTGCACATGATGGCGGCTGATGTAATCTGATGTATTCACGCGGCCTTCATCACGCAGCAGTGTTGTCACTTGTCAGGCCTCATGCATCAGTCTGTGCTCTTATTGATGTGAGGCTACATTTAGAGCTCTAAGAGGCTCACCCCGTTAAGGCTACCTGTTCAAGATTACAGCGGCTTTAGCTAGAGGGAATATTAAATGGATCATGGTCAAAATAGACTTTGTTTTGAGGTTCAACACAGTGAGGATCTTAGTTTGGAAGTATTAGCTGTTTATTCATTTATTGTTACTTTTTTCTGTTAAATTGTGTATTACCATGTTTGTGATGTCACATGAACCTGAGGTTCTGGTCTTGGAGCAGTTTTGTTCCAAACTGTAAAACGCTTTGTGAGAGGTAAAAAACTCACATTTGAAAAACAAACAGTTTTGAGAGATATTATTTTTTTTGCCCCGTTACTATTCCCGCTTTAATTTACATTGTGGTGCAGTAAGTACAGTCTTCATTACAAGCACAGTTGGTGTAAGCCAGGGGTTAGCAGCAGCAACTTGAAAGTCAGACTTACTTGTAATTCAATATAGTAATACTTATACTATGACTAGGCTTTAATACTTAACCCCTTGTGATACCCTCGGGTCAAAATGACCTCCTACTGTGATTAAAAGTAGAAGGAAAATGCTTTAAAAGGGTTGTTGTTTTTTGGTATAGTGTATTTCTTAATCACTGGCGGGCCAATTTGAATGAACAAAAGGTCCTTAATGTCTCAGAATCCTCCTGGTCTCGCAGGTGTGCAGCTCATACCCTGAGTGTCCTCTCCTCACCTCATGTAGTTTGTGTCTATCTCAGCTCAGCAGGAGGTGTTGTCTTCCTATCCACTGAAACACCTCTTTTTCAGGCTTCTTGTAAGTCTTTTTCCACTAAAGTTTGTGTGTGTGCGTGTGCACGTACGTTTGTGTGTTTGCACGTGTGTGCGTCTGTGTGTATGCGCGTGTGTGTGTGTGTGTTGGTGAATCAGATGTGAAGATCAAGCAAAAGGTCTCAGTAAGGAGTCTGCGGGTGAGAACAGTGGGAAGTGAATGTGGTCGATGTTGTCTGAAGGCCACCACAAAACACACAAAAATAACTAATGAGTTTTTAAAGAGGTTTGGATTCAAAAGTGGTGAGGGCAAAACAACTGGTTGGCAAAAGGCTGGTTTTGGCTGGTTGACAAGCCTCATAGTAAAGGAGGATGTTGAGCCTTTAATTTGGTTAAAGTCCCATTCATTTCTGATGTCATTTTGATTTAGTCCTGTTTAACCTAATCTGGAGGTTTCAGGGGTTATTTTTACACAGTAAATGTTATAACATTTTAATAACATTAGGATGATAAAAGCCATATGATTCACACTTTACAACACTTGTTGTCTGCGGACACAAGTTAAGATACATTTGGCATATTTCATCACTTTTTGCAGTATAGTAAAAAAATGTGTTAACAATATTACAATTTTCCAAGTTACACCTATACCGTCCTCTTTAAAGCTGCAGTCAATATATATCCAGACGCAATTTTTAAAATACTGTGGTGAAACGTCCCTAAACCCTAAAGTAGACGAGTTATCATGTGTGAATGGACATGACCAGATGCCTGTAACCTCAAATAATAAATCATAAATATTTTGGAGCGGACCGATCGAACAAAACCAATGAGATGCTTTCATTCCTCATCTCCTCCCTCCTGCTTTTCGTCAGTGCTCACACCTGAGTGTTTGACTTTCTTAAACACCTACAATGGCTCAACAGAAAAGCCCCAGTGCCAAATGCACTTTTGCTTCCCTTTCGCCCTGTTGTGGCAAAGAAGAGCCAGGGCTATAAAGCAAAAGCAGTAAAGTTTTGCTAATGGCTAGTTTGTTAGGGGAGGCTAGCGCTTGTCAAGTACGGCAGGTAAACAGACTTGAGCCCTTTTGTAGTGTAATGCTTTCACATCAGTCTGCGTTATTACAGAAACGCCTTTCATTTGTGCTGGAGTTGTGTTTGGCGGAGGGCAGGGAGGAGAGGTTGTGGTTTTGATTCTGTGCTATACTGCTAAGCTAACCTGAATCATTTACTGCACCTTTAAGTACCTTCATGATGTGTTGTTGGAAGACTTTTAAAATGTATTTTTAGGAAATGGTCATACTGTACATGAACATATTGAAACACAATACATAAAAAAATACCATTTTGGTATTGTTGCAGGCGATCTACAAGATGGTGTCCTCAGTGATGAAGATGCCAGAAGATGAATCGACGCCCGAGAAGAGAACAGAGAAAATATTTAGGCAAATGGACACCAACAGAGACGGTCAGTACTCAGTCCCATCACATGTCAACTTACTTTACTTAACTGTGCAATAATCATTTGAATAATGTCAGAATGTGCAATATAAAGAACCTCATACTGCTAACATGTATGTCGGATGCATGCAAATACTAACGTCAGAAATACTTAATTCTAGCTTCTTTATTATGCTAAAGTTAGAGATTTTATTTTATTTAGTATTGAGTTGTTGTTCAATTATCTTGATGTGTGCTCCTCATTCCTACTGTTCTGTAACCGGTGATGCAACACTGAAATTTCCTCACTGTGGGACAAATCTCTCAATCCTACGTTCAGTTCAAAGCCACTGAGAAACAAATGATCTGACATGTTCAGATAATTTCAGTAAAAATGCAAAACATAAGATAAAATGTTATTGTCAGGGCCTCGAATGAATGAAATACTGAATAAAGTGAATGGTTTCAGGCGTATAAAAGCTTTGAGGATAAACTCTTTTCTTGGTCTGAGTAGTATTTAGTCAGCTACAGGTGAAACTCTGAAAATAATAATACGTGCATATACGGTTTTTCTGTAATTCAGCTTTAAATGTGAAACCAATATACAATATAGACTCATTACACACAGTGCCATATTTCAGGCTTTTGTGTCTGAATATTTTTAGGATTATGGCTTGCTGTGTATTTTCAAGATATTTCAATTTGATCAGATGTTTTACAAGCACTCACTTCTATCATCCATCTTATTAGTTTCACACTGTGCGTAGAATTACAGAAGTATATCAAACAGTATTAAAATATTTTGAGGTTCTAATTTGCTATAATAATAGAAAATAGTGTAGATCTATAGTAGTTAGAGGGGGAAGTATACAAGCTGATATAGGACTGAAAAGGCTACGAAATGTTCATAGATTTGCTGAACCATTTAAACTCCTGCAGGCCAAAATGCTGTTTTTTCATGATTACAGAAGATTATAGCTCAATTCAGTTCAATTTATTCTTATATAGCCCTAAATCACAACAGTAGTTATCTCGGAGCACTTTATAAAAACACATTTGCCATCACATATCAATGAAACCAATAGTTCAAACACAAGAAATAAGATGAGAGAAACTGTATTCATCTCACAAATGGAGAAATGTGCATGTCACATTTGGCCTAGACAGACTCACTCAGATAGTGCAAAAGACAGAAGTGTGTAAACATGTTAAGGTTAAGAAAATAGTCTGTGCAGGATAAATTATGTACAATAAAAAGTGGAAATGGCAGTGCTGGTTTTTCAGTCCTAGTGCAGGTCATTAGTGACTTATAGTGACTCATTGTACAGTCTGAAACGCAATGATATAAACCACCTAGAGCCATTGGTCCATAAGCGGCAGATGATTTATGTCCATAAATGGTGATAAATGTCCAAAATTGTTGTTGAATGTGTAAGTAAGTAAGTAATTATTTATATACCGCCTTTTCACTGCAGATCTGAGTCTCAAAGCGGTTTACAATTGTTATTTTTTTGGGCACTTGTCTCTCACTCCACACAGAGATGGGAGCGGGGCCAGTACAGGAGTGCCTGGATCATCCCTAGACCCTCCTGCATCAACAAGGAGAAAACGCTTTTGTGTGTAGATGTGAACAATTTACTTCTGACAGAACAGAAATGGCCGAGAGCTTTCAAAACACTAGTACTACCGAGTGGTAATGGAAAGCGTGGGTTTGTCTGAATTAAACACATTTGCACTTACAAAAAGCGCACAACTATTGTCATTGTCAGTTTCTCTGTTTGATCGGTGGATTTGTCGGATGAGATGCAGAGTCCTCGTTTAAATTGTAAATGTGCTGTATATTTTGTCGGTGCCACCTGGTTTTCTGGCCCGTCATTCACACAGAACTGGTTTTCCATCGCTGAGAGCTCTCCAGACTCAAGCAGCCATTGGAGACGCAGTTCACACCAGACGCACACACACGCCAGCAATGAAGCAGACGTTACACTCATTCATTCAACAGTGATGAACACATAAGCACAATTATAATAACAGAAGAATTTAGGAAAAATTGTATTTAAAGGTGATATCTGTAACTTCAAATTAAAAAAAATAATGAATAGATCATTTTGACTATATGACAGAGTTGTATTGTAAGACTACTTCCTGCTCTGGACAGAGCAGTCGCATTCTCTTGCTGCTCCTCGCTTGCTGCTTTTTTATCTCCTTTAATCATTTTTGTTTACATTTTTATTCCACAAAACACGGATTACTCCTTTTTACAAACTTCAACACAAGACTGGTGGAATTTACCTAACTTACAGCATGTCGGGAGGACGGGAAAATAGAACAAAAATTTGCGACGGCTGTTTTTCACTCAAACAGGAGCTAAAACTTCTTCAAGACCGAATGTTTGTGCTTGAATCAGAATTGGGGCTGAACACAACAATACCAGTGAAAGGAAATGGACCACATGGACAAAACGTAAGTTATGATGACGCTATTTCATTTCCCAAAATCAACAGAGACAATTGTTGGAACACATATGGTGCCAAGCCCAAACAAGGCAAAGCTAATGATAACAAGAGTGTCATAATGCCACAGCAAAAATCTTTAATTACAAGAAACCGCTTTTCACCACTTTTGGAAGATGAATCAGCAGTAGTCTCTCAGTCCCAGTCTCAGTCTCAGTCAAGGTCAAATGCAGCTGAGTCGCTCTTTATCGGGGATTCGGCGATAAGAAATGTAAATATGCGTAATCTCAAGGTTCACTCAGTACACTCTGCCAAAGTGGATGAGATAAGGCGGTTGGCTCCGAGGCTTCTGTCTGAGACCGGCGGGGTAAAAAGATTGTTGATCCACGTGGGGGCAGTAGACGTCTATGACAACACAAGTGAAAAGTTGAAACGGGATTACTCTCTATTATTGGACGACCTTGCTAAAATGGACACAAAAATCGTTATCAGTGGCCCACTACCAAATGTGGACGGGAAGCAAATGAAATTCAGTCGTCTGTATCAGCTAAATACTTTCCTACTCAACGAATGTTCACGCAGAGGACTTGCCTTCATTGAGAATTTTAATCTGTTCTGGAATAGGCATGAGCTTTTTGAAGGGAAAGGGCCACATCTGAACACTTACGGAGTAAAAGTGCTGATGGATAACCTTTCTTTTGCCCTGAGATCTCAGCCTGCGCAGCGCGTGCAGCCATCGAAAGGGAGGAAGCCGACTCCAAAAGTCTCTGCACCTCCACCACCTCGAAGGATCTCAACACCACCACCACCTCAAAGGATCTCAACACCACAACCACCTCGAAGGATCAACACCTCCACTGTCATCAGAAGCAGCTGCATCATCACCAGCAGCAGCTGCATCATCACCAGCAGCAGCTGCATCATCACCAGCAGCAGCTGCATCATTACCAGCAGCAGCTGCATCATCACCAGCAGCAGCTGCATCATCACCAGCAGCAGCTGCATCATCACCAGTAGCAGCACCAGCAGCACGACCACCACCACCATCCTCATCCCCAGCCTGCTCCAAAGCAGCCACGCCTTCTTCATCTACAGCGCCTCTGAAGCCCCAATCCTCACCCCAGCCTACAGCAGACAGGCCTGTGCTGGGGTTTCCTCAACCACCTGCCCCTCCATTAAAGACTCCCTCGCCACCTCCCAAGGACCTGTCTTGGGTCCCCCCTGCCACGTCCACTCCATCAAGAGAGAATGGGGACACCTCCCTTTGTTTTTCATCCCCGCCTTCACTGTTAGCCCTGCAGAGTGTTCAGGTAGGTCTAATAAAATCGGCGATGAAGACTATTCCTCTCACTCCCATATTAGCTCGATCTAGAGTCCTGTCCAACATTCTAAACCACTCCCCATATGTACCTCCAAAACCACCTAGGGTTTCCAATTCACCTACAAAAACCACCTCAGCCAGTCCCTCCCCTAACCTCATGACCATTCCACCCCCACTTCCCCCTCGTTCAACATCCAAAACCTCTGCCTCAGCCCACCCCGGCCCTAACCCATCACCTAAAACCCCTCCACCTCCCTGCCCCCCTCGTTCAACACCCAAAAGCCACCCACCTCTCCATCCTCCTCCCCCGCCTTCCCCTACCCCTCTTTTCTCTAAACACTAGGATGCACAGGGTCTCTGCTTCGCAGCCACTGGCAGTCTAGTTAGAGGAGAGACCCGGCTGGGGCCCTGTCATGAAGCCACCTGTGCCATTCCCTTAGTGATAACACAAAGAATACATTACAGAAAAACATCTGGAGTTAATCAGTCTAATCTGGAAAATCTAATTCTTGTTCCGTGTAAGAATCAGCCGACCGCAACCGCTGATACTGAAACTTTGAAACTTGCTACGCTTAATGTCAGATCTCTTTGTAACAAGTCTTTTTTAATCAATAATTTTATTTCTTCTCATAATCTTGATCTTATGTTCATGGCTGAAACTTGGCTTGACCAAAATTCAGAAAATGCAGTTTTAATAGAAGCATCACCACCAAATTTCAAGTTTGAATCTGAAATACGGGAAAACAAAAAAGGAGGAGGCTTAGCTGCCATTTTTAGAGACCACTTTGTCTCCCATAGAATGTCTCTTGGGAAGTTTTCGTCATTTGAATATGTGTCTTTTAAAATACAACAAAAACAATCTCCTCCAATACTCTTCGTTGTCCTATACAAGCCACCGCAGTCATGTCAGTTTTATTGATCATTTTACCGAGTTGCTTTCAGTTGTATGCACAGATTTTGATAGTTTGGTTATTACAGGTGATTTTAATATTCATGTGGATAATGTTGATGACAGAAATGCAAATGAGCTGAGTTCTGTACTTGAATCCTTTGATCTCACTCAGCACGTAAGTGGCCCCACCCACAGCAGAGGGCACACTCTAGATCTGTTAGTTACAAAGGGGGTGATTATTTCAAATGTAAACGTGGTCGATGTTGCTCTTTCGGATCATTTCTGTGTTTTTTTTGACATGTGTTTCACTAACAAACCACCAGTGGACTCTGCAACTGTTCGAAGAAGGCGCATAAATGAAAATACGAGTGAACTATTTATGGAAATGATAAACTTTGAGAATGCATCGTATTCTACTGTAGATGAACTGTTTAACTCTGTCACCTCTAGTGTTTTGAATGTTCTGGATACCGTTGCCCCTGTGAAGGTTAAAATAGTGAAAAATAAGCAGAAGGCGCCGTGGGCTAAAGCAGACTCGGTCAGGGCACAAAAGAGAAAGTGCCGGAGGGCCGAGCGGAAGTGGCGCAAGTCCAACCTCCAGGTAGATTACGAGATCTTCAAAGATAAGTTGTGCGAGTTTAACCGGGTGCTACGTAGTACGAGAGAAAGGTATTTTTCTGAAATGATTGAAGGCTGCAGCAACAATCTGCGTGTTCTGTTCTCAACAGTTAATAGATTAACAAACCCCCCTGTTCAAATGCCATTAGAGCTTACTTCCAAACGTAAATGCAATGAGTTTGCTAATTTTTTCAATGACAAGGTTCAAGGCATCAAAAGCGCCATTGTCTCCAATCCACAGATAACCATCCAACAGCCAGAAAGGCTCTCTGAGCTAACTCACTTTGCACCTGTAAATGATAAAACTGTCCAAGAGATAATCTCCAGTTTGAGCTCCTCCACATGCAGCCTGGATGTACTACCCACTAGATTTCTGAAGTCTGTTCTGAGCAGTCTGTTACCTTCACTCACACAGATAGTAAACATGTCCCTTCATACTGGAATATTCCCAAAGGCCCTGAAAACTGCAGTCATCAGGCCCCTGCTAAAAAAGAGCAGTCTGGATGCCACTGTACTTAACAACTATCGTCCCATCTCAAATCTGCCATTTATGGGGAAAGTCCTTGAGAAAGTTGTCTACCTACAGCTTACTAGATTTCTTATAATCAACAACTCATTTGATATGTTTCAGTCCGGCTTTAGACCCCACCACAGCACTGAGACTGCTCTCGTTAAGGTTACAAACGATATCCGGCTGAACACTGACGCAGGCAAAGTCTCAATCTTAATCTTGTTAGATCTAAGTGCTGCCTTTGACACCGTCGACCATGAGATCCTCTTACAGAGACTAGAGGACTGGGTTGGCGTCACTGGCACCGCCCTAAGTTGGTTTAGGTCTTACCTTGAAGACAGGAAGTACTTTGTGGAGATTGGAAACTGTGTCTCAGATCATATGGCCCTGACCTGTGGAGTCCCACAGGGGTCGATCCTGGGACCTCTTCTGTTCAATCTCTACATGCTGCCGTTAGGTCAGTTAATACGCAGAAACAAAGTTTCCTATCATAACTATGCAGACGACACTCAGATCTATGTCTCACTGACTGCAGGAGAACATGGACCAGTGGACTCACTCCTTCATTGTATCCAACAGATCAGTGAGTGGATGCAAAACAACTTCCTTCAGCTAAACGCAGACAAAACTGAAATGATTGTCTTTGGTCCCCAGAAACAAAGAGAGCGTCATCTGTCACCTACAGTCTCTCTCCCTAAAACCTTTAAACAAGGTCAGAAATCTAGGGGTAATACTGGACTCAGACTTAAATTTTAATAGCCACATCAAATCAGTAACATCAGCAGCTTTTTACCATCTAAAAAACATTGCCAGGATCAAAAACATAGTGTCTAAAGCAGACTTGGAGATTCTTATCCATGCATTTGTCTCCAGTAGGTTAGACTACTGCAATGGCCTGCTCACAGGTCTGTCCAAACAGGCTGTAAAACAGCTGCAGTACATTCAAAATGCAGCAGCTCGAGTCCTGACAAGAACCAGGAAGTACGACCACATTAGTCCAGTCCTCAGGTCTCTGCACTGGCTTCCTGTGGCTCAGAGAATAGACTTTAAAACAGCTCTGCTTGTGTACAAGTCTCTCCATAGCCTCGCACCAAAATATATTAGTGACATGTTAGTCCCATATGAACCAGCCCGGACTCTGAGGAGCACAGGGACTGGACTCCTGTTAGTGCCCAGAGTCAGAACTAAACATGGGGAGGCTGCTTTTCAGATTAATGCTGCTAAAATCTGGAACAGTCTTCCTGAAGATGTGAGACAGGCCTCCTCTCTGACAATGTTTAAAACCAGGTTAAAGACGGTTCTGTTTAACTGTGCATACAACTGAGGGATTTTATATTTTTATCTTTCTTTTTAATGTTCTGTGATAATTTATGATTTTAATGCTTTCTTGTTTTGTTCAGCACTTTGAATTGCCTTGTGTATGAATTGTGCTATATAAATAAACTTGCCTTGCCTTGCCTAAACAGTTCCTCCCCTTGGAATGTGCATCACCGGTAAGAATTGATGGATGGAGAATAGTTAGACCAATGGTGAGGGGCCTCAGCTGTCCGTCAAAGATTTAAATGGATTGTGTCCAATCAGGAACCTGTGGGGGCGGGTCTATCTGGCTCTTGCGTTCAAAAATATCTCTCCCTTCTTCACAATTTGAAAAGTTACTGACATTCACTTTAAAGCTTGAGTCTGTCACATTGTAGCCGTAATGTATATAAGTAACAAATATGATTTATGTAGTATATTTCCTAGTTGTGCCCTAAATTATATAAAAAATGAATTCTCACTGTGAGAATCTCCCAGACGTCTGAGTCAGGGTTTTCCCAAATGTTTATATCCATAAAATTGTTCATATGATAAGCCACTTCCAGAAAGTATGTCCAGTCACAAAAACATTTCCCAACAGACTTTTTTGTTATAACAAGCCCAATAGCGGTAATGTATAACTACAATAAAAAAATGAACTATTTGCATGTTTTCATCAAGTTGGATGTAGATCACTTTTTGTCATTGTTCAAAAAGAATATTATATAGATAAATAAATCCACACACTATCAATATATTACTTATTAGTATTAAGGCATTTCTTGGTGAAGAGTGTCGGTCAAAACATACCATTGAATTAAAATTAAACTGAAAAAAGGAATCAACTAAACTAAACTGAAATCATTTTAAGAGTGCATCATACCTTTTTTTTCTTTTCTAACCTTACACCCCTCGGCCCTGGTATCTCTACATAAAGGCTCTCCTTCTGTCTTCAATATATTACTTGTGGTGTATTTTCTCTTGGTCACTGTATTTCAAGTATAAATGTGTTAATGATTTCTATCGTTAATTCAGTTTTTAGATCAGTTGAATATTGTCTGGTGAGTGCTGCCATGTGTTGGCCAGAAGGTGACTAATTATTCCTAATCATAATAACCTAGTCCAGTGTTTCGGAGGTACTTCAGTTCCTTCTACTGTAGGCTTTGTGTGGTCCTGTTCAAGACCTGTGTGTGTGTTTATGTGTTTATGTGTTCATGTTAAATGTGATTGTTTGTGTGTTTTTGTAGGTAAACTGTCTCTAGAGGAGTTCATCAAAGGAGCGAAGAGCGACCCGTCCATCGTCCGTCTGCTGCAGTGTGACCCCAGCAGCGCGGGGCAGTTTTAGACCAGAGGCATCAACCAACTCTGTGAGGATCTACACTCTCACACACGTACACACACTGAGAAACACACACTGAGACAAACACACACACAGGTACACACTGAGACACACGTACACACACACACACACACACACACACACACACAGGTACACACTGAGACGTACACACACTGAGACACATGTACACACGTACACACACACACACACTGAGGGGTAAAGACAACACCAAGAGATGAGGGAAAGTGTATGATGGCCTTGTTCACACAGCGACAGTCAATGTAATATTAATCACACCGAAAAAAGTTGACCCAAAGTTAAGCTATTTATTTTCCCTGTCCCATGTTTTTACCGTTATTGGATCACTGCCTCATCATTTCCGAGTAATTCCAGGTGTCACCACAGATAAAGCAGATACAGTATTTATTCAGATTATCAGACATGAACAAATACAACCAATTGTCATGGACGATAGATTTTCAAGGACCACGGGTAAGAATGTATTTACCCATGTGCAAAACCCGTGTCAGAAATGGTGCGTGTGCAGGATGTGGGCGGGGTCACAGCGGAGCCTATTCTCTGCCCGTCTCATATCAGAGCTGATGCAGGCTCTTGGCCAAAGGTGCGCGTCTTTTAAAAGCTCTTTGTGTGGGCTCTGTCTTTGGCTTCTCTTCCAGGTGCTTATATAAACTGGTTTGTTAAAGGATGCACTTGCTAACTTTTAGAGGGATATCAAAGTTAACCAAGAAAAGCTGTTTCAAAATAAAATCCTAGATCCGGAGAGTGAGCAGGATCACCTCCAAAATGTCATAGTTTGTTCCTCTGGTCCGGTTTACTGAATTCATGTTCATATTCATGTTTGTTTTTAAGGGGGTCCTCAAAACGACAGTTACAGTAAACAAATAACATTTTGAGTTATGTTGCAAACTAACAGACAGACAAACCCTGCTCGTGACATTACCCCCTGGTGGAGGTAAGGTGCATCTCAATTTGAAAATAACTTTTAATGATTCCCATATAGATAAACCATAAAACTCCTTTTTGTCTATTCTTGAAAAGGAGTGGGTGTAGTAATTTCATTAGTAATTTTCATAATAAATATAGTTTTAAAACCCCCTTGGAGTAAGCTTCACCAGTGAGATGTGCTGGAGGAGAATGGTTGGACCAAAGGTGAGGAGCCACATCAGTCTATCAAGTCTATGAATGAATCACGTCCAATTAGGACCCTGTAGGGGCGGGACTAACTGGCACAATTAAATTTCAAAAGTAACTATAATTTTCCTGTTACTTGTTTTACAGTTAACTCTTGGGGTTTCTGTTGTCGATCCTTGCGCCTCCTTCACTGGAGCAGAGGATCGTAATGATGACGATGAAGATCGATCGAGGAGTTTCACCCTGAGGACTTCCACTATCAGCTATAGGCCACTCTTTGTTACTGTAAACCCACAACCCAAATAACCCCCTTTGCCCTGTTAACCACCCCCTTCTCCCCCTTCTCCCCCTCCCTCCAGAACAGTGGTTGGACAGCAACAGTTCCTTCCTGTTAAGTATTGTAAGTTCTCTAAAGTCCTCCTCCTCCTCCAGATAGCGGACAGTAAGTTGTAAATACCTGTAGTTGTGTCCAGCCGCCGACGGTGAAGGCAGAACTATTTTCAAAATGGACTCGTGAAGAACTCCCCTTCACTCAGTATTGCTTCTCCTTCTTTTTCTACTGTGAGAATGTGCGTGTTGTATTTTCGAAACAAACTTGATCGACTCGGAGCATATTTTGTGCCGGGACATAAAAGGAGATCAGTGTGCATGTACTATAATGCTACTATGCATTTGCTCTTATCAGTATCAGTTGTTTTTATTTTAGTTCTTCGCAATCGTTTGAGGGAACGCGGCACATTGATTTACAGACTAGAAAACTTGTCGCTCTTTTAGATGTTTCATGCGTGTTCTTTTGCGAGTGTTATTTTCCATATGCTGATGCTGAAAATCTTCTGTGAATCAACTCGCTTAAAAAAACAAGAAGCACTTATTCTTACTGTAATCAACCAAGTATACAGATCTGCTAATACAAATTCACTTTTTTATATCGTACGGTGTAAACTGTTGCTACTTCAGGCATTTTTCTAAGCACAGATTTCCACAGTGTATTTTAAAGCGCATGGATTATAGACTTCTGACACGTATGCATGTGAAAATAGGCAAGTTTACAAAAGGCCAGTCTTGCGCTTTATGTCAGTGTTTGTATCGTGCTTTTAGCCAGTGTTACCGACTTCCAGCGCTGACGACATCCAGATGATTACAGGAGTTCTAATTAAAAACTACAGTGATTCTCAACTGGGTTCGTGGACGCAGTGAAATCATGGCCCAATCTGGATTTGAAATAGGAACGCTGTGTGAAATGTTTGAATGAAGTTTGGTGGATTTTTTAAGTTTGAGAAATTTAAATGCTCGTCCCAATCCCAACATTTTTAAGAAGATTTGTGAACAATATTAAAACCGTTCTTATAATTCAAGCCAAAAAATTGTCCCTTCGCTCCCCTGTTGAGAATCCAAGCTCCGACCTGTACATTGTGTAGTTGGAATATTTCCAGAGCCGTGAACGTGCACAAGATTTTATATCGATATTTCCTTTGTCACGTTTCCAAAGAGAAAAAGCCCTCGTTATTCTGTATTAGCCCCGCCCTGAATGTACCCAGTGTTGTTTTCCAGTTAGAAATGCTTTGAATGTTTTATGAAAAACTACTGTTTAGTTTTGTAATGAAAGAAAACACACAGAGAATTTACAAAAATAATGCTTATTGCTTTTATCGTATTTTTTTTTTTTTTTTTAACAACAGGTGTAACATTTCTGTCGAATGCAAAAAAGCATCTTGTGATGAAGTGCCAAATTAAAACAAAACAGTGTTGTATAAATTTATAACTGTACAACTGTTAAATGTTGAACAAAATGTTTGTAATTGTTGCATTTTGTAGATTTTGTATGGTATCTTGTATTAAGTGATGGCAGTCTTTTTGAAACGGGACATTTTTGGTCCAAAATTGAAAAAGACAAATAAACTTCTTTGTGTGCAAGATTGTGGTGTCGTCTGTAATGTGTGAAGACCAAGGAAAAATATTTAAATGTTACAGGCAGCAACCATGGATAAATAAGCACAATCGTTAACCAAAGTTATATTGAAAAACAGATTAAAGTCTGAATGTAGTGTTAGACGTGCAAATTGAAATGAGATTCTTTAGTGGATTAGAACTAAAGCACTTTGAATTGCCTTGTGTATGAAGTGTTTTACAAATAAACTTGCCGTACATAGATTGTAAATTTTACCTTTACTGCATAAGGACAAAGGATTGATTCCTTGTTTTATGGTAAAATCTACACATGGATTAATTTCCTATAACTTTTCAATGTTACTGCCCCGTTTGAACCTCAATCACACCTGAGCAACAGACATAAAAGTTACAAAAATCATGAGTCAGTGCAGTTATCAGGCCAATGACCTCCAGGGCAATGATGACGGCTATTCCTCCCATAGAAACAACCAAACACTCACTAGAAATGTGGTATAAAACTATTTATTTACCGCCTTTTTAAAAACCTGTACATTACAACACTTTTGAAATAGAAAAGCACCATATGTCAAACTCGATTGACTGTAGCGTGGAAAATAAAACGGACACTACAGTTTATCCACAAAAAAACTTCACAATACTCTCATAACAATCATCAAAAACATACACAATACATCAATACGTTCTCTGGTGTGTGTTTACAGAAGATAAATCATTTTGGATACTTCACTGGAGAAGATAAGTCATTTCCAAATCTGGCCACAAGGGGTCATAAGCGAACTCATTTACAGTCGTGAAGTGTGTTCAATTTTGTTAAAAATAGAAAACATTCCTGACTTTGAAATGATTTTAGTTAAAAATATCTTGAAAATGTGCATATTTCCAATCAATACTTTTCCTTACACACTGCAGGTCATTCAAATAGTGACCACAAAGGCAGTTAAGGGCTTTGTGGCTCACGGGAAAAGCTTTTAATAGCAATCTTTTCACGGTAGAATGTAATAAATTAAACGCATGGAGGTTGAGCAGACTTCAGTCAGATCTCGGACAGTGTGATGTGCAGCGAGTCCGCAGACGCCTCCATGGCCAGAATGAAAGTGTCCTCGTTGGAGTAGTGCTGGATCATGTTGTCGTCCATGTTCACCAGGACCCTGAGAACAACGTAGAAAATGTAAACAAAACGATACAATAAAATAAAAACACACACATGCACAAATAAATGTCCATCCATCCATCCATTTTCTTCCCCTTAATCCATTTCTGGGTCGGGGGGGTGTCAGTCAGAGCTGCACCCAGTCCACCTAGCACCAGCCCCTCACTGATCCTCCTGCAGGTGGTGAGTCCACAGGAGCCGAGATCTTTCAGTGGGAGCTCCAGGCAAAGTGGGGTTAAGTGTCTTGCCCAAGGACACAACGACAGCAGTCATCAGTGGGAGTCGTGAAGTAGGTCTTATGGTGGGCTTGAACCCACAACCTTCAGGCCCAAAGGCCAATGCTCTACCAACTGAGCTACTGTCGCCCCACACAAATAAATGTTTCAAAAATAAATGCAAGGACAACATTTCTTATCGACCTCAAGTGGCTTTAGGAAACAATATACTGTATGTGTAGTATAGTCAAGTATAATGAGCAATTCAAGTCTATACAAGCCTTCTCACCAACATCATAACCACACTCTCCTCTGTCCCTTTGTATTTTAACTGTTTTTGAAAATGCACTTTTTTACTTGTATGTAAGCCCTAAATAACAACAGCAGTTATTTCGAAGGACTTTACAAAAACGTTAAATTCACCAACACAGATCAGAGAATCAAACCGTTCAAACACAAGAAATGCAATGATAAAAAACACACAGAGCCATTGGTCCTTAAAGGGCAGAGACCGATGTCCATAAGTGTTGATAAATGTCCACAAATGTTGTCGAGTGTCCTGGATCCTCACCACTATTCTTTTTGAGGACATATTCAAATGCAGATTTTGTGGTCGCAATTAGCTAAACTTAAATGTGAGCCACAGGGGGACGCCCATATGTTCCAACACCAGCTCATGTCCATTATAGACACAGCGGCAGAGAACGCCATCGTTTCTCATCCGATTTATTCTTTTCAAATTGCTTAAATATGTTCAAAATAGGGGTTTTTTTTTGGGTGCGGCAGTCTATGGAAATTCACTCACCCTTTTTTACTTTTCTGGAAAACCTTTATCGTTTTGTCGAGTGGCACTGCATATTTCTCCGTTAGCTGTGAGAAAATAAGATGCAGACCATACAGGTAAACACTGGTATTAAAAAACACACATAATACATTTCAGATTAATCTTACCGCCTCCATCAGCGCTTTGAGAGTAGGTGTCCGCAGCATCAACGCATCAAAGACGTCGTCGCACTCCTTCCTCACGTACAGAAGGACTGAGGGCGCGGGAAAACCACATTTCTTCAGTGTGAATAAAGATCACCAGCTTTTATAGAGGGGAACATTTTCAAACCTCTTTTTTCTGGTTCAAGTTTCAGCCTCTTCATCGGAGCCGGGCCGAGGTCTTCCTCAGAAACGCACGATACTCTCCTCGTCCTCACGCTCCTGTGCAGAACGAAAGCACTAAAAATATAACTCTACTAGATCCTGGAATAAGGGTTTTTGCAGACCACTTACCCGTCACTTTCGACTTCTTCTGTCTTTAAAGAAAACACCTGCGATTAAAAGATAAGTTATTATTTCATTTGTCCCACATTTGTCATTGTTGTGCACATTACAGCAGAAGGTAAGAAAAGAACTAAATAAAGAGCACTCAGATTGCAGACATCAAACAGGATCTATTATTTAAGATAATAGATTACAAATACTAAATTAAATACTGAGTAATAATTGCAAATGGTTCAAGGTTAGTACACTAGTGGAAGATGCACTGTAGTCAATTATGATTGTAAAAAAATAATGCAAGTCAAAAGAGAGATTCATTTTGAGTCTTGTGTAATGCGCTGACCTGTCCTGACCGCTGCAGGCTTCCAAAGTGAGCGTCCGGGATGAAGAGGACCGGCTGAGACTCCAGGTCATTCTCACTTTTTAATAGTGTCGTGTCAGATCTCTTCAATGGCGCCTGGGACATACCACTTTTACCTGAAGCAAATGTTGACATAACAGTTATTTTGTATTTTACTCATTTGAAAAGGATGAAAAGGAGATCATGTACACTAAGAACAGAGCCAATGAACTTCCACAGTGCCCTGGAAGGGAAGAGAACAGCCCACTCACATCACTCAGTTCAGTAACGTCATGCACGACCTCACATGGTCACACACAGACACAATTACACACAAAGTCATGTGGGCCACCGCGGGAGTGTTCGGCCCAATGAGAGTGAGCCTTCTGTAATTACTCAAATATACATGTATTTGTTTAAAAAAGTCTTTAAAGTCACACTTTCCAAAGTTTTAAAGTCAATAAGAGTTTTCAATATTGTGATCTCCATTTTTACTGGGGAAAAAAACTAGTTTGATCTTTATCGCAACACATCAACACAACACACAATGCACAAATCTTCTCAATGTGACCAGCAGGGGGCAGACCCTCTAGGAACATGCGTAAATACCATTTTAATAGAATGTCAAATTCAAAGAGCAAAATTAATACACTTACTACATCAATAAGAGTATCAACTCAGTGGCTCAGTTGGTAGAGCATTGGCCTTTGAGCCCAAAGGTCGTGGGTTCAAGCCCACCACAAGACCTTCTCCGCAGACTCCACTGATGGCCGCTGTCGTGTCCTTGGGCAAGACACTTAACCCACTTCGCCTATAAGGAGTGCGGAAGTGATTTTCGCTGCTTGCCTTGATGTATATGTATATGTGTATGTATGTATATGTGTATGTATGTATCAAACTGAAATTTCCCCATTGTGGGACAAAAAAAAGGACCTTTTTAACTTACTTTTTTGTTTAATTTCACAGTAATAGAAAGACATTTTCATCAGATTTCATCTAACCCTTCGCCATTATCAAGAGAGAACATCAAAAATTACAACAAAATCCATTCCCCTCTATTCCCCCCCCCGTTAGTGACATTACCACCAAATCATAGATAAATTAAATTCATACCCTTGGTTCTTTTTCTGAGCTGCTTCTTCTCTTCGTCACGTAGTTTCCTCTCTGCTCCCTGACACACAGAGAAAGGCTCAGACAGAAGCACACACTCACACACTCACACACACAGACAAGCTTCAGTCCGTACCTTGTCGCAGAAGACCTTGATCTCGCTGGACGCTCGGTGGATGGGTTTGCGGTTGGGTCCGTTGTAGCTGTACGTGTCCATCTGGATCTTTAGCGGTGTTCCTTTTACGCCTTTTTGTGAGGAAAAGTCTGTGCTCAGGCAGTTCACTGAAATAAAAACCTGACAGATGAACAGATAAACACAGAGATTATTACTGTATAAATGCCACAGATTCAGGCGGCACAGTTTTACATTTTATTCCCATTCTGAGGCTCGCATAAACTTACAAAGAGCACGATATAAAGGACACTCCAATTATTAGGTCAAACTGTTAGTATTAGATAGCAATATGGCAACTGTGTACTGCCTTTATTCTGTCTGAGAGAAAGAAACAGTAAACCAGTGGAACTTGAGAGAAACTTAAATAAACTTCCAGAGTTTGGCGCACCACGATCCGTCTCTGTCTGGTTCATCCCTGACAAAACTAGAGCCTTGAGAACGCTTGAATAAAACAATATTGAAACGACTTTTATGCTGCTCAAGCAAATACAACATAGCAGCAAGACCTATAAGTAAGACCTATTGTGCAATGTGAAATACTGCAACTTCAGAATCTCCACTGAATGTAGTAGTAGTAGTAGTAGTAGTAGTAGCAGTAATTTTATTTGCACAGTTTTACAATGTATTTTTTACAGGCACATATAGAAAGCTCAAAAGGAGAAGGCAGAAGCAAAAAATAGGTGCCTTCCCCACTACCAATACTTCATTTAATGTCACTATCTCCTTATCCTCCCCTATATGAGATATATAGAGAAAGAGAGAGAGATAGATAGAGCTATTTCGAAAGATTGCTATTGAAGCATTTACAGCAAGCTAATAAACAGCAGCTACTTATTTTGTGTGCTCCTGTCAGCTCTTCCTACTGTCCTGCATGAGCGGTGGAACCAAGGGCGTAGGTTTGCGTGGGGACCATGGGGACATGTCCCCACCAATATTTGGTGAGGACTAAAAAGTCCCCACCAAAATGACATGATGTCCCGGGACCCGGACGGTCCGGGACACATGTCTTCCGTTTGTGCACACGTCGCGCCTCCTCCTCGCCTCCAGAGCAACAGCAGCAGCAGCAGCAGCAGCAGCACGTGACCCGTTCCGTTCTCTGCAGTGATTGGCTGTCTTCTTCAGCGCCAAACTGAAGCACTGAGCGACTGTTTAATTTTTAAAAGTTAGCCAGCGTGAAGCAAGTGTTTTTTTTTGTTCCCTGAGCGTTGTAGCACGTGAGTAATCAGAGGAAAGTACTGTAGATCTATTACCATTCAAAGTACTTACGTTATTTCTAATCTGTCAGCGCACTGTTTAATGTTCCGAGGAGCTCACACGGCACAGAGACAGAACAGAACTGGCTCCAATAAAGAAACAGGTTGGTTGAAAGGCTGAAAAAATACTTATTGTGCTCTTACTATCCAAAATGTATAAGTGGGTGTGTTGTGTGAATCAGGATAAACTAGGGATGAAAATATTCCACGGATCCACGATTTACAACCCTTATCTGCTGATAATGTGATTTCTGTGAAATGTGTGACAGCGGGCACTTGCTGTTATTTGCTCTAAGCACATTCAAGAGATGCACTCGAATGTGCACGTCCTGTTGCAGCTGCTGCCGCTTTGTAATGACAGCCGCGGCGCTCAGTGAAAGCACAGCTCTAACATGGTACCGAGCTCGGACCATATGCAGACAGAACCATGTTGCAAGTGCGGGTCTCCCTCGTATCTCCCCCGTTTCTCCCCTGTGTCTCTGACATGTCTCTCCCCTGTGTCTCTGACATGTCTCTCCCCTGACTCTTCCCAAAGCGCAACCAGCGCTCCCGAAATTAAAGCTCGGATACGTAAATTTTCCATTGCGTTAACGATGCATGCTGGTTGTGCGCAAAACACACCACAACAGGTCATTTAAGTTTTTATTTTGCATACTTGAGAGCCCTGTGAGTCATTACTTGCCTTTTTGGGTAGAGAGTGGAATAAAAAAAAAGAAAATATAGAAAAATCCACACTGTTACTTATTGCCAAACTCTTGTTAACTCATTGTATTGAGAAATACTATGTAACTTTTGACATTGGCCAAGTTATATAAATGATTCTGCAGTTCATGTATATGAATGTCTGTTTTTGATTGTCTATACCTTCTTATATAATTTAGAAAAAATGCCACCTCCACAAATAAGATAAAAGATATCAGGAGCTTTTTTAACAGTTGGAAAGTAAGTAAGAGAAAGCACAAGTAATAGCAAATTATGAATTGTGATGATTAATCTTCTGTTAACATACATAACTGCTTCTCATTCAGTCTACAGCTGAGTTTAGTATAGAAGGCAACACACTATTGCAAATATAGTGTGTGATTACACAACAAATTCTGGGGGAGAAACTCTGGACCCCTTGTCAATGGGTGTAGACTCAGGTCGTAGTGAATGTCCCCACCAAGATTGGAACCAAACCTACACCATTGGGTGGAACAATGACATTTCCCCACTGTGGGACAAATAATCTATAAATAATAAATCTTAATGCATTTAGGCCAAAAAGTGACTTATTCAAACCTCCACCACCATAAATTTTCCCACAAACTAGAAATACTGAAATACTGGTTCTTATTAGCCAGTTTTTGACATTTCCAGTAATCCTTGTATTTGTAAGCCAGTCTCAGCACATTGTTATGTAATGTAAATATGACTGTATCTGGAAAAAAATCTAATCTAAATAATTGCAGGCTTTGTGATTAAAACGGCTACTAAAATTGTCATTTCTATTGTGATTAATCGCGCAGGCCTACTCTAGATGACACTTTCCCACAAGCAGTGGATTGCCAAACCAATATCACCCATGTAAACTAAACCTGTGGAACAGGACCATCGGCTCAGACAGCAGGCCCAGGTATAACGGTAGACTTTCTAAATCAACAACGAACAGCTCTTTTCCCACTGTTCTTCAAGTCGTGTCTAAACCCGCAGCGATCGCTATTGGTTCGAAAAAGGCCTGAAGCGCCGCAGCCACCTACACTGCCTCCAGAGACCAGAGGAGAGAGTGGGAAGCCTGCCGATTGTGCAAATGAAAAGTAAAAAAAAAACAAAAAAATGACTTCATGCGGCCGAGGTGGAGGGATAAGGTGCTGCCTGGACGGACAAAATAAACAAACAAACAAAAGCAGGATCCAGGAAGGTGCTAATGTAAAAGGCAATCGCTCAAACTGTGAGTGGAAAATGGGAGCAATGCCTAGCAACAGAGTGAACTCAAAAACATAACAGTGCAGTCCACAACGACGGGAGGTCAAACAGACTAAAACGGCATCGATGAGAGGTTTAAGGGAGAAAAAGTGCATGCATAGAGATCAATTTGTACATAAAGTTAATTCCAAAATGACAGTCACCCCAACTATGCCTTCTCAACACAAGCACAGTAGCCAGATGCTATGGACTGATTATTACTTCAACAAAATCTATTACTATTGTTACAAATGTTGGGACAAACACAATGTATTCTTCATTGGACAAAAAGGTTCGGTACCCCAGCTTTAAATACTTGACATTAGGTTAATTTAGTTGGTAAATTATTCTCTATTTTTGATTATGCCTCTCTACCCTCACTTCTCCTTCTGACTGTTGCACCGAGCCAAAGCAAAGCGAAGTCTGTGACCTACTGTTACTTACGTGGCAATAAAAATGATTCTGATTCTAAAAACAGACTAACTGCATCTTCAAAAGTTAAAAGTGGGAGTTTAGTTTTACATATTTAAATGATCCCAAGGCTACAATCCGGAGGCGCGTGTTCATTAATAAGACAATGACCCAACCAATTAAGCATTTTAAAATTAATACATTTTAAAAAGACCAGACGTTTTATATGTGGAGCTACATTTTCACAATAAATTCCAAAACTCTAGGTTGAGTGTGGAATGCTTTCTGCTTTCAGTGGTTCTGAACTGGTTATGCTAATTTCAGCCTTGTAAAGAAGTAAAAATAAAAGAGGTTAAGAATCTTGGGGAAGTGATTTCAACTCTCTGAGCTTGTGAAACTGTGGTCACTGCTCTAGTTCCTTGTCAGTTTCTGTGAGCTTTCTTTAAACAAATTTGGAGCCGTCTGTCTCCCAATCGTCTGGGACAAAAGGCTGTGAACAAAGGGTGTCTTTGTTTGGAGGAAGAATATAACGACTTTACCTTGGCCTCCTCAGTGACGTCCCACGTGAAGGATACGGCGTTGTAGGCGATTTCTTCCACATTGGAAATTGTGCTAAAGCTTTCTTTGTAGTCAGCTGCAACAAGGAAAATAGATAACTTAAGAAAATCACAATCTTTGACTAGATATGCTTGTTTCTGTTATAGGGCATACATTGTGAATGAACGTGGGGTCACTGGATTGAATTATGAGAATAAATCAGCTGAAATTAAAGTACCACGCAAATCCCATGTTATAAAAGCTACGTCTGAGCAACAGAGCATAACTATAGGCACCCTGCTTTAGGACTCAGCTTTCAACCCGCATTTGGCCTCGTCCGCGATCAGTGGAAACACAATCACCAAATGACCATACTTGAATCCTAAAGCTAGTTCCCGTCAGAACTCTGAAGCTGTGCAAGGCAGGGCCTGGTCAGTTCTGTGATGGGAGACCTCTGGGAACACCAGGTGCCACAGTGGGGCGGCTGTGGCTATAAAGTGCCAAACTGTCGTTGTGTCCTTAGGCAAGACACTTCACCCACATTGCCTCAAATGAACTCCATGCACGGTGGTCTTTATCCTCACCATGACTGGAGTGAAAGAATAAATATATGTGAGGCGTCTTTGAGAAAAGCGCTGTATAAAACCGATGCATTATCATTATTAAATGCAGTGGTAATTTAGTCAGAAATAAAATAAAACGTTTTAAATCACTGGACGCCATATGGTTAACTGCTGACTACTGGATGTAAATATCAATATTCTGCATAATTCTTTTCGCATAACCATCTAGATATAACAAAACGGTAGATACATACTGCTCGTTTCACTATTCCATGATGTATTCACCAGAGGGCGATGAGATGAAGCAGAAACATGTCACGGGGAAATAATGATTTGACTGCTGCTCCCATAACCACATCTGGGTCATGGGAGCAAATGGAAAAAGTTGGGTGGCATAGACTAGAGAGGAAGAAACATCACTACAGTACAGTGCAAAAATAATAATTATAATAACTAAGCTGGGGTTGAAACACCGTGTCGCCTTTAAATTAGCCTTCACTCCCCATTGTTTGACCCATTCCCCGACATTCTAATTGCCGTGTTCTGAAGCTCCTCTTCTAAAAGCTCAAATGGGTGAACCGGCAGGTCTGAGCTCGCCTCCTGGGATTGTTTGGAATATGGCCCGCGTCCAGGCCCCACCCAGCTCTCTTGTTAACGTCTTATGTAAATGCCAACTCGGTAGCTGCCACTTCTCATGGATCCTGTGGGAATTTTGGGCTTGACAGTTATTCAAATGGTTTCTCACATTCGGATGACGACGGCCCCGTTGTTTACCCTTGCAGTTGTCAGTTGCAGTTGGAACAGTTGTCAGCGTCGTGTCGTGAAGTAGAAAGATTGTGGGATTGTTTCAGTTATTATTAAAGCGTTACCGTACATCCCAGGTCCTCTTTGGGACCCTGACAGAACCACACGTTTTGGTTGTTCTTACCTATATCTAGTACGCGCTGCTTGGCCGTGTGTTGTCGTGAATGCCAGTATTTCCAATTCTTGAGCTGTTCGTCTCTGCTCTTATCTTCTCCGAAAACAACCATGATAACACTCTGAAACATAGAATCACATGAGGTAGACGTGAAAATAATGATATCATAAATTGTCAAAACATAACTCACATCAGAATTGGTTTGGTCCCTGTTAAACTAATCATGATTCCACAATGCACTTTATACTCCAACCTGGCTTTGCTCAACATATACGTATACATTTAATCTGCTTACTTTAAAATGTTGTTTTTGTTTATTTATAAAATGGTAATAGAATGGAAAGAAGTATAAAAAACATTTCACTCGATCAAACCCAGAGCTACTCAGTTTATGGAAAAATCTATTTTAAAGCGCGAGTAGTAACAATACAAATCAATCCCTCTCAAAACAGTTTGGTTCTCACTGGTTTTCACATCAGTATTTTTTTTCTGTGTCACAACTTTAAATTAACTTTATGAAAAGAAAAAGTAGCAGCCCTCGCTCGGCCAATCAGCTCTCAGTACGTGAAAGATCAAATGTTTTCTTGTGAACATGTCAGACCCCAATATGCTGGTACTATGTATATTTCAACCAAGATTCAAGACTATTGGGACAAACACTGTAATATAGAATGAATTAAACATAAAATAGGTACTCCAGCTTTAAAGAATTAGGAAGGAGGTATTTTTGCTGAATGTGGAAGTTAGAAAGAAGGAAAGATGTTTCAGTAGTTTAGGAAGGTTCATTTTTCTTCTCAGTAGAAATTAAAAGGTATTTGGTTCTTCTATACCAGACACCTATCCTCAGACGCTTCTGAGGAAGACTGAAGTGACCGTCGAAACGTTCAAGGTAATATCATCTATCATTACTCACTATTCTCTGGTAACATCCAAAAACCTTTAGATGTGTCAATCCCTAGTTATTCACACCAGTGTTGAACATTGGAATCTAACGAGGGAGGATCCTGTGACTCAGTGATGTTACCTCCATCACATCATCGTTGTGTGATTTGACTTTTTAAATCGCACAACCCCCTCCACCGGGGAAGGACTACCACAGGCTGATCAGACCTGGGCGTGTGACGCATAAGAACAGGAGTTACATTGCTCCCCATCTTGTCTCCGTTCTTTTCTGCCACAGCCAGTGATTGCCCCTCTCTGATGCTGTTGCCAATTCCTTTATGAGCGTCCTCTGGGCCTGCCCTCTAAAGCCTACATCTTAAAAAAAAGAAACGTATGGTTGAATTTGCGACAAGCGATAAAGCCCTTGCAGCTGACTTCCACAGGAGGCACCAGAGCAGACCAACCCCTTTTATTCAAGTCAAATACATCACAGGGCCAAAAAAACAAATTTGCTACAAGCCGAGGGCCGGACTGGTTCAATGTTTCTATCCATCCATCCATCCATCCATCCATCCATCCATCCATCCATTTTCTACCCTTTAATCCATTTCTGGGTCAGGGGGGTGACAGTCAGAGATGCCACCCAAGTCTCATAGCACCAGCCCCTCACTGATCCTCTGCAGGTGGTGAGTCCACAGGAGGACGGCTGCTCTCTGAGTGAGAGCATAGCCTTGATCTTTCAGTGGGGGCTTTTGGGCAAAGTGGGGTTAAGTGTCTTGCCCAAGGACACAACGACAGCAGTCATCAGTGGGAGTCGGTGGAGAAGGTGCAGAGGTGGGAATTGAACCCACAACCTTCTGGGCTTAAGGCCAATGCTCTACCAACTGAGCTACTGTTGCCCCTTCAATGTTTCTTAAAACATATTTAAATGATCGCATATAACCTATTGAACCAAAACCTAAAACAGTATGGGTGTCAAAGTCAAGGCCCAGAGGCCAAATCCGGCCCGCGAATGAGTTATCTTGGCCCCTGGATGATATTGGGGCCGGTTTTATTAAATGTTGTATTATTCTTATAATGTTCAGGACCTGTGTTTTGTCTTTGAAGGTTTTGTCGGTGAGCCTGTTGAAAAATATTTTGAATTGCTGACAGAGTCATACAAAAATAAGTGGATTATTAATTGAATTATTAAATAAAATACGGTATACTATGTTAGGTCCTTGCAGTGCATGGCTAACGGCTTTGGCACACCTGGCTGCTTGCTCTTTCCTTCGGACTTCTTCCACCACCATCTAATGACAATATGCAGGGGAGGATTTATTCCAGGTATGTGCCATAACCCCTAAACCAAAGCCACCTTTTCTCTCTTGCACATGTCTCACTATCTCCCGATTTGAGAGCAGATTTTGTATCTGAAACAGCTGCCTTTGCTTCCAAATCTAGTTTTTCAACCCTAAACTAGACCATAAATAAACTTCAGCTCACCTGTACGACAGTGTCCTGCTGGCCCTCCGCTCCCTGGTTTGAGAGTCGTCTCTGGACTTTTCCCCCCTGAGCGTGAGACAGTGTCACAGGGTAGAACTGTCCTCGGTTCAGATAAGCCATTGGGCCATCTTCGCTTCGGGGCCGCAGAGACAAACTTGCCTCAAGACAATACTGGAAGCTATCGCTGCAAAGTAATCAACAAAACAGAGAAATAAAATGTTTTTTTTCTTTTTATCAACCTTTTCAATTCAATTTATTGTATCTTTGTATTGCCCTAAGACACAACAGGACTTTACAAAGTTGTCGTCAATACAGATCAGAGGATCAAACCGTTCGAACACAGGAAGTGCATTAATAACAAACACATAGGTGCGGATATCCAATGTCCATAAATGTAAATTAATGTCCAGAAATGTCCAAAAATGTGAATATACAGGAAAAAATCTCTTACTTAGATCTCGAGTAGTGCAAGTGGTTTGATCCGCCAGAAAAGTTGTGATAGACCTAAATGAGAAAAACAATAATGTAAGTTCATAGATACATATTATAGCAGACAGTCTTACAGATTACACCTGCAAAAAGGAAAAAAAAGACTAAAAGTATGGCAAATCGCCGCTTCACCTGATCTGAAGTGCTTCTTTGATCCTCTTTCAGATAACTGGAAAACAACTCCTCATATCCACTTTGCTCATAAGGCATTCTGATCGGGCCTCGGAGTTCTTCTGTGTAGACGTGGGCAGGGAGGATCTGTGTTTGGGCTTTCACTTTCCCACTATGCGCTTCTATCGGGACATGAGGAGGTCCGTATAGTTTCTTTGAAGGGTCTAAGGGCGCTGCATGATGAAGTGACAGGTTTACAGGCATCAAGTTTGTGGTTTGATCCATGGCGCAGGAATCATCAACAAGTGGTTTGGTGGTGGAAGTTTTCTTTCCTCTCGAAACCTGAGCAAGTCGAGCACACAAAAGTAATACAAATGTTTCAGCTTATGCATCTGTTCTCTACGGTTCAGCCATTACAAAAGCTCAAGGCGTAAATCCCTTTAGAGAGAGGATGTCAATTTCAAATAATTAAAAACAATAGTTGTGTGGATGATGCACTTTAAAACACAAAATTATACTTAATACTACAATAATACTTTCAAAATCAAATCCATTTTAACATGACAATAGACTAAAGTTAGGATCCACGTCTACTATTGAGGTAATAATATTTCAACATCCAGCTTATGGATTGTTTTATGTGGTTGAATGTGTTAAAATTCTCAAATTGTAAATGTTTTTGATGGACATATTTGTAAATGATATACATTACAAAAACTGGAAAAAGTTTAATGTCGTCCCCCTTCCGCCCAAATTTTCCAAAATTAAATGAGTTAGCATTCAAAGTTGTCTGTGTCCATACCGACACCGTTTGTGGAACCAATCCAAGAAAAAAGAAAAAACATTGACATTGATCATAAATTGTCATGTATCAAAACAATCTGATATGTTGTGTGATGTTCTAGAAATGCCTTTCAGTTGGAGAGCAGGCACCAATATTAACCAAGAGAGGAAAATGTTGAAAATTCTGGTTGATTATTATTTGATAGCAATTACATTTACCAACCTTCCATATCATTCTTACCTCTGAAAATCCTCTATACTGACCAACATCTTGTATGTTTTTTTGACAATTATCACCACAAAATAATTAGGCCATAGACTGACAAAGCAGATGTAGACCTTTGTAACAGCTTTTGTTTAATGTGGTGTGGTTCACATGAGAAATTCACTGTTAATGGTTCAGGTCCATATGAACACGCGAGTACCTTGTAGTAGTCGTAGAGTATGCCCAAGGCTGCAGCGCTCTCCTCGTCCCCGTTGATGCTCATCATGGCTTTGGTGGCTGCGGTCAGAGGGGTGTCCAGGTAGCTCTTCCAGGCCTCATCATCACTGCTACTCAACAGTTCGCGAGGAGAGGCTGGGTTTGGTACCACCACCACGAGTCGTTTACTGCAAAGCCCCACAAAAGACAAAATGAGGAGCGGTACAATTGAGGCAAATCTAATCTGTCATTAACAAAAGAGATGCCAAGTCCGGAAGTCAGCCTCAAGCAATTTCTCACCGAGCCTGTCCCAGCCCCATGTGACAATGTTTACGTTAGGAATTAGCACTAGTCTTCAGTGGGAGAGATGCACAACTGGATCTTATTATTAACATGATGTACACAATTACTATTTAATCCAATAACCTCGCTGGAACAAACATATTTTACCAGTCTTTAAAACATGGTTGGAACGGTTGAAATTAAGATTAGAGATCCTTTGCTTGTCCCACATTGGGGAAATTTCAGTGTTGCGTTACTGGTTACAGAGCAATAGGAATGAGGAGCACACAGCACAAGATAAATAACTCTACACTAAAAATAGAATAAAATAATATCTAGCTTTAGCATAATAAAGAAGCAAGTAAAACATCTCTACCTTTAGCAAGTATAAAATCTACAACTTTAGCATAATGAAGAAGCAACGATAACGTATTTAACATATCTGACTTTAGCATAATAAGAAGTAATGTGACACTTCTTGCTGTTGTGTCGTTTGTGTTTTAAATGTTAAATGCAACAAGACAAAAAAGACCAGCCTTAAATGGGCTTATTAGTGACTGATATTGCAGCTGTGCAACAGCATATTATGAGTTTTAGTAACATAACAGCAGCCAGTTGGTATCTATGTTGACACACTGTTGATGCGATTTAAGTTGCTAAAGTAAAAAAAAAAAAAAAAGAAGAAAAAGTCACATTTTAGTGAGATTGTCCTTGTTCTTACCTGTCCACGTCCATGCTCCTGTTGCTAATGCCCCTGCTCCTGCTGATCCTGCTGCTCCTCCTGCTCCTGCCCCTGCCGCTCCTGCCGCTCCTGCTGCTCCTGCTCCTGCTGCCCCTGCTCCTGCTGATCCTGCTGCTGCCCCTGCTCCTGCCCCTGCTCCTGCCCCTGCTGCCCTTGCTCCTGCTGCTCCTCCTGCTGCCCCTGCTGCTGACTGTGTGCAACCTGCGTGACTGGACTTTCCAGTTTTGGTGGCGGGTTGTCTTTGAATGTGCTGGATCTGAATCCACACACAAACACATGTGACTCTTCAGTGACTGGTGTTGACACTGGTGTAAGCTCTGGGAACACACGGCTACATCCGAGTGGTGGCGCAACACCTGAGCATCCATGAACCGCGTGCTGATTGGCTTAGAAGTTTGTTACGACGTTTCTAATTGGTTAAATCAGAACTAGAGGACATTCACAGATCAAAGGTTAGTAGTTGAATTATGTCGTTTCCTCTTTATAACAAAGAAATGCTTTAATTAAATAATCCTTAAAATAATGTACATTTCCAATTTGCACTGAATGCATTTATTTCTTTGTTCTTTTTGTTTGTTTTCTTTTCCATGAGAGCCCTGCACTAGAGTTTCGATGTTTGTGTACCTTGAGTGCGTAAATGGCATCTTGTGGCACACACAGATTATTTGATACATTCGGTAAATGTAATAAAACAGGATGGCGATTTTTGTAGAAGACAAGAGCCGAGTCTCGAGGATGTTGCAGTCAGATCGAGATTCAGATTCATTAAATTTGCAGTAAAACCACATTGGAATACGTCTGCAAATGTCCCCAGTATGCACAAGACAAGCACAGACATAAAACAAGGTTAAAAGCACAGAAATGACACAAACAAAACAGGAAACAATTGTCACTGGATTATTCTAAGAGGTTTAAAAGTCTGGATTTCTAAAAAAAAAAAAAAAAAAAAAGAGAGAGAATTAAACCTCCAGAACAGGCAGCTCACAGTTCACATTCCTCTCTGCAGAGCGGAGCACCTTGTTTAGAGCTCCCTTTTGCATGACGAACACATGAAGCTCTAGTAGACCAGCGGACCACTAGATGGCACTAGTGTGCACTATGCACTTTTACTTCATTGGGGCACCTTTGCGTTGGTTATATTGTAATACATTCATGGTTTTGTCTCAAATGTTGTCTCATTGTTTTCATCATTCAATGTGGCACTGAGTGTAGTTGCAGACTGACAGAAGAATTTCAAAAACAGGTTGAAACGGGTAAGCTCATACAGCAAATAATCATTTTATTTAAGTAACTCATTGCAAAGGCTACTAGTTGCTGTAATAAAGTAGTCCATGGTTCTTCAAAGTAACTCATGTTACTTGCATACACATGTTTATTAATGTGTATTAAAATTTTAGAGTAGACTTACTTGTCCAACACTGTTGAGCAATGTGTAAAAATCTGGCCAAAAGGGGTACTGCAAACACGGTCAATATTCTGTTGTCCTTTCCCACTCTCCCTGACTCAGGTTACCAGATACACACCGAATCTAGCTGGGACCATAATAGCTGAATAGACAAGAGTTTTGTCAACAACAATTCTATAACCAACACCTTTTTTGTGTTGCATTTTTTGTATGAAAAGCGCTTTATAAATAAAATTTGATTGATTGATTGATCGATTTTCACATAAATTAGGCTATTTTAGGTTGAAACACATTATGTCTGCGTACTATGTCACAGTGCCCACAATATGCAAACACAAGGAATTATTTTATTGAGTTGTTTGTCTGTCTCCATACGTTTCACATTGCCATGACAGTAGTAGTAGTAGTAGTAGTAATCTTTATTTATATACCGCCTTTTCACTGCACATCGGAGTCTCAAAGCGGTTTACAATTGTTATTTTTGGGAGTGGGGGTGCCAGTACAGGAGGCACATGTCAGACCTATTGTACATATTTTTAGTGGTAGGGGAAACCGGAGCACCCGGAGGAAACCTACGCAGACACGGGGAGAACATGCAAACTCCACTCAGAAAGGCCCTGGTCCAACCGGGATTCGAACCCAGGACCTTCTTGCTGAGAGGCGAGAGTGCTATCCACTCAGCCACCATGCCGCTACATAGACTTCTCGTGCTATATAGACTTCTCAACAAACAATGAGGACTAATGAACACTGTTAACTTGATCCCACGAGTCATGCATCCATCCATCCATCCATCCTTTTTATTATTATTTCAAGATTTAGTTTTCATACTTGTTATTGATGCTAGAGTTAGAGATTTTGTTTTATTTTAATTAGTATAGCTATTGTTCAATTAACTTGTGCTGTGTGCTCCCCTTTCCTACTGTTCTATAACTTGTGATGCAACACTGAAATTTCCCCGCTATGGGACGAACAAAGGATCTCTTAATCTTCATCTAATGTTGGATCACATTTCTTCAGCGTATCAGCATCAGGGTGTCCTCCAGAGGGGGGGGGGGATGGGGGGATCAGTGCATTAGACGAGACGTTTTTTTGTCCACCTTAAATTGTCCCCATTGAAAGCATCCGTAAAATAAATCCTTGTTTTTCTTACTTGTTTTGTCATTAATAATTTGAGAATCATTACAAGACCATATTAGTGCATCTTTACCAGTGAGATTAGCTAGCCGCAGGGAGTTTTGGCAACCTGGTCAAGTACTTTCTGACTGGTGAAACGGTGGAGGGCGGGACATCAAAATGAAAACAACAACAAGATAAATGAAAACAACAACAAGATTTACGGGCTATAAAACTACTTTTGAAATTCTAATATCTCGGCTGAACTACTGTTATCAATTAAGTATTCAAAAAGACCATGGTTTATTAATGCCTTTTGACATAATGGGATCATTTAATGATGACTTGACATGAAAATCTAACATTTTGCTACTTTAAGTTTGGACATGAAAACTCAGATACACATTCATTCTTCACAGTTTGTGGACAATTGCTCACAGTTACTTGCAAACAATTTGTAAGCAACGGTTGAAAATAGAAATTTCTCAAATATGGATGTTGCTCCCACTAATGTCTGCTATTGTTGTGTCCTTGGGCTAGACACTTAACCCCACATTGCCTGAAGCTCCCGCTGAAATAGTAAGGCTGTGGCACCAGGATGTAGCAGCCATCTTCCTGTGGACTCACCACCTGCAGAGGATCAGCGAGGGACTGGTGCTATGAGCATTGGGTGGCAGCCCTGATTGTCACTCCCCCCGACCCAGAAATGGACTAAAAAAGGGGTAGAAAATGAATGAAAATGAATGAATGGATATTTCTTGTCCGCTCTCTCAGACAAACGTTCATGTAGCACTTTGAGAGCAAGCCTATGAAAATGCCAGTGCTTCCAGAGTGGCTGATGTTGGAGCATAAGATATCCTACTTGGGAGTTATTCCATGTGTGTACTCTCACCTAATATACAATTATTCTCTACTTCTTTTATAAATCCAGTTAAATGCACATTCATTCTGCCATTTAGAAGGCAACCTAAGAAAACTGGGAGGTTTCCTAACTATGAGAACTGGGGGATAGAGACTAGTCCCTGGATATATGTGCGAACACACCCACTAGTGTACATTTGCTTTACTGGTATGATCAGTTTAGGGTCAAGTTGCCAAACCTGTATTCACACTGTCTCAAATGAGCTGGTATATATGTGTGACTCCAACCTACCCTACTGTGAAACCTCTCCAGAGCTGTCAGCTAAAACTATCTGCACTGACTTGATTCACCCTAACCCTTTCAAAATCATGTTTGAAAAAGTCATTATACTATTCATATACTAAAACACTGTTCAACCGTGTTGTATTGTGAGATTTCATAACACTTTTAAGCAACTTTTGTTAAGGTTAAACTCATCGTTCTATCAATGTGCAGAAGCCTGTACTTTTCCCTTGTTTTGTCTATTTGAAGGCCAAGCTACAAGCACACCGTGGAAGCTGCTGATTGGAGGTCTCCATGCCTCCGCTCTGTATAATACACTTGCATTCTGTTGTATCTGTGTTCGTGCTGTCTCTACCATTGACAATAAAACATGTCTTCTGTCTGAATTTAAGACGCGATCCCAGACTTTGTCATCTTCTTCAGGTGGTGGAGGATTTTTTTTAAAGCCAAAACTGAAAAGCCTCAAGAGAAACCATGCATCTGGATCAGCACATGGACAATCTGCACAGCCCCTGATTCCACTCAGGCCTGCTGTGAGCTGCTGAGACATGGACAACACCATCGTCCTCTTTTGCATGGACATCATTTGGAACAATTGGATTTCTGAATTTGGACATAATTTGGACTGAATTGAATTGCTGAATCTGGACACTAAAGTTGAAACGTGTGATTGAAAGACACGTCACAGAAGAATTCATGGCTCAACACAACAAGTGCAGCCTGAAGTAACCAACACGGAGAAGTGGGAGAGACTGTTTTCAAAGCAATTTCTGGAACCACCATCGACTGATGAAGTTTGGTATTTTACTGAAGATTGTTGACAAGTTTTATGAAAGATCTGAACATGTTTTATGAGTTTTTGAAGTATTGAGTTATGATGTTATGTTGCTGTTTATCGATCCTGATGGTCACACGTGAATGTGTGACCAGAGGGGGGAATGTGAGATTTCACAACACTTTTAAGCAACTTTTGTTAAGGTTAAACTCATCATTCTATCAATGTGCAGAAGCCTGTACTTTTCCCTTGTTTTGTCTATTTGAAGGCCAAGCTACAAGCACAGCGTGGAAGCTGCTGATTGGAGGTCTCCATGCCTCCGCTCTGTATAATACACTTGCATTCTGTTGTATCTGTGTTCGTGCTGTCTCTACCATTGACAATAAAACATGTCTTCTGTCTGAATTTAAGACGCGATCCCAGACATGTCATCTTCTTCAGTATTTTTATGGTTTTCCATTATTGAAAAGGATCTGCCCCATAGCAGCATTATATTAATATATATATATATATATATATATATATTGATCTGAACCATAAATATTCTATCACATAATTTTGTTCTGAATAACTAATACATTGCATTTTATCCGAGTTCAAACAACACAAAGTAATCTTTAACTTTAAAAACTATCACTACTTACTATTATATAACTTATTATTCCTAATCAACATGGAAAAATACTTACTGTTCACTGAAAGGCAATGACTGACTCAACCAGTTTCACTTGGGTGTATGTAATGCTCATAAAGTCAAGTTTTATGGGTGGAAAACGATTTGTTTGTATTCTAATAAAATTCTAATATTGTGTAAAAAATATCACTGTTCCCAGTTGCTGCAGATCATTTATGGTGGTATGTCTCAATAAGATGTTTATTTGCGACAGTCGTCTGCTGGCTGTTTGCATGTGTGTTCGAGTTTCTCAGATTACAACAGGATAACCTTGGGCAAACAGGTTAGTCATCTTTTAGTTATCCATCTTATCTCTGCATACGTGCTGTGCCCATTTGACCTGTTTAACAGTGATCTATATTTAAACCTAAAGATCAATTGTATTGAGTCTGTTATGATTAGTTTCTATAGCGGGAATAGTGCATGTTCATTATATTTGTAAAATGTAAATTAAAATAAATCACTTTAGAAACCAACTTTTGCTCATTGTTTATGGTTATAATCTTCAATATTATCGTGAACCATTTCTACTTTTTTATGTATGCCTTTTTGTGTTACTTAAAAACTTCCTTGGTCCAAAATCAGGTGGGCCACCTTGAAATAAAACTCATTTGTGTACCATTTCCTCAACCTGTATTTTGAGAAACATGAAAACAGTTTTGCTCCTCAGGAAATCTTCTGGTTTTCAAAATGCATAATTAATAATAATGACTGGATGGTGGGGCTTATGTACATTTGAATGTTCAACATATCAGGATAACTGTATATGATTGATCAGCGCTCAGAATGTAAAATATACTATATAAAGGTACTCCAGCTTTAATGTATCTTAATAATGTATTTCATGCCTGACTTACACCATTGAAATACTAACTTCATCCATGATTCAGATGGATATGCTTACTAAAACTACACTTCCCATGAGTCCACAACACACGGTTGTCCTGGTTACCGTTGACGTCACGCGGTTCTCTCTCATAGATGTGCCTCGAGCTCTGCCTGTACAATAGGCGTGTGTAGGTCGTCGCTTGAACCGGTACGATCAGAGGAAAACCCCGTGGACTGCTCTCCAACGACCCGCTACTCAGGAAGACGACATTTCCGCCATCTATGTAAGTTATAAGACCAAAATGTACGAAATAATATCGCTCTGAACAGCGTAGCATCGAGTATGGCAGAGGAGACCGCGGTGAAGCGTAGGGTCGGGATAAAGTGTCACAATCTGTCTGGGTGGACGAGCGTGAAGGCGTGTCCGCGCACTGCCATCAGAAACGGCCAAACCCGAAGAATTGAATCAACGTAACTTGCTTTGAATGTTTAGATTTGGTTCACGGAGGCCTGGTAAGACTTTTACCTCGTGGTTGAACAGAATTACAGCACATAGCATTAGCCACATTCACAAAGTGGCAACTACCCATGGATCTATTCTGTTTTATTACAGCGGCTACAAAATGGCATTCCTGGAGTCACGGGAATGCTCTAGCGTCGTACTTTTCTATTAAGACGTAATCCCTTTGTGTATAAAACGGTATATATCAATCTGTGGACAGTTGGGCCTAACCTTGAGTGATTGTAAAGAAGCCTTACGGAAGTTTGGCTCCAGGTAGGGCTCTGGGTGTGGTGTCAGATACTACCATACATGCCTTTCTTCACTTCATACGTTTTTGCTCTTTCCTGCCTCTGGAATAATTCTCTTTACCTTTTTGCATCGTGAAGTTTACAATTACTTTGAGTAAAGGAAGTGCCAAATGCCAAGCCTAGCCCATGGGGTGGCCTGGACGTTTTGATCTTTTTTTTTTTTTTTACTTACCTAAAATAAAGTTGGCAAACCCAATATGTTTATAAACAAAACCAAAGCTGAAGTACCTGACTGTTTTTTCATGGTGTTTGTCCCAACATAAAGTCTTGTTTATTAAAATGTTGTGGACAAATCAGAGCATAACATGGTGTCTTTAACATATTAACTGGGAATGTTTCCCCCTTTATTGAAAAGTGGAAAGGATTTTATTTAGCTTGAAAAATCTGATCGAATTATGTCACTTAGGTCAAAAATACATGCATGTAAGAACTGAGAGCTCAGAGCTGATTAATTTTATCATTTATTTTAGTTGCTTTGTTGTGGTTTTTCTCGGAACAAATCTTGAACCAAACAGATGGAAATAGCCTGCAACATATTACAGCAACAGCAGGATAATATAGGTTATAAAATTAACACATTTCTAGTCAGTAAAAACAAAAATGGTAATAATAATGATGATAAGGTACTCTTGAGGCATTTTCTATCCTGTCAGATCTCCAAAGCGGGGTGCGATGACCTGGTTCGATTTTTGCACCAAACATATTTCCTTTTTTTTTTCTTTTTTTTAATCAATTTAAAATATATCATGTATTTTGCAATTGCAATCAATGCAATTAAACCAGAAACAATTGTTTTATTTGCTTTTATATTTTAGATAATTTATTTGATTAGTACCATGCAATTCCAAACACATTATGTATAATAATGGAGCCTTGTTGTGCGTGCAAAGGAGCCGGGCTTTTTTCCATCTCTTTTTCTCAGTTTTACACTGAAAACTTGGATTTCATCAGTTGAGGCTACCAATAATCATTATTTAAAAAGTAAATTTCCTGACAGTTCTGGGGAGGGGGATAACGTTTATCTTGGATTTTTACCGCAATGTTTTTATACCCTATTCTGCTGGTCCTCTTTTATAGCAAATATAAGCACAGAATCTAAACGGCTATAAACACATTGCTCCGTGAATGACTCGGATCTAAGGTTCTTCTACAAATGTGTGAAAGAGCAATAGACGAAGAGTGCCACAGAACTTTGGGCTGATGAACGTGAAAGGGTAGAGCTCCTGCCTGCCTCGCTGTCAAATGCGTAAGGTTAACTAGTGGCTGTGTGTATAATCAAAAGCACAGGAAGATGGACTACTGCATTGTGTCTTCTGATTTGGGCATTGTTTATTAAATTAAATAAATACAATTTGGGCATCTAATAATTGGTCAGTTGTTGGGAGTCATGTGGTTTTACAAAGACACTTTCAAAATAAAACACCTCTAAAACATAGAGAACAAGAGATTTTAAGGTCAAAATGGAGAGTGTGGCCTTAACGGATGCAAAATCAGAAATTTTTGCTTTTCAGTTTAAGTGAATGGGAGCCAACGCGAGTAAGAGCAAAGCTTCATCCATTTCCCTGTTGCTACATAGAACTAGAAACTTAGCACCATCCATTCATATACACCCAGTGGCACAGTGGGGGTTCTGCCAGTTTTCTGCCAGACTTCTGGCTACACTAGTAGTTCACCACCACCATGCATGAAGGGTTGTAACGTTTAATTACAACTTTTTTTTTCAATATTTAACATTTCTGACAATTATGTTCACTGCTTTACAAACTCCGACACACATCTGCTGAGGCCGCAACAATTATTGATCATGAAAACCATGTTTAGTATTTTACTAGTTACAATGTTTCAACAATTGAAAGATTCATTTTGTGTCCCTTTTTAGATCAACCATGTCTGAAAATATTTTCATGGCCAAGCTGGCAGAGCAGACCGAGCGCTACGATGACATGGCCAAGATCATGAAAGAATACACACAAACAAAAACTAAACTGGACATTGAAGAGCGTAACCTGTTTTCAGTAGCTTACAAAAACGTGGTGGGCGCCCGTCGTTCATCATGGCGAGTGATCTCCAGTGAGGATAGCAAAGAAGTTCCTGAAAAGAACAAGACAATAATTAAAGACTACAAGGAGAACATTGAAAAGGAGTTGAAGACCATTTGCCAAGAAGTCTTGGTGAGACTCTTTACCAAATAATGTACTGGTTTCAATCATAATTATGATACAGAAACTCATAACTTTAGGAGAAACGTAACCATTCTTATTTGTCATTGTGCAGGATCTCTTGGATAAAACCTTGATTCCTAGTGATGATGTTGCTGAAAGCAAAGTGTTTTATCATAAAATGAAGGGCGACTACCACCGGTACCTGGCTGAAGTGGCCCTACCAGACGAAGTTGAAAGTAGGTCCTATTTTTTTTTTAACAAATCTATATTGTCCTCAAAGTATATTTTGAAGAAATGGAGATGTGTCTTGCATAAGCAAAGACTTGCAATCTGTTTGTACATATATAGTGTGTAGCCTGATTTCTTCATGTCTAATGAAGGGTAGTTTTTGCCCAATACGTCACATCTTGTGGTGCTAATAAAATGATCCCTTCCCATCTCCATTTTTTATATATTTTCCACTTTTTGCACGCTACACAGATTTGGATGTGCGCGTCAACCTCGCTCTTGTTCCTCAAAGTAATATTTTTCCAGAAAAAGTCCTGCATACACACTAACGATATTCTACACTATTTGGAATATAAACTTGCAAAATATTATTGAGTTATAACTTTAGTTTGCACTTTGTTGTTGTAATATGTATTCTAAAATTGCACTGTTGCATTATTCCCAGACAGAACAAACTCAGAAGCAGCTTATAAAGCGGCCTATGATATCTCTGAAAAGGAGCTGCCTTCTACACACCCCATCCGTCTTGGTTTGGCACTGAATTACTCAGTTTTCCAATATGAGATCTGCAACAATAAGGAAGGTGCTTGCTTTTTGGCTAAGAAGGTAGGATTTCTTTGATATTTGGGACCTAGCCGCCAATGCCTCTCTTATGTCTTATTTACCAATGGTCATTGTACTTCACAGGCATTCGATGATGCCATCGCAGAACTTGACAATCTTCAAGAAGAAAACTACAAGGACAGCACCCTCATCATGCAGCTCCTGAGAGACAATTTGACAGTAAGTGGTCAATATTTAGATTTTAGAATAAGAAGGGAGCATACACATTAAATGTAATTGTTAATTTAGTCTTAAGGGCTCACTAGGTATCAATTGGTGCTCTAAAGTTAGAGCATAAATGTCAGTGATAAAAGGGTTCAGTGTTACCCTTTTCTGAAACTTTTGGTCACCTGCTGATTTTATTAGGGATGCCTGCATTTACTAAATCAAAAGTTAAATCTCAATATGCATTATACTGATAGTTATTTTAATTGAAACCTTCGTTTTTCAGCTGTGGACTGCTGATAACGAGGCCGAAGATGGAGATGAGTGATACTTCGGTTTTCAGTAGTCTGCCTGCCTTTCAACATTCCAGCTCATTTTCACGTGATCCATGGAGACTATTTGGTTGTCATCCTCCTTCCAATCCTTCCCCTGTTTTACTGTTCCAACCCTGTAGTCCTTATGTCATTTTTAAAGTATGCTTAAAGAAAGGCTGTAATAAGTGTATTTGCGTGCTGGGAGTTTTTCACTGTCACTGCAATGGCTTGGACTCATTGTTCATGTCATATATGTAGTTGCTTATCCTCAGCCGGCAAAGTTGTCACACTTTTGGATGTATTTGAGGACTTATTTGCAATGTTTGTCTTGGGATGCATATTTATAATACATTGCCTACATTTTTTTTCTACTTGAGAAATGGGTGCAGGCGACAAATGAGCAATTATTGAAGACCAAGGGTGTAAGGCAAGATTGAGTCCACAAGGATACATTCTTTCCCTCCTTTTGTGGAGAGCTGCATCTGTATTTTTGTGCTTACATTAACAATTACAATTTTGAATAATTACAAGACTCAAGGTAGATATTACCCTATTGTTATATTGTATTAGCACATACACAATTCTTTAGATATATATCTTTTAAAAAAAAAATTGTTAGAGCTCCCCTTCCTTTCAATACTTGCCTTGACTATGTTGGTGAAAAGTAGGCCCATGTCTTTATTAAACTTGTAAGGAGTTGTTTATCTGGTTCAATTTGATGTTTTATTAACAATTGAAAACAAGACACTGAAGCATGTTTTTGGGGAAACGTTTAATTTACTGAGAATAAAACCATTTGTAAAAGTCAAGAAATCCTTGTTTGATTATCTCATGATATACATTATCTATCCACTTCTATTTATAAAATAATGAAACGTACAGGATCCCTACATCCAGAACAAGAATACCCCAAAATGAACAGTTGTATTCTGATGAATGTCCTGCACCATATATTTGACTAGAAATGTGTGGCAAAGTATAAAATTATTTCGGGAACAAATCGAGGACCCAAAAACCAAATTATTTACACAGAACATTTAAAAAAAATATGAAAACAAGTCAAAATACCAGTGAAATAATGGGCATCTTCGTGTAATCATGACATTGATGGTTAGATTATTTTTCTATCTTATTTTGTTCAGCACTTTGAGTTGCCTTGTGTATGAAATTGTGCTTTACAAATAAACTTGCCTTGCCTACTGCATGGTTATTATGCAACAATATTTTCTTCTCGCGAGACATCGGGGAACAACGCCGAGACTTGAGCGTAGCTACGAAGCAGCTACGGCCGACCTTCCTTTCGCTACCGTGATCCGTCTACGCTGGGTGTGCTCCGGAGCTAGTCTCGGCACACATTTTATTATTATGAAACAAACCAAAAGCTAGACGCAGACATATTTTTATAAGAAAAAAACAAAAAAAATCGGTGAAGCAGGATTTCATTTGCAAACTCAAGCAACGCAAAGAAGACATCGCCTTTGAAAACGGAATAGATCAGAGTGTTAGCCACTAATGTTAGCCTCATTGTTGAAGCGTGGGTGATTAGTTTGTCTCGTGAAATAGCTCAAATTTGATGTAAACGGTGAAGATTAATTTTGCCATTCCACGTATACATTGAACTAAGTTGTGAAATATAAGCTTTATCACAATTTTCGATTCAAAGCTTATTTTATCTTGCAGCCGCTCCTAAACGGGCCTTACTCTGATACCTGAAGCTAACTAAGCTAGCTCGCTCACGTTACTAATTGACAGCGTTGTAACGTCGAAGGACTTTCCGCACTATTCGTCAAATTGTTCAGTGATATAAATTAAAAGGACACGCCTAAAACATGAATCCCAGCGCGCCCAGTTACCCCATGGCCTCCTTATACGTGGGGGACCTGCATGCAGACGTGACAGAAGCCATGCTGTATGAGAAGTTCAGCCCAGCCGGTCCGATCCTCTCCATCAGGGTGTGCAGAGACATGATCACTCGCCGCTCCCTCGGATATGCCTACGTCAACTTTCAGCAGCCTGCGGACGGTAGGTCGAGCTGTTACTCTGCAGTTGGTTTAGCTTTATGACAAATTTTGGTTTAGCCTGGACGTTCTGATCTAGGTATAACCAAGATGTTGGAGTAACCTTATGTAATGTTCTTTTTCTACTGGTTTAATTGAAAAACGTATCAAATCTGGTGTTGCCAGTGTCTTGTGTACATGTTCAGCTCTCACACATGTAGCTGCTCCTCTGGCTCTGACAGCGGAGTCAGCTGCTTATGTTGTGACCTTACCACCCAGATGTCACCAAAGAAACTGGCAACCCAAATGAGACAGACTTCACATCATGTCCATTGTTTTTGTTCTTATGAATAAATTCTATACTATACCCTATACTTACCCCATGCTTTATGATTCATTCATCTGTTTTATCTTGTGCCTGGGAACAGAGATAAGCATTCAGGTCCTGTAATCTTGGGTTAACACTACTTAGTACTTTTGATCAGTTTTGTTTCATTGTGTACTTAAAATTCAACAATTGATAATCTGAATTTTGGGAATATGTGGAAGGATAAATAGTATATTGAAATTTTTGGTTTTATGTTGTCTTCTGGTTGTGTACCTTTTTAGAATTAAACCAAACACTGCACTATTAAGTGTAAGCTAGATCCATGGTGTAAGCCCGTACATGTATTTCAGCTGACATGTTTACCTCTGCCCTAAACATTTGTGCTTGTACTTAATAATGTGGTATGTCTTTCAGCTGAGCGAGCCCTGGACACAATGAACTTTGATGTAATCAAAGGGAGGCCTCTTCGAATAATGTGGTCTCAGCGCGATCCATCACTTAGGAAAAGTGGAGTGGGCAACATCTTCATTAAAAACCTAGACAAATCCATTGATAACAAAGCTCTGTATGACACATTCTCAGCCTTTGGAAACATCCTGTCCTGTAAGGTAAGAGTGCATTCTGTAGGTTTGTCAGATAATCAATTGTATCTTCTGCATGTTTGGCACCAGAGTGAAGAGATCTGAGTGTTTTTTTTAAATATTTGCATGTGATTGTATTTGACATGCTTGAATATTCCCTTTTAAAGGTAGTTTGTGATGAAAATGGTTCAAAAGGCTACGGCTTTGTTCACTTTGAGACCCATGAGGCTGCTGAGCGTGCTATTGAGAAAATGAATGGCATGTTGCTCAATGACCGAAAAGTGTAAGTGTTTCTAAATAACATTTACGAGTGTTGACTGCATTCTAGGATATCACTAACATCAAATTGGGTTTTTATTTTGATTTCACATTGGATTTTTTTTTTTTTTACCTGTTCTTTTTTTAATCTATAGGTTTGTTGGTCGGTTTAAATCTCGAAAGGAAAGGGAAGCTGAACTAGGTGCCCGTGCCAGAGAATTTACAAATGTTTACATCAAGAACTTCGGAGAAGACATGACCGATGACAAGCTGAAGGATCTCTTTGGTAAATTTGGTAAGGGCAGGGCGCTAATAGCCCAAGGTCATTAAATAGCCCAATTTTAGAATTGGTCTGCAGCAGCTCAAATTTAATCTCCACTTAATAATTTTCCAAGATCAGTTTTATAATAGCTTTTTACAACTTTCAGAGACAAAAGCAAATCTGTCTGGCACATAAACCAAACAAGAATGTCCCCTGGCTTTCTCCTGTCCGGTGCTGATGCCGTGCACCAGATTATTTTCCTCGGGTCTGTGATGTGTTTGCGGCCTGTTTAATTCTGAATTTAGTAATTATAGAATCTAAATTGTTCTCAATGCATCATTGAACCACTGATTACTTGGCAAGTTCCAAACTGATTAGGGTCTTCTATATTAGACAATTGTAAGATACCCACGTTATTACCTAGAGATGTTACATGTCTATTTTACATTGTCTAGAATAACCAAATCACTTGACCTACTAAGACACATGTGTCAAAGTCAAGGCCCGCGGGCCAAATCCGGCCCGCGAATGAATTATCTATGGCCCCCGGGACATTGCCTGCCATTGAGGCAATGTATTGACCCCTTAAGCTCGCTAGCCCCCGCTGGCGGGAGCAAACGAGGAAAAAAATACTTCTGCTGGCAATAGCAGATGTATTTTGAACTTCATAAGCCACAAGCTATATGCCATTTTAAAGCTTATTTTCTCAGCTATATTTATATGTAAGTGTAAACGATATCAGAATTTGCATTAAAAAGATATAACGCATAATATGGGCACAAAATAAATCAGTCTGTATTTGTTTTTTACCTTTCGTCTTCTGCTGCTCCAACAAATTAGACTTTCCCCATCCTTGCTTAGTCTCTTTCTCTCCGTAACTGTTCATTGAAGAAGAATATCCACTTGTATTTCCCAAAGTATAATCCATTCTTCAGATTTAATCAAAAAACGCCCCGAAAAGAGGTCCAGACTGCTCTTTTACATTTCACCAAGTTTGAGCTTTTTCTTTTTTTACTGTTTTCATGTTCTCAGATGTCTATTACATCTAATATGTACAGTATGAGGATTGTCTTTGGAGCATATTTTATCGAGCCAACAGGTGTCACCGGCACTGCCTCTGGATGTTGAGAAACATTGAACCAGTCAGGCCCTCGGCGCGTAGCAAACATTTCTTTTTGGCCCCTTTGATGTATTTGACTTTGACATGCCTGTACTAAGACATTAAGATGAACCTCCCTAAACTTGGCTAGTTCTTGTTACCTTTCTGGCCTGGTGGTCGGACGTAATTTGCATTTGATTTGTTCTCTGGGATGTCGCAATGTGAGAAATAAGCTATAATTATTGATGGGTCTGATTATTCATAATTAGATCTTCATTATGTCTATTGTGGGAACACATGGGAATTTTCTTTATTTCAAACCTAGAATTCATTTCATTTTATGGTAAGAAAATGAATTGCATTACTGATGCAAATAACTAAAAAAAAGAAACTAGTTTGGTTTTTGATTTTTTTGAAGCCTTTAAAATTGAATTGTTTCATTTGTGTAGGTCCTGCTCTGAGTATACGTGTTATGACAGATGAAAATGGCAAGTCTAAAGGATTTGGCTTTGTCAGCTTTGAAAGGCACGAAGATGCTCAAAAGGTAAATGTATCTACATACACTACATTATAATACTTTTGTGTTAGGATTGAAATGAACAACTGTATTGATTATCTTTGTTAGAGATGACTAAAGGCATGCGTAAACAAATATACGTGAATAAACCTATTCTCAGCATGTTTAAGGCTGAAGGTCCAAAAACGGATTGATTACTAATTGTTCAGTTGCATTTAATTGAGTTGGCAGCCCTATTGTGTATATAAATACATGTATACATTTAAAGATTGTTCTTCTTTAGGCAGTGGATGACATGAATGGTTCAGAGCTGAATGGCAGACAAGTTTATGTGGGACGAGCACAGAAGAAGGGAGAACGTCAGAACGAACTGAAACGCAAATTTGAGCAGATGAAACAAGATCGCATGACCAGATATCAGGTGAGTTATTTCTCATTGTACCCAAAAATTGAAGTAATGTTTAATTGGATGCACATCACTACTATGAATTTTGAGTCATGATTTCCATTCATTTCAGGGTGTTAACTTGTATGTCAAAAACCTGGATGATGGGCTTGATGATGAGCGTCTGCGAAAAGAATTTTCTCCTTTTGGGACCATTACTAGTGCAAAGGTGAACATAACAAAAATATTGTTGATGGGGAATGAAAAATTACATTGCTTATGATTTTATCTTTCAGGTGATGATGGAAGGTGGTAGGAGCAAGGGGTTTGGATTTGTGTGCTTCTCTTCCCCAGAGGAAGCCACTAAAGCTGTCACAGAGATGAACGGACGTATTGTAGCCACTAAGCCACTTTATGTCGCTCTGGCTCAGAGAAAGGAGGAGCGCCAGGCACATCTCACAAACCAGTACATGCAGAGGATGGCGACTGTCCGTGCTGTGCCCAACCCTGTGCTCAACCCATACCAGGCTGCCCCTCCCTCAGGGTACTTCATGGCTGCTATTCCTCAGGCTCAGAACCGTGCTGCGTACTATTCTGCCAACCAGCTGGCTCAGCTGCGGCCAAGCCCACGCTGGGCGACACAAGGAGTGCGTCCTCAGCGTAAGTTGTCTCTGCAGTATTTAACTGAATCCATGTAGCATTTTCTTTGTATAAATTATTCCCATTTTGTGTAGATTTTCAGAACATGCCCGGTGCAATGCGCCCGTCTGCTCCTAGACCTCAGACATTCAATACTATCCGTCCAACTGCAACCACCAACGCACAAGTCCCACGCATGATGGCCGCCCAGCGCATGCGTAAGTAGTGTGCCCCAAAGAATTTGTATACTAAATTAGGCAATACTCATGTTCAGATATTTTACTAAATGGATTGTCCTCTAGCCACTCAGCCAATGAGTCAGCGACCTGCCGGTGCTTCTGCCACTGCAGCCCCTGTGCGCACCATCCCTCAGTACAAGTACGCTGCTGGAGTGCGCAACCCACAGCAACACATTGCCTCCCAGCCCCCGGTCGCCATGCAACAGGTCAGACATGGACTATCTAACCTTTCCTGTCTTAAGATTTAAATGGTTTTAAATCTAAAGCTTGTTTTATTTTCAGCCTGCTGTGCATGTCCAAGGACAAGAGCCATTAACTGCCTCCATGCTCGCTGCTGCCCCACCTCAGGAGCAGAAGCAGATGCTGGGTGTGTATATTTTTATATGCAGGACTCAATGAGAGACACTTAATAAACATCCATAAGCACAATAATGAGGATAATGATTTTTGAATTGTTTTCTGATGCTTTTGAATTTTTTGTGGATTGACTGTTTGCTTCTTTCAGGTGAGCGCCTGTTCCCCCTGATTCAGAACATGCACCCCAGCCTGGCCGGCAAGATCACTGGTATGCTGCTGGAGATTGACAACTCTGAGCTTCTTCATATGCTTGAGTCTCCAGAGTCTCTGCGCTCAAAGGTCAGTCTGTACATTAAAATGTTCTAGTTTTTGTGTGCATTGTAAACGTGGCTCGTGTTTGATAACATTTTAATTCTTTTGTTACCTTTTAGGTGGATGAGGCGGTTGCTGTGCTTCAGGCCCACCAGGCCAAAGAAGCGGCTCAAAAGTCCACTACTCCAGCTGGAGTTCCCAGTGTCTAAGGTATGCTTGGACAGTTCAGAGATGACCATTTCTTTTCTAGGCCAGAATATTAAACTATATTTTTTTCTTTCAGACTGAATTTTGAAACCTGCTTCACCGATGGAAAAAGAGGAAAAAAAACATTAAACATTGAAAAATCTAAAACTCTGAAAACATCGAAAAATTATAAATTATTTCTTAAAAAAAGATAAACGATTGACTTTGCCAGGTCTAGGGATGGTTTGACTAGGCCTTGATCATAAATAAAAATTTGTTGACAAAAAAAATTGCAAAATAGAGAAAATTGAGATTATACATATGAATGCATTCTTCTGTTTTATGTCGTTTTAATATGTCATTGCTCAGATTATCAGCCATGTGCGAGATTGTGATAGCTGAGCATTTTGGAAGGTGATTTGTTATGTACTGGCTGTATTAAATTCTCATTCAAAATGTGTGTCTCAGTCTGCTAAACATTTTGGAAAGATGGTACATTATTATTACCTGCCAACAGGCAGGATTGCGACATTTAATGTATGGATTGGGATTACATTTGTGGTGTAGCTGGTCTGATTGCAGGAAGACCCCATTAAAATATTGGGATGATTTGTGTTGGTATGTGCAATTGTTTATTGCCATACTATTTTTATTTTTTATTTGTAAAATTGTCTTTTCAAATAACAAAAACGCGGTGATGCAGGATACAATTTTTGTTATCCACAAGGTGTCATTGTAGCTTGTGGTTTTGCCATATGTATGCCACTTTTGTGAAGAAGCGCCGACATTGTTTGAGTGGCAATTGTTTCACCAATGCTGGAATGTAATATTAAAACGCCTTGGTGACAGGTGAAATAACAGTAAAAGGAATGTATGGGCCACTGACATTTAGGTGTCTTAAAAACATCACAGCTGTGAATTAACATCATGCTCCCTACCAGATGTGTGAACGGTTAAATGTGATAGCTTTAATGCAAAATTACATTAAATATCATGAACAGTTTATTTATCCTTCTGCCATCCTACTGGATGTTGTCCTTTGCATTTAACCCATCTGACGATGCCAGAAGAGCACCCCCCAGGCACTCCAATTGATATTGCTTGACTTATCAAAGCTGGTAGATTTGTACACAAAGCAATTTTGTTTTATTATAATCAATAATGAATACATTTTGGAACTTTGATATTGATATTATAATGTCGTTAAAATATGCTTGAATCAAATTATTCTAAAATAATTAACACACTCCAACCACAAAAAGTAGAATGCCATGTCCATGACTTATAACGACCAGTGAGTGCATTGAAGAGCACAAGTAACCATTTTATCCAGTTTTTTTTTATTTTTTTCTCCAGTCCGACAGTTGGAAGCACGTGCTATGAATACAGAACAACCAAAAGTTTGTTATTGATTTTTAACAACACATTCTGCACCTAAATAAAGCTCTATGGAGCATGGATTACAATAGTTATTCTCAACCATACAAGTACTCAACACAACATGACCTCACCACATCTGGGTTACTATAGTAAGTCCAAATCTCGCGATACAATTTGAATTTCTAGCCTGAACGAGACCTGCGAACAACGGCGCAGTGAGCTGTGGAGCTGTGGTCGTTCGGAGCGGAAAGGTGCGACCGAAGACACGGGGAAATAAGTGTTACCAGTGGGAAACAACATACGACACGGGGCCGGGACACAGTCAAACTTCTCCAGAAAAGACAGCTTGAAATGCAGACGTATTGAATTGATTTAACTTGCTGTCTTTAAGAGGAAGTGTCAGCAGCAGCAGACGGTACAGTACGCTCTCATCATTACGTGCTAACATTGATGCTAGCTGCTAATGTTGCTATGTTTGTAAAGGGAACTGCCTGGGACTGCGCTTACTGCAAATACACCATGGAGCTATAAGAAATACACACAGACTTTTAAAACGATGCGACCAAACGCTGTTGTTTATATGAGCGATCACAGCCAGCTCGATCTCTTGTGTCAAATGTTAATCGTTTACAATGCAAGTAAGTGGTATTAGTGACCCTAGTATTTAATGCTGAAAACGCTGACAATCTCAAGAGTTTTTGCAACACCACCATTTTATCCGTATTTTATTCTAGTTATGTAATGACAATACAGTATAACTAAAACACGATGAAGAAATCATTACATTATAATTATTATGGATGTGTGTCAGTGGCAGCCGATATTCTATTTAAAGGGGTGTCGTACAACAATTATTATTATTATTATTATTAATCTTTATTAAGGACACAATACAACACGGTCCATAGTTAAAAAACCAAAGAAAAAATATATACAAGAAAACAAACCAAAGAGAACATTACAGCTGCTGAACAGTATAAAGGCATAACCTCCAGTAAGTCCATAATTTGGAGGTGAACAGCAGTGAGCAGAACTCGGGGCTGACGAGAGTCTTAACAATCACATTAATAGAGTTCCTCAGACGACACATAAATCTGAACTGAACATTTCGAAGAGATGCAGAACAAGATCGAACACCACAGTAAGCAAACATCTCACTTGCGCTGCTGTGCCGAGGAACCTTCAGCAGCAGCCTCAAGGAGTTGTTATAGGCCACAGTGAGTTTCTGCAAACTGGACTTTTTAAAACTCTTCCAAAGGTAAGCAGTGTACATAGGTGAGCAGTAAGATTTAAAAAGAGTTACCTTTACCTCAGGAGAGCACATACTAAACTTACGTAGCAGCATATTTGATTGGCCATATAACTGACACAGCTGCCTGTGCAATTGACAAGTTGTTGCCGCAAATTTTACATTCTCATTTATTGGGAAGTCGCGAAGATAATGCAAATGACTGTTCTTGGTATAAAGTTTATCTTGTCTTATTTTATCTTATTATTGATTGCCAATTTAGGCTGTGTCTTGTCTACAATGGACTACAAATAGGGGCACCAATAACGACATAATTTATTTGTGTACTCACTGGTGCATACTTATTTTTTAATTCCATCATATTTGATGGATCTAATGTATTTTTTTAACCTTAATAATGGAAAATCCTGTGTACGCCAGTAATAGATGGGGTCATCTGAGTTTTTAATAATCTATTACAGATTAATCAATGAACTTTAATGTAACGATTTTCTCTTTAGCAATACTTAGTTTAGAACGCAGCTAAATGTGCAGAAGCCACTGAAGGACAATCTAGTAACATTTTCACTTACGTGTTTATTGTCATTGTGACATTTACACACATCCTGTTTATTTAATTGTTTTAGTTACTGATCAGGAGTGTGTGACCCCTGGTCTACATGTACACACACAGCTGCTGCTGACCATTTATTTTGCCAGGTAGAATTTTCCCATCACATACAATCCATTCCAGTGAGGGGTAATTATAAGTTATATATATTTTGAGCACTTGGTCATAAATATCTTTAAATATCTCTTTTCACAGTAATGTGAATTTGAATTGTTAATTTGGCTTGTGTAAGCTTACTATTACTGGAGTGGGAGTCTCATTGAGCTGTGAATGTTTTGCTACACTGATAATGTCAAATGCAGCCTCACTCCCCTTTCCTCACTGCAGTTGAAGGAGAATCTGTTTTGATCTCAAGCATGTCTCATTCATTTCTAAAGTTTAGTGGAAGGGTGCTGTGCTGCTGCTGGAAATGTGTGTGCATGTTGCAATGTGCATTACGAAAGGGTATGCGTTATGTGTGATTTTACACCTTTTCAGCTGTGCCATTTCTGAAGAATAACGTGAAATGTAAGATAGTGTGATTTCCATTTTTTGGACAAGTTTACATTTGAGGTAAATGTTCCCAATCTTTAAATGGGCTCTTTTGGATGGCTTAACTTGTCACCTCCTGACACCTCCTCTTATTGGCCTGACACCAGAGTCTGCTTCATCCTTCTGATTTTAGAGGGAGAACATCCCTATAGTTCTTCTCAGCTGAGCGCAGATGCTTGGATGCTGACCTCATATCCTCCGTGGAACTCAGAGGAGGGGGCAACAGTAGTCGCACACTGTACACAGTGTCTGGCATAGGAAAAAACTCCCTTTCTTCTGTGCAGTGCTGCCTGCCACTTGTGCACTCAACAATGGACTTCTTGTTTCAAGCTTACCAGTCATTTACCTCTACAGTTACTTTTGAATGTGGAGTGATGAATGATCTGTTTTTAATACAATGGATCATATTTGAGTTTAGGACTGTAAGGATGGCAGATCTATCTTGCCTCAGTCATTTTGAGTAACGACCATTACCTTTGTTACAACTTTGCTAAATTACATAACTATTGGTGAATCTCCTGAACTTTATTATTTTAACTTTGATTTAATATATTATTTTGTGTGCTCTAGTGACCTAAGCATGATTTTAAGTCTGTTCTATTTGGAATTTCACGTCCTGATTCCTCCTTCACACATTCATTTAATATGGCAGAAAAGTTGTCTTGTGAATGACCGCATGGCCATGGTAACCCCAGGGGCTAAGCTGCTCTTTTTGGAGAAGGGGAGAAACATGGAAGCAGAGAAATGTGTGTTCAAACACACAGTGCATGCACACAGCTCATGAAAAAGACTCGTACAAAATATTATTTACTGATTTACGTAAATCTGATGATGAAAAGCAGGCAGTGATAACAATTTGACTAAAGACATTTGGAAATGTGCTCATTCATCTTACCAATGTTATTGCTTTTCTTTGTCATTAGAACATGCACATATATCTTAAGCCATTTTGCAATATATGAAACACTATTTTGTATATTACAGCATGATTTAATCACAAGGAACTTGATCAACTGCACAGCTCCATGATAAGTCCCATACCTCATGTTTGCTAGGATTATTCTTCTCTAATTCTTGACAAACCTTGAGATTGAAAAGGCTAAAGTCTCAACATTTCCCATGAAGCATGCTTGTGTTCTGCATAACATGTGCTTGACTGTTTCTATTGGAGTTCATTTATTAATATTGGAGATTGCATTTAAGTCATTTTTGATGGGTTTAGGAGGGTTGTATAATTTTGGCAATATATCAAATGGCAGTTTTCTTACAGACGATACAATCGAGTTTAGATTTGCAATTCATCTCTTCGGATAAAATCACATCATATACAGCATCTCTTACCTGGGAGATGTATCCACCCATTTAGTCCATCTCTCAAATAAAAAGAAAAAGAAAAAATTATGTGTTGGACTTTGTATTATTCAAAAAGTTGACACCAATAAGATGATTTATTCTGCAAATGCATTAACCGAGACTCGATTTTTGATTTCCATGATTGCTTTTATCTGAACTTGGTGATGACTTTTACCTTGGGCGGAACTTTCATGTGCAAAGCAAATGTACAAATCACTCCGTCAGCTGCAAGCAGACTGGAGAAGAGGGGTGTAAAAATATCTAAACACAGCTCAAACAAAGAAGGAGGGGCAGAACAAGGGGGATAGAGGAAAAGACGGTCATTGAGTAAATGATTAAATTGCAATAAATGGGAAGCATTTTGGAGCCAAATATAAGGCTTGGATAAACAACTTTTTTCCCCACGAGATATCACGAGATAAAAAAATGTATAGTAAATCTTTTTACTGGAGTTTATTGCTATACCGGTAACTGGGACATCCCTAACCTCCTTGAGTAGCCCGGAAAAGAATGGCATGGCCAACAGTTCAATGTGTTTTGTAGAGTTCTTATAAGGAGGTGAATGGTAAAATTCACATGTTTGTTCCACAAATTAACCAATAGCTTTCATGGTTCAATAAGAACACTTGGTTTATTCTGAGATTTCTTTCTTTTGTCTTTTTGTAGGATCTGTTGCCCCCTTTTCAGCCCGGCTGACCCCTGCCCCTTCGCCAAAATCCGGCTCCTGGATGTGACCACGCGGCTGATCAGAAGGAGCCATCATGTCCTAAATGCAGATGGGCCGTCGGGAGCCCTGTCTCCCCACGCTGGCCCCATTCTCCCCTCCCCTATCCACCACCTCACCTCTTCCCCCAGCCCTATTCCTCTGCCGGACCTGAACACACATGTCCGCGACCGGCTGCCCGGTCAGGGCTCCCCCCTGTCCCACCCTTCCCCTCTGTCCCCCAGGCCGACCACCCTCCACAAGCACCATGTGCCAGCGGGAGGCATGGGGTCGGACAGGGACATCCAGTCCACTGCTTCCTCCATTTCACTGCCGTCTGTCAAGAAAGGCCCCAAGAAGAGACGCCTCTCCCTGGCTGCTCTGTTCAGACGCAGAGGACGGGAGTCCAAGTCGGCACGGCAACGAACCAGAGAGCTGCAGCACGGGGCGGGAGCATTCGGGCCAGCGGACGCAATCGCCAGCATCGAGAGCATTCACTCCGAAATGTGTAACGATAAAAACTCTGCCTTGTTTAGCCCAACGGTGTCTGCTGTGGCCGCCTCCACGTCCTCAGCCTCAGGACCCTCCTCCACCTGCTCCTCTGCCTCCAAAGCTGTGGGTGGGATGGGGCCAGAGTTGCTGGAGTGCCCCCTTTGCCTCCTGCGTCACTCGCGGGACTGCTTCCCTGATATCATGACCTGCCACCACCGCTCATGCATGGACTGCCTGCGACAGTACCTGCGCATAGAGATCTCTGAGTCGCGCGTGAACATCAGCTGCCCTGAGTGCGCGGAACGCTTCAACCCTCATGACATCCGCATGATCCTGGGGGACAGGGCCCTGATGGAGAAGTATGAGGAGTTCATGCTGCGCAGGTGGCTGGTGGCCGACCCAGACTGCAGGTGGTGTCCCGCCCCAGACTGTGGGTAAGAATCTTCTAGTTGTCATATTAAAAGATTTTTGTACTTAAATGTTACAATTGTTGGACGACTTATCCCAGTTAATAAAATAAAATAAAATAAAATAAATTTAATTATTGTGTAAAAACACATTCATTGGACAAAGTATATGAGACAAGGTTCTTCACTATTTTGACATTGTATTTTATAATTTTTATTCTGATACCAAACTGCTTTACTGTTTTGTTTGTTACGTTAAAACCATGTATAAATTGAGTTGTAACTTTATAAAACAATTCAATACTGGATACTTATGACAGCTATATTTTTGTCAGTAAGAAAGACACATTCCACGCGTTTCTTTCATAGCTTGTGGAAAGGCTTTTAAGAATTAAAAAACAATGATAAATATCTGGTAATTGTTATTTTACATTTTTGTGTGCACCTTATTAATTTGAAAGTATGAGTCCTTCCTCTGTCTAGTCTTGTTATTGGTCCTCTCTGTAAGCTTCAAATAATTGGTTAATTCAGTTGTGTACAATTGGTGAGTTTAGTTCAGGGGTCGGCAACCCAAAAGGTTCAAAGTGCCAATTTTGACAAAAAAAACTAAAAACCGCATCTGTCTGGAGCCTTGTATAAGAATTATATTTCATTTACTGTCATACTTTAGATGTTTATAGTAGTTCTAAACATCTGTAACATAACTTATTACTTAAATGTAATTATTGTGTAACTGGGAAAGAATGTTTTTAGGGGCTTGTGTTTTTCCAGCCAAATATGTGCTGATTGCTGTGGAGTGACAGCAGCCGTAGATCAACTCCGATTCAGTATGGGTCTCGATCTGCTCTGGTCTTCTGGTGATTAACCCCCGCTCCCCGTGACGACACCGCATCACAGTTGACTGGAGTTGGTGTACGTTACAAGCTGCAGTCAACACGATCTAAACACATGTCAGTGTTTATGTACTCCTACTGTGAGCTAATGACACCTTTGGATAAAGCGGAGTGTCGAAAGTAGGTTAGTTTATTTATAAGAGACCGTATGCAATAAACAGTAACAAGGAGATGTGCATTGATTTGCACCCACTTATAGCAAGAGCACCCACTTACAGCTCCAGTCTAGGAACAGGTGATGACGATGTCCTAAAAATCTATCTTTTCATATTTTAAAAATCATTGAGTACATTCATTCCTATTGGTATGAAATGCACACTCCTGGCTCATATACACAAAGCTTGCACACCACAGAAAGACACCAAATATATGTAATCATAATGTTTTGAATTCAAACAAACAACAGATGTGTGTCCTACAGTGTGTTGTTACGGCCGACAGCAGCGCCCAGAGAATGGCGCAGTGTTGGTGAGTGTGTGAATGCCTTTGTCACCCTGGGGCCTCACATCAAACTGCCTCGTCGTCTGTCACCAGAAATGACCACTGCAGCTTTGTTTAGTCTGTGTGCTTCAGATCTGTGCTCTTCGTCACATTGTTACAGCGGGGTGTGATCTGTGAAGCGAAGGAAAGATGAGATGATCTCCAAAAGGCATGTTACGAATGAGGCAGACTCCCATAGCGTCTCTAGAAGAAGAATGACAACAATGATAATTAGGGAGGCTCCCCACCGATTTGTTTATTATTGGCCACATTTTGTATGAAAAAGAGGGTAATGTCATGTAACTCAGAACTAATACATTGTTTTAAATAGTTGTTCAAAAAAGAATACATTACTAAATTAATGGACAATACTCAACCGTAAAACGTTCGCAGTCAAAATGGAAATGTAAATAAATATTTATTTTTAATTACATTTCAAAATAGAAGAAACTTTCACTTAAACTTTTCTCAGAACAATTTTCCGGGTTCTTGACAACTAATCGGTAATTTTAAATGTTCATTCAGGTTTTTATGTCTTTTTCTCCAGGTATGCCGTCATTGCCTTTGGTTGTGCCAGTTGCCCAAAGATCACTTGTGGCAGAGATGGGTGTAGCACTGAGTTTTGTTACCACTGTAAACAGCTTTGGCATCCCAACCAAACGTGTGACGCGGCACGGCAGCAGCGCGCCCAGAGCCTCCGCCTTCGCACGGTTCGCTCCTCTTCCCTCAGCTACAGCCAGGAGAGCGGCGCTGCAGGTAGGCTAGTCTCTGGGCACATCTGTCCAGGTGCTGAACTGTGGGTGCAAAGTTAAAGAGCATGTGCAATTTCCTTGGTTTCGTGCAATTCAACCTGTGCATGATCAATCAGTTTGCTCCAAACACCATCACTTTTGCACTTAAAAATGTATCCCAATACTCTGGGGAAACTTCCCTAAACCCCAAAAGTAGTCAAGTTATCATGTTTTTTTCTAATAGGAATGAACCAGATGCCTGAAACCTCAAAAAATAAATCATAAATATTTTGGAGCGGACTGATGTAACAAAACCAATGGGACGCGTTTATCCCCCTGCCCCCCCATCCTGATTATTGTCAGTGCGCGCACCTGCCTTAGTTGTTGTTGAGTCGGATTTTCTAAAATGCCTACAATGGCTGAACCAAAAATCCCCAAAGTGCCAATTTCACGTTTGCCACCCACTGGCCCTGTTGTGGCAAAGAAGAGACAATCAAATGAACAAAAGGCCTATAACCCTGCTCCCATTTTGAGTCGGTGCTACTCAGATGCTGCTGCTGAAAGCTAACCTGAATCCTTTACTGCACCTTTAAGCAAACGCTTGATAAATGAAGGCCTGTATGCGCTGTCAATAATGGCACAAGATGACAATCATAATAAGTAATAGTCTATGCAAGCTTTCTGTAAAGGCTATGCACAACTGTTTCTTAGGGCAAAATTAACACAAAATATAAGGACTTTAATTGTTAAATATCTATCATTTGGAAAGATGAGGTTCATAGTCCCAAAGGGAAATTTTCCGTCTGCATTTGACCCATCCTCCAATGTTGCAATGGCCGCTACAACGCAGCGCCCTGGAACAGTTATTTTAAATTAACTTAATGTCCCTAGGTAAAATGAATCCCATTGGAATAGGGCTTAAATGTAATAGAACATTCCACACAGTTTTGGTTTATATAATCTGTATTGTCCCCACAGCTGATGACATAAAGCCATGTCCACGCTGTGCTGCCTACATCATCAAAATGAACGATGGCAGCTGTAATCACATGACCTGTGCGGTGTGCGGCTGTGAGTTCTGCTGGCTGTGTATGAAGGAGATCTCAGACCTGCACTACCTGAGGTACAGTCACAGTACAGTACAGACGCTATACTACACTTTGTTTAGCTCTTACTCCTTTTACAGATGGTTTTTACGTTTGGAATCATTCCTGAAAGGTACACTAACGTTCAGATTATATTCTGACATTCATTGGGCCCCCTGTAACAGGCAAACATTCTTTCACCTCTCTTTAGTCCTTACAAGCCGCATAATCAGAGAAGGTCACCAAATATTCACCAGGACATAACGCTGAGTACACTGTTTTTGAGTGGAAACTCCCTTTTCATCATTCCTTGGAAAACGCTCTGTAGTGCCGCTCTGTAGGGCGGCACGGTGGCTGAGTGGATAGCACTCTCGCCTCTCAGCAAGAAGGGTTCGAATCCCGGTCGGACCAGGGCCTTTCTGAGTGGAGTTTGCATGTTCTCCCCGTGTCTGCGTAGGTTTCCTCCGGGTACTCCGGTTTCCCCTACCACCAAAAATATGTATAATAGGTCTGGCATGCGCCTCCTGTTCGGCGACCCCGCTCCCATCTCTGTGTCAAGTGAGAGGACAAGTGCGCGAAAATAACAATTGTAAACCGCTTTGTGATTCTGGTCTGTGAAAGGCGGTATATAAATAAATATTACTTACTTACTAGTAAACACCTGTAGTTTGAACGTGGGAGGCAGAGAGCGGGGCTCCTGCCAAAGAAGTCAGTACCTGACGGATGTTACACACACTATAGGACGTGCATTTCATTTTTGTTACATTTGATCAAAAATATAAGTCATATACGTCTTAAAATTAAAACGCAATTGAATTCTGTTAATGACTAACACACATTTTGTGAACCATATTATCATTAAATATTTGAAGCACCATGATGACGTAACCATCCTATATTGACTTTAGTTTGTTTTTAGTATCTATGAACGACTCCAGCAGAAGTTTGCTCGTCTCCACTCTACCATCAAAGAAACGGGTCATTCAATCACCAATCATTCACGATAAGATCAATATTAATTCCACATGGATGGATTTACTTTGTAAATGAGGATGTTGTTCATGCTGAACTGCAGGGTTTCATCTAGCAGCACATACGCGATTCTATCCCCGTCTGTTATACGGCTCTGGATTGGTGGAACTCAGGTCCACAATACCTCCAGCGGTTGGAACGGATGAAGATGAGTCGAACTGCACAGAGCATCAACCGGCGAGGAGCAGCACGTCTTTCTACAGTTTTGATTCCATACAAAAGTGTATTATGAACGTGAACATTATCAGCTCTCAGAACCATCAATTCAGGAGCGAACTTGTAACGTTGTATGTATGCCCAGCTGTGTTAATGCTGAGCTCTTTGTGTATTACTTGTTACTCAATCCGTCATATGATATTTATGTTTGTTTGGACCTGTTCCTCACATGTTGTTCTCCCACCTCTCAGTCCTTCAGGCTGTACTTTTTGGGGGAAGAAGCCTTGGAGCAGAAAGAAAAAGATTCTGTGGCAGCTGGGAACATTAGTGGGAGCTCCGGTCGGCATCGCACTCATCGCTGGCATCGCAATCCCCGCAATGATCATTGGGATCCCGGTGTACGTGGGGAGGAAGGTAGGAAGACACTTCACTGGATAGATTAGAGTTCTGTAACCAACAAGTGTTAGATCGTCGTTTTAATGTTTGTTTTTTATGTTGTTTAGAATGCATCTGTTATCCTCTTACTTTTATTCAGATGATGCTTAAGTGAAGCTGTTCTTACAGATAATTGATCCATCCATTACATTCATCATAGATACATTTCTTTAATGTTAGATTTTTCAATGTAATTTCTGCTTTGAGTCTTAAAATCACTCTGAGCATTTATATCTGTTATGTATTTGTATCAGATCTTTATTCACCTACTTGACATATGTATGTAGTACTTGACGTTCTACATGTGTATGTTGTAGTATGACGATTATAAACTACTGGATAAGTGTCATTAGTTTGTTTGTAGTACAAAGGCAGAAGTTTCATCTTTAGGCCTATTTATTTAGTATGAATGTATTTTCACGCCTTTCTTCTGCAGTGCCCTCACAATCGCCTTCTTTCATTGCTCTCTGCTGTAAACAGTGATTCATTTCCCTCTAATCAATCTCGTAAAAGAATACAGCGTTTATATATATTTCCACTCACTAAACAAAAAACGGAGGTCATCGTTTCATTTTAGTTTCTTTCCATGTGTCCGTTCATTCATGGGCTGATCAGTTTAATAAAAACACGAGAGCATTGAATTGAAAGCATTTGAGCTTTGCTGAAATCCCCACATGAACGAGCCAAAAATGTTGAGCCTGCCCCGCCTTTGTCTCAGGGAAAAACTCGTTCAGTGTGTGATCTCATGTCACAGCTGAGTCATCAGCATTACTGCCTTCACACATACTGCAGGGCTGCGAAATAAATGACATGTGTTTTCAAATATTTACAGCAACGTAATGAACCAATAATCTTGCAAACATTGAAGTAGTTTTTATTTATCCTACAATTACTGGTTTGACCTGGGTAGCTGTTGTAATATGCCTAATTAGCTTGCCTAGATATGAACCTTGTTTTTATGCATTTATATGCAAATTTTAATGCCAAAGCATCACCTTGCTCTATCCTTAAACTTTCAGATTCATAACCGCTATGAAGGTAAAGATATGTCCAACCACAAAAGAAACCTGGTGATCGCTGGAGGAGTGACGCTCTCAGTCATCGTGTCTCCGGTCGTTGCTGCAGTAACAGTTGGTCAGTGTGTCTTCCTTTTTCTTTTCTTTTTTATTATGTTTTTTATATTCAGGAATAAAGTCTGTCTTCTGTGTCGTGTGGAAATGGGTTTGTTGGGAAAGTTTAGAAATGTGAATTGTTTGGTGTAGTTTGCTCTGAAGTCTGAGCTTTACTCACTTCCTGTCTCTGACCCCACAGGGATTGGCGTTCCCATCATGCTGGCGTACGTGTATGGAGTGGTCCCCATCTCTCTGTGCCGCAGCGGAGGATGTGGCGTCTCGGCTGGAAACGGCAAAGGAGTTCGGATCGAGTTTGACGATGAGAATGATCTGAACATCGGCAGCGGAGCGGCAGTCACTGGTGAGTTTCAGACATGGAGGCTTGTTGTTGACTTGTTAAATTAATGTTTGTTGTGATGAATTTACTATTTAACGGATGAATGTATGATATAATAATAACAATAATGATAACAACAACAATAATATAATAATAACATTGGCAGTTGCATAAGATGAATGTCTCAAAGATCTGAGCCCGGGCCATGACGCTCTCTCCACAGATACGACTTCAGTGGCCGACACCCGGAACAACCCCAGTATTGGAGAGGGCAGTGTGGGGGGTCTCACCGGGAGCCTTAGTGCCAGTGGAAGCCACATGGACCGACTCGGAGCCAGAGACAATGTGAGCGAGTGCGCGTCCACCACCGCTTTAGCAGGAGCCAGTATCACCGGCAGTCTTTGCGGCAGTGCTATGGTCAGCTACATCAACAGGTACCTCAACCTTTGTTTTTTATCTATTTTAGTGTTTGTGGTTGTCATGAAAGGTGTATGAAAACTCTATAATAATGTATGCTTTTGGTGTGTGTCCAGGTTGGAGGTTCAGGCTGATGTGCAGAAGGAGCGCTGCAGTTTGAGTGGAGAGTCCGGCACCGTGAGTCTGGGCACATTCAGTGACAACGCAAGCACCAAAGCAATGGCTGGATCCATTCTAAACGCCTACATGCCCCTCGACAGGTCTGACGCCTCCTTCTTCCTTATGTCCATGTATTTGCTATAAAAAAACGTTTCTAAATTTGTAAATTATTAAACATGACCCAAATATCGTTTTGCTTTGCTCAATTTGACAATTTTCAAAGCAATGTCCCATTTGTCAACATGTCTCTTTAAACTAAGTTTTTGAGTCGTGGATAATGCCTTTAACCAGTGTTACAATCTGACACATAACTGTCACTAGAAAAAATAAATGTATCAAATGCTTCTAAAATAAAATTGTCAATAACAGCTTGAACTTCTGCACATAATTAATCTCGCATATTATCAGAGCCTTCAGATAGAAAATCTTGTAGAAATACTTTCTATCCTGCAGCCTCTTTATCATCCTAAACAAATGAGGTTAACCCTTTTGTTGTTATCAGATTCATCTATAGAATTACTTCTATAGATGTAATTCAGGTTTCTATAATCACAATTTACCAGCTTTAAGATTGCCATTTCAATTTTTTTGCCATAGCCCTAATCCCCATCCTTTCTCCTTCAGAGACGGTAACAGTCTGGAGGTGCAGGTGGACATCGAGTCCAAACCGAGCAAAGTGCGGCACCACAGCGGCAGCAGCAGCGTTGACGACGGCTCGCAGCCGGGACGCTGTGGCTGGACCTGTCCCGCGTCTGGCTGCTCCGAGGGGAAGAGCGCCTCCTCCAAATGGCCCAAAGATGCTTCCTGCTCCAGCTCCGGCAGCAAGAAAAGCAAAGGCAAACTGCGAAAGAAAGCGGGCGGCACCAAGATCAACAAGAGCCGCGAGGACATGGACGCGCAGCTGCTGGAGCAGCGCAGCACCAACTCCTCAGAGTTCGACTCGCCGTCGCTGAGCGGGAGTCTGCCCTCCGTGGCCGACTCTCACTCCAGCCACTTCTCTGAGTTCAGCGGCTCAGATCTGGAGAGCATGAGGACGTCGTGCAGCCATGGCTCTGGTGGCGCGGCGGCGGACTACCACACACGCTTTGCCACCGTCAGCCCTCTGCCGGAGGTTGAGAACGACCGCCTGGAGAGCTGTCCCGCCGGGGCCGTGTCAGGGCCGGGGGCTTTTGCCACGCCTCACTCGCCTTCCTCCACCTCGTCGTCGCTCGGACACGGGGCCGAGCTGTCCCCTCTTTGCTTCATCACGGAGGAGAATGTAAACCTGGTGTGTCCCGCTCCATCGGCCGCACAGTGTGACAACGGGGACGCTGTGAAAGAGGCGAACAACAACCACAAAGAGGCGCCTCCGGTCGTGTGCGTTCAGAGCGACATATAAGGACGCCATGCCTTAAGTGCTGCGCTCCTTCTACAGCATTCAAACCTTTGCCACTAATCAGTCATTGCTCACGACTCACTTTGGTGTCTGTCTTTATGTTTTTGGAATGGTTTCAAGTCTGTCCTGGTGAACCACAGAGACCGCGTTATTAGATATCTGAGTTGATATCTGAACAAAACCTGGCCTGTTGTGCAATAGTTCTTTTGGTTATTTTCCGACTAGCTCTGAAATGATTACAGTACATTTACCTTGTAGAATGTCTTCATACAGAATAATAATTTTATTTCCAAACTCGTCTTGTATCCTCTACCTTTCCAGTCAAGAGTAGGGACTGAAAAATATACTGTAAACGGCAATTATATTTTGAACATTGTAATCAGAAAGTGGTATTTCTATTTCAAAATGATGATAATTTGATTTGATTCATTTTTTTGTTTTCATGACAAAAAAACAATAACAAACATGCCTTTTCAGTTTTGGTTTTTACATTCCACCAATAGTTCAACCTCAACCAAAACTTAGAAGCATGTTTAAGCTTAATTCGGCAAAAACACCTGAATGCTCTCAATATAATATGTCCTAACAACAAAATCTGGACTACGCAGTATACATTTCAAGATTCCTTTTTGTTCCATCTGTCCCGCCGCCATCTTTCCGTTCAAAAATGTCAACGTCGAACTGAAATAATTGCTCACTGGTCGGCCAATGAAGTAGATGCCACCTCCAGAGGCAGACGATCGCACACATCCCAGTGGCCCCTTTTCTCCATCTCATCACAACTCAAAGCAACTTGGATTTACTGTTTATTTTTTTTTATTTTTTGCATTTCTAAAAACCCCAACGAGTCCAGACTAGAGCAGTACATGTCATACAGTTGAAGGCCGTGTCTATAACCCACTATTTGTCCTGGACGTCAAATCGCCGCCTGTTCCGTCTCTTATAAGTTTAGAGTTGAGCGGAAACCACTGTGCCACTTTCGCTGGGATTAAAAACCAACATGGTTTTCAATGCGGGCGCAAAACAACGTAAGAACTTCTTGTTTCTGCAACGGGACCAGGCAATGGGACTGTGCACGTCTTTACAACTAGTGTTTCCAACTTGACTTTATTAACGATGGAGCTTTTGTGTCTTTTTATTTATTTCGTTTTACATATGTTGCCTCTAATTAAACCGTTACTAATTTGCTTTGACGGCATTTACATCAGATAAATACTGCTTCTGTTATTTTTGCCTGCAATAGATGGACAGGACTAGTGCTCTGATTTTATTTTCTAACAGGAAATGGTGAATTTATTTTTCAGACCACTTTGATCACTTTGTTTTTACAGTAATTCTTGTTCTTGATTATTGGTGCCTCAACCCACCTAGAAAATGGATAACAAAAAACGTATAGTTATTGTTATGTTATTTGTATTGTTCCCATCGTACCTCACATGGTCCAGGAAATTAAATCTCAGCAATGGTCAAAAACACACTTTTTTTTGTGCAAAATCCAAAACGTGCCTAAAAAGTAATTTAACGTTGAGATGATGCGTCGTAGTTCAAAATCTTTTCTGCCATCTATTGCAGGTAAAACTCAAAGTTGAATCCCAATTGTGCTTTTTAGCTTCCATTTAAAATCGTACGTGAACACTCGCGGCTTGCTCATGCGTTTTTGTTTTTTGTTATTTTCTTCTGTGGAAGGCTTGTATATTTACTTTGGTGCACGTGGTCTCTGGAAGACCACAAAGGCAGTGCTGGCTAATTACTCTACTCTAAGGTGGGATGGTCCGTTTGGTTTATGGATGTGGCGAGTTTTCTTCTGTCAAACTCGATGTGCCTTCTACAGTTATTTCCCCTTGCGTTCCCATTGTGTCTTTGCAGCAGCGTCCTTTACACAGGTCTCGTTTGTATCTAAGCGATGGTAGAAGACAAACAATGGCCTACCAAAGACACCTCTCAGGCTTAAAACCTTTCTATCAACTCACTTTTGTTTTCCCTTGACACCACAAGGCATCTGCTCTCCTAAGGAATTTATCATTCATTAACATGTATTCTTCTGCTGGTCTTGTCGATATGTGCCAAATGGTGCTGCTGAGTAGACTTGAACCTTATTTTGTGTTTGGTAAAAGTGGTCAATGTCGGATTTGGGAGATCGCAGAATTGGGACCAGTGTTTGAATAAGCAGACGGGAGTAATGACCGTGTTTTTGAGTTGTGTATTCTAGCTACAAATGTGATCCAATTCTACTAAATATTTGGTTTTCCAGCAATTTATGAGGATATTGTGCCAAAAACTATAAAAACAGCCAGCTTCATTATCAAAAATGTGTTTAACTTATGAATTTAACCGAAGGGGGATAATTAATGCCACTATAGTCTCAGTAGAAACTATGGGGAACATTGATTGCATTCATCATCATTCCTACTATTATAATTGTAATGTAATATATTGTAAAATCTAAGAACTGGTGAAAAGCCATTTACAACATTACACAATACTATATATACGTTGCACCTATAACGCGCTCCAAAATGATGCAATTTTGGAAATAAAACTGCTTTCAATCTGTATTTTCTTGACCCACTTTTACAAAACACTCCAAGTTCATTGTTAGCATCAGCCTGAGTGTCCAGCGACCGCCTTATCCTGTCGCTGAGATCACTTCGGTGAAACTTTGACTTTTCTGTTTAAAAGTCCTGAATGACATTTTGACCCAAGTCTGTTAACGATAAGGTATGGTTCTATTTGTTGGTTTTGGTTCCGCAGTGAAAAGCTGTTTTTCTTTAAGTTTCTTCACACTGACAGTAAACCCCCCGCTTTTGAAAATACTTTGCCGGTGGTGGAGAATGGCAAAAGGTATTTGTAAATTTGTTTGGTAATTTTGCTTTATTATATGCGTCTAAATGCATATCAAAATAAAAAAGGATATGAAGTTTTGTGTTAGTGTTTTAATTCCTTTATGCATTAGCCTTAATCTTAATTTGCTATGTTCACTTAACATTACACAAAATACACATTAATTTGATATTATTTATTTAGCCCTCTGAATATATGTACATCTAGTTCAACATTGTGAAGAAGGGTAAAATAAGCTTTTGTCATACAAGTTATTCTCATTCAAACCACTGACCCGCTCGACAACATGAAATCTGAAACAAATGACTTATCCAAAGGAACACTGGATAAAAACTATGGAACAACATAAATATTCCTAACTCAAGGCACACATCTCAACACTGCTGCTGTCAGAGGACTGCATGCAAAACGCAAAATGGATGTGATTCCTTTCAGAATAAAATAACTTTACCAAAGTTCAAGTAAAAAAAAAACATTTGTTTTTAAACCATCAGTATTTTCAGTGCATCTTAACCACAAAGAAGCTATAGGTTCTGTTTGAATTTATAATATATTTTCACTCATTGACAAATAGCTTAGTGCTTTCTATGTATGTCATTCAGTTTTAAAAAAACATATCCAAAGACCAGTGTTTTATTAGTGACCTCTTTCCATGGATATTGCAGCCAGCTGAAATAATTGACGTTGCATGGAAAAACTCAGTGCATATTATTATTATTATGCCACCAGGGGTCATAAATTGAGTAGGTTGCACTGTTTGCCCTAAACAGTTGATATTTTTAAGTGTTTTGGATCATGCTATGAATATAAAACTATGTCCTCTCCCCCTCCACTCCATAAAGCAGTCCATAGCAGCTGTTTCTGTCCTGAGCTGATCTTGTTACGTAACGCTGTACATTGACCTCACTTTATCAATAAGTGAATAGTCCGTATAGATATTGCACTTGTCTGTTTCACAACCCATTTGTGTGTTTGATGGTGGTAGAAAAGAACATCTGCATAGCAAAAATATACAGCTCTCATCTTTGATTCAAGCACAAAGAGGGATAGTCTTATTGCACACTGGAGTCCTTGTGCGTGAGTTTTGCATAGATCACGGGTCATCGAAGGTAGTTCATGCAGACAGATAGTTATATGTATTTGTTGGCCAGATTTTGCACATCGTTTTTGGTGAATTGCGAGCTCTCAGTGGCCGAGAGGTGGTCAAACAGCTGCGTCATGGTTCTGCGGTCGTCCTTCTCAACCAACATCAGAGCAACCTGTGGATAGAATGAAATTAAGAAATGATTAAATTAATGACAAAACTTGAGAAAGGAAGCATTAACAAATTGGTTTTAACAGGGTTCTATCTGCTCAAGTGATGGGACTAATATCAGCCGTGCAAAGTTACACAAAAAATGTGCCAAAAATAATTATTTTCTCAGTTTGCGCTAGTCAGAAGTTGCTCTTCTTAAGCAGACATGAAGGCTTCTGGGACTCCACCCTCGTCCCAGAGCGGCTGCCATAGGCTCTCGCACTCAGGCAGTTAAAAGAACATTCCATTTGACACCAGCATGTTCCAACAAGGAAACAACAAAAGTGAAATGGAGAGCAGTGTGGTCGTATACAGACGTTGTGTATTGATTTGGTTTTGTCAAAAGACAAAAAAAATCAAATCTTGATTTTTAAAACGTTGGTCATGGCTTTGGTCTTGGTCTTGTGGGATTTTCATTAAAAGCTCTTTTTTTATCAATATACATTATAGTTAAAAACAACAATATTAACAAAAACCTTGATTTCACCATTTGGTAATTTTTCATGATAGATTTTTTTAAACATAAATTAGTTAATTTATTAGATTCCTTATCCATCCCTGATATTGTATAATCTAAAAATCATAATTTATAATAACAGTAACATCACTTGCTTAATTGATTAGTTGGCTAATTATTATTTAGAGAAAAAAAAATCAGATTTTTTGTTTATACATTGTAATGTAACACTTAAGCAACAGCTGGTGGAGCAAATGGACTGTTTTAACTGGACACAACAGGATTTAATGAGGTGTTTTAACGCACTGTGGACTCGTGACGATCAGAGCACTCTGGGAAATCTGGACAATAGACGTGCGTCATATCCAGGCTAGTCCTTCACACAAACTAATGAGTCCATACATTTTTCTCTGGCAACGGCCCTAATCACATAAAAGGTTGTGTTTTTTTCATGCACTTGCTTTTGTTGCTTCTTTCTGCGGTCCACATAAACACACTGGGAAACATGAATGAGTGCCACAACATCAGCTCTGGAGATCAACAGCCAATGGAGGGATTTTAGACACGGCTCTAACAAAATCAGACAGACATCGGCTGCATCGCTTAAAAGGGCACAGGGTTTAAATAACTCAAAAAAGTAGTGGCTTATCGTCCAGCAATGAGTTTATTATAAATCAATTCACTTTTTACAGCCCTACTTGCTTTTTCTTATAGATTTTCTTCAATTGCATTTTCTCATTTCAACATCGAAGTATGTTTCTGTAATGAGGTGGGTAGTACATTACAATACATTTACTATCAGTCTCACCTTGAACCGGTCTGCTGTATGCAGGTGACACAGGTGACCATAGACCAGTCCTGGATCCCTCTGCAGCAGGTGTGAGTCCATCGCGTTCATAAGGAATATTATGGTCTGTCCATCCAGCAGGTTGCTAAGATACTGGGGCAGGGTTTGGGGAGGGGTGGAGGCCAGCAGCTCGGCACAAGCCTGCGTGTCTCCACTGGTGCGGGCGGCGCTCAGGGCCTGGCCGAACTCATAGGCGTTTGAAGGGTTCTGGTTGATCCTCATGTTTTCTCCTTTGCCGTTAGAAGCTGAGGGTATGACCTCCTCACCCTCGACCTGCACGACAGAACCAATATTACGTGAAACTGTATTGTGCTGGAGTTTTGGCTTTTCTCACAGTGGAAAGAGAAACCAAAACTTTTAAGACCACTGTCAATAAAGATAAGATAAACTCTATTGATCTCACAGTGGAGAGATTTACGATGATATGACTCATGTAAATGTACATAATATATTTTGTATTTGTATAGGGGTTGGTTCAATTATTTAACCAACCCCTATACAACATAAGCTTCCATCATCCCCTTTCAAATTAAGCAGAATTTCAGTTTCTTTTTAATCTGCACTTATTTTTACATATATCAATATAACAGAAAAATAAACTTTATGATTAACTTTATGTTTACTTGTTAAATGGCTTTATAGTGTGCCAACAGGTTCAGGCAGCATATTTGCCACATCAGGTTTTAAAGATTACACAAGGTGGTTGCACAAGCTCACTCTATTTCATTTATACAATTCTTTGAAATGTAAAAGATCAAAAATAAGGATGTAGCCCTATAATTTCTTGGCTCACACCAGACTAGAACCACGGCTATTACCAGGCAAATTATTTCTAGTCAAATCAAACAGCCCGGGATAAATCAGGGCCAGTTTGAATCATACACTACCTCTGTAATCGGGACACTCTTCCTGGGTTTGGCTGGTGAAGCATTAGCGTTAGTGTTCGCATTAGCATTAGCCAGGCTCTGTCTCAGCAGCACTGTGACCTCCTCTAGCTCCTTCTCAGCCTCTTGAACGTTGGGGTCCTGGTGCAGAACTTCTTGTAAATCTGAACTGCAGGCCAAGTAATCCTACAGGGAACATACATCAGGAATATGTTTGTTTAGGCGGCCCTTTCTACGAGAAAAGGAAACGGCTTAATTGCGCAAGTTATAAGTCGTAAGTTTTACCTTCAGCCCTTTGTTGGCCATGGCGCGTCTGTAGAAGGCTTTCTTATTGGTTGGTTCTAACTTCAGAGCTGCGTCACAGTCCTGTTTGGCTTCTGCAAACTTCTCAAGCTTCAAATAACACAGGGCTCTGGATAACAAAGATTCAAAGCATTCGTTGTTAATAGTGAAAGCATGGTTTGTTGCAAGTGTGTCGATAATACTTCATTGTTCTGGGTTGGTTCATTCCACTGATCCTCACTACCCTATTTGAGAGCAGTTTGAGATGTTAATGTAGCTGAAATCTACTTGATTACGAATATACTTGTACCTTGAAGAAATGTATGTTAACTCCCCTTACTGATCATTTCCTACTTGACCTATGCTTGAATCGTATTCATAACAGTATCAAAATTAGAATAAGAATCCTTTTTATTGACATGTAAGTAACAGGAAGCCACAGACGAGGACATTTCTTTGACTCTCGGTGCAAACAAGTCAAATGTGGAGAAATAATAAGTACATTTGAAAAAAAATAAAGCGAAAAAAGTGTAGGACCTGTTTGTGTAGACGGCACACTCCTCCGGCTTCAGTTTAAGGCAGTCTGTGTACTTCCCCACAGCCTCTTTGTACTGGCCTTTTGTTACATACTCATTTCCATCCTGCTTCAGAGAGGAGAACTGGACTTCTGATCTGCGCTCTGCAAGACACAAAGAATGAAGCCTTCATAGCAGACAGGTCAGCCATTACATTATGACCACACGTATGATATTGTCTCTAAACATTCTCTTTCAAAATAGTGGAACCCATGGACCTTGGACTGGCCATGAGAGACGCGAAGCATGAAAGTCTACTCAGCGTTTGTTGACAGTGCGGACGGAGGGGTAATCGATGGGCTGCAGAGGGTCTGGGGGAGCCGCAGTGTGCCAGCGGGGCCATTCTTTCATTTTAGTGCTTAAAAGAAAGCTGCTTTAGCCTGAGCCAGTGGAACGGGAAACGCAGCGTCAGAAAACAGAGGTGACACAAACTCTGCATCAGCGGTAGTGACAGAGATAAAGCTAAACTTAAAGTGGACTCTTGACAGATGGTTTAGGGAAGCAAGCAACGTATTGTTCTCTCTTTCTCACAAAAAGGGAAAAAATTAATGAATCTTTCATTGACTTAAATATTTTTTAAAATATGTTATGTCTCCAAGAATAACTCCATTCTCCATGATTTGTTTTATGTTTACTCCGGTTTCCCTTTCCATACACTCATTTTCAAAGTTCAGCGTGAATGAGTGTCTTTATGGATGAATCACCCTGAGGCTACCATCTGTTATAACATCATCTGCTGTTGATTAATGCGCACTCTCGTTCAAACCAACAAATAAACTTCATGTTGTCATAGTGACTTACATGGCTCTTTCTTACAAGTTTTCCAAAGGTAACATGTAAAAACAAACAATCAACAATCAATAAAAAGGTAAGTACTCCAGCTTTATATCAGACGGGCTTGCCTTATGACAAACTTGAAAGCATATATTTTTCACATTTATGTTTTTATTCATTTACATGACTCCAATGTTCAAACAGGAGACTATTTAAGTTGAAAGAACATTGCTACAAACTGGTTGAATATGTATTTTTGAAAGAGGTTAAATGTCAAGCATGGGGGTTTCTAAAATATGATAAGATAATGATTCATTGGGCATTCGATTATGTCACAATATAAATACAAAACAAAAACACTGGAGTCATTAGTTTTGGGTGGCTCACCAGCGTCCCTTTGGGTCTTCTGTGCACGGGCCTGCAGCTCCTCCTCACTGGGCTGCTCTGGTCTGCGGTGCTGCTGAGCGGACAGAGGAACCAGGGGGATCTCTGGGAGTTTGTCTCTCCAGTCAGGACCGTCCTGGTCAATCAGCAGCCGTGTGATTCTGGAACGAGACAATTACTATGAACAAGAATCGTAGCTTTGGGAGTGAGTAGTGACTCAAAATCATTTTCGCTGAATTAAAGAAATGGTAGTTGTTCGGGGGACATTTTTAAACCATAGTATTATGGAGCTATTCTTTGAGGTAATCTAAGGAAAACGTTAACCTATCTAACCATTCTTACAATAATTATATTTAAAAAGTAGAAAAACGCTATATGGCTGAAAAACAACATACTATAAAAAGTATCGGTTTACTTTTTGATACTGAGGGCTGTCCCCTGGCACTGAAGAGACATGTTACACGCTTATCCACTCTTTATGACCTCACAAGGTTCGTCCAGTACCTGTTGACGCTGTCATGGGCTGCTTGTACTCCCATGTCTATTTGCAGGACTGTCTTGTAATCCACATAGGCCTTTGGGTAGCGCTCCAGTGACTCGTAAGCCATGGCCCGGCGCAGCAGAGGCTTGAGGGTGAAGGGCTGCAGCTCCAGAGCCCTGTGGTAAAAATAGTGCAGGTAAGACTCAGTGCATTGTAGTGGGCAGCTTTGTGGAATAGAGCATAAAGACCACTATTCATTTTGTCTCATGAAGGCTTCATCACCTGCTTCCCTCATTAAAATATTCCACAGTATGCTGTAAACATCTAGTCATTCAATGTATTCCTTTTATATTGACATGAACAAGAAAGTGACTATGCTTATATGATATATGACTATCTCTAGGCAAAACAAATTTCCTCTCTACCATATGCTTAAGTCCATGTGTCTTGAGACACACATGAGATGCGTAATACATATTTTCCCTTATTTGGTTATGGGAAGATTTTGTCAATACTACCTCACTTTGCATACTATACATAAACTTCTGTATATGTATAGTATGAGAAATGGATTATGGGGAAGAAAATGGATGGATGGATGGACATTTACAGTTTGGGATGACGACACTCACTTTGTGCAGTCCTGGATGCAGTCCTGACTGTTTCCATCTTTCAGGAAGCAGGCGGCTCTGTTTGAGTACAGAATGCACAGGTCCTCTGGGCTGTCAACCCCTGTAGAACACACATGTGGTTTAATGCAGAGATTATAAGATTTTATTGTTTTCAAATCACGTGTTGTTTCCCAACACAGATAGGATGTATTCTTATGATCTTATAATCTGTGTTCATACTGTGATGGAGCTTTGCATCTACACAAATCTGACTCGTAGTTTTCATTCAGAGAATCTAGTCATGCTCGTTTGGAAATATTGTTGCATTTATAGGTTCACCTAAAACTCCTCAATGGAATTTCTATTGAATCAAGGACCATCTCCAGAAATGTACAGTATCCATTAAACCACCACAAAGATACGTGGTATATGTATTAAGGATTTGCAGATTATTCACCATCATTTCTATGGTTTCATCTTTAGCATAATCCATGCTGGGCAGTCACATATTGCAGTCACATTTAAGTGGAGGTCATTGTGAAGCATTATCCTCCACATTAGGATGGTGTATGTACTCAGATTAAACGGCATCTGAGGACACTGGATTCACGTCACAGTCTTAGCTATTTTACTACAGGTGTAACCAAATGAAACTCCACAGACCACTGCAGATGTAACATGAGTCTTGGTGCATTTTTGCCTTGGTTGCTCACGATTGCCTTACTACCGGCACATTCAGTGGTGTCCACATTATGAATGACTTGAGGGAAAAACAGCATAAGCACGTGATGAGTGTCGTGACAAGTAGCCGTTTCTCCTGCCCCAGCAATTGCCCACTTACCCCTTTTTTCACTCTCCCGTTCACTAGACGATAAGATTTATAGTGCTGCACATTCAATTTCACAGTGAGTGGCTCTGGTCATGTGACCCTGTGGCAGACCTGAGCTGAGAGGCTTAGCACCAGGCTGAGGCTAAAAACACTGTCAGTATCTACTGCATCATTGTGACGCAACACACTTAGCATCAAGTCACTGAGGGTTAAATGCTACGGTTTCATTACATCAGATGGATATGAATAATAATGAAGCTATAGCAATACATTTTATGTAGATCACATTTACTGCTGTATGCATCTCATAGGAAGATAAGTAATGAATAGTACATTATAACCACGTTATAACCCTAGTGCAGCCATTCCCAAACTCAGTAACACCGAGGCCCCCTTAAAAATCTGACGGGTCTGCGTGGCCCCCCAAAATAATAACCAAGAAGACAACATTAAGAATAGGCTCTTCTGGTTATTTTATTTTGGGGAAATAGCCTCTGCTACAAACATTGTAATACAAAAATGATTACAGTGGATCATTCAAGTCAAATAATGAACACAAATATTTTAATATTACAAACAAAACATTATAAATTTAACATTAAATAATTATATTATTTTTTTTATGACCTCCCGCGGCCCCCCTGCAGTACCCTCGCGGCCCACCAGGGGGCCGCGGACCCCACTTTGGGAGACACTGCCCTAGTGTAATAACAAGGACATGATTTATTCCCAAATAGTCCTAATGATCTATAAAATAAATAAGTGCCAGGGGGATGTTCAGTTGTAATGTCAGATTGGACAGCTCAGAGCCCTTACCTGAGTCTGTGTAGCCCTGAATGGCTTGTGAGTATTTCTCCAGTGCATCAGCGAACTGTCCGTTCTTAAACAGCAGGTTTCCCTCATTCTTGAGTCTGGACAGAGGCAGGGGCAGGGCTCCACAAGGGGCGTCCAGATTGACAGTGTCTTTGGCCGGTCCCTCAGCGGGACACTTCCCACTCTGCTCTGCCTGTGCTGAAGCATTCGAGCCTCTCTTTCCCGTCCCGTTGGCCGCCTTCTCCTTAGCTTCATGGTTGACTTTGTATTTATCACCACTGCTGGCTTTTCCTCTCCAGGGAGTGTGATGGTGGTGATGGGGGTCGCTGTGTGGGCTACCGTCCCCTTTGCTGTGGGGCCTCTTCTGAGCGTTACCCATGTCTGGGTTTTGAGCCGGAGCAGCTGGGCTCACCTCCCCTCCTTGTTCAACCGGACAAGCTGCAAGAGAGAGGGAGGGACCAGGAGGCACGTCAGCAATGACACTCCCACAGGAAGCGGGCATGTCAAAAACGGAATTGTGCTTCAGCAAAAATCAAAAAGAAATGTGTTCTCTTTTTTTTCTTCTTTTTTTTTTACATGTGGGACAGGTTAACCTTTATAGTCTTCAGGGGTTCCAGACATAAAATGATTGAAACAATCAATTCATGATTAAAGGGCTTTGTCTGAATAAACATATATCAAATTTAAATGTTATAATATTAATAAAATACTCTTTGTCCTAGCGGATGTAGTGGCTATTACATCACAGTGGGAGAGGGAGTTAGCGCCTCACTCAAACCACATTAGAGAAGGGAGTTCCAGGAAGCACCTCGCACTCTGCTTCACAAAGCTGTGGGGGCAGGGCTCATAACTCACGTACACACACTCTCAGTCACGTTACCACAGTCCAAAAAAAGGTGTCTCTTCTATCTCTGCAGTTAGAAGGTTTGTGGGAAACGTCTGACATGCTATTCATGGCACTCTGATGTTTCCAAAAGCCATGAGTGGATTAGAGGACAAATCCCAGGCTAGGAAGCTATAGTAGGAACTTCATTAAGCTCCTATTGAGCGGAACAACGAGGGCTCTTTAGCTAAAATCATAAGCGCACTCCACACATTGGCCTTTTCTAATTCAATTTCTCAACTGATTATTTTGACAGCAGCAGTTTTCTGTCAAATAAATTTTACTTCGACAGAATTTAAGCTTCCTAACTTCTGCTTACAGTCTTGCATGACTACCAATAATACTAAATAGATTGCAGTCCAAAACGTCTCACCCGTCACTCCTGCTTCAAACTCATCATCCTCGTCCACCTCCTGAATCAACATCTTCTTCCCTTTACATTTCTTCTCTATTCTTTCCTCCGCCTGCATTTTCTTTTCTGTTTCAGACAGAAGTTGCTGAAAAGCAATTCAGTTACATTTTAAAAAGCTAGAGTTGAACAAACAAAATTTCACATAAAAAGGATCTTGATTATTAGAAGAGACTAGTCATGTTCATTTTTCTCTTAGAGTTACAGTGTCCTCTAGTGGATGGAAAAGGCTAACGTTACAACATTACCAACCAAAGCTGCAGGATTCTGTGGTTCCTGCTTGAGCACGGCCCTCAGATGTTCAACTGCTGGTTCAAATCTCCCTGTGTTTGTGAAGACAACAGCACAGCGAAACAGAGCTGTGGGACAAAATACACATGTTCACTTGGTCCGTAGTTTTACATCCACAAATCATTTTTGCCCCTAGTGAACCAGACATTGTCCAGTTAAAGTAAACCAGACCAGAAGTGGGAATGTGTCTTCAATTAACAATAATATATTACTATTATTTGGGATAGGTATCTTTCAGAGTCTGCTGATCTATATCTAATAATATAATAATTTATAAGATTATATGAAAAAGCAAACTGTATCTATTTCAGAAACCTCAAAATGTATTTAATAATCAAACCACCTGTGTGTGTTTGTGTGGGTGCGAGCATGTTCGTTACCTTTCATATTTCCTGGTTCCATCTGGAGGACTTTCTGACAGTCTTTCATGGCGCTGTTCCAGTGTTTCAGTTTGATCTCTGCTTGAGCTCTGTTATTGTGAGCGAGAACTGTTGGCAGAATAGAAATACTCCTGTTGTGGATACAAATGATCATAAATGAAGACTATTCAAACCAAAAGACGGATCAACATCGTGCTGATAAAAACATAAATCAAGTTCAGACCTGGAATAGTACGCAATGGCCTCCTCAAAATCCTTGGCTCTGAATGCTTCATTGCCTTTGTCCTTCTCACGTGTGGCCAAGATGATCTGCTCTTGTTCAGACAGTACTGTCATCGAAACACAGAAAAAGGCATAAGTACATTGCAATCTCCACCTTTAAATTGTCTTTAAAAAAATAGAGGTGCATACACGAAACATCAAAGTGAGTTTTGAGTTTGGAAAGTCCTGTGTTAGCAGACAGGTCACGAGTGGCGTTGTTACTGTCAATTTGTTCACATTCTTTCTCTACATCAAACCTAAATTAGCCAGGATGAGAACAGTTATCGAATTAAGCATCTAACTTATTGAAAGTCAAAATGATTAACAAAATAAAGTAACTCACTTATCCCACTCCCGATAGTCACGTGGGAGAGATTGTCTAGAAAGACTTTCTTTCCTTGGTTGGACATTCTAACACAAAATAATAATTAAAGATCAATTGTTATACATAATAAATCAGATTCCCCGTTTAACCTACCTTTTTGACTGGAACTGCATGATTTAAACCTCTTATAGGTGGTATGTTTTCTTTGATTAAAGCATCAAGAAGTGGTTTATGTTTTAAAGAATCTTCAGTCTTTCTGGATTCTTCTTTCCAAATCTGAAAATATTACACACCGTGACAAAAGAGTTAAGTCAAATGAAAAAGTATCCAGGCAATTTGTATTAATTGTGAATTGTTTTCTACCTTTAAATCATCCACAATCTCTCCCCATTCCTCTTTGGACAGGCTGGCTGCTGTGGTGACTGGTTTCTCTGTTCTAAGAAGTCTGTTCTTTGGGTCTAGCAGCTCAAGACGCTTCTCACAAAAGCTAATGAGATTGGGATAAACACCTTCCTCTCCAGACCTTGATTTAAAAAAAAAAATCATATTTTTATATCTATATATATTATGACATTTAGACACACAGAAGCAAGGCAATCAGTTTGTGCACACACAACAGACTCATACTAGGCAATGTGGGTATTTTTTATTTTATCTTTCTTTTTAATGTTCTGTGATTATTTTTTGTTCAGCACTTTGAATTACCTTGTGTATTTTGTTCAGCACTTTGAATTACCTTGTGTATGAATTGGGCTATACAAATAAACTTGCCTCGCCTTGCCTTGCCTTCAAGGATACAACGACAGTTTGGCAATTTACAGCTGCAGCAAGTGTGCAGTTCTCTCTGGTACTATTTTAGTGTCATGCGTGTTAAACTTGAATACAAGATTATAAACAACATTGTTATAATGTCATAGGCATTAGATAGACAAACGTCACTTTATTCTAGGTTGAGTGATCGGTAATACACACCTCAATGCTTTTAAAATCTTCTCCAAATATTTCACATCTTTGCAGTGATCTATAAAACCATAGTCCAGGTGCTCCACGGGAACCTTTCCACTGTAGTCAATGGAAGTGAATTGGTTTTGTAGGTAGAACACGTCTTGCTCCGACATGCCTTGTAAGTTGTGTGGAAGAAAAACAGTTATTCCACACATTTAATTAAAAAAACTGTCCATCACGAAATATTTGCATTAGCTAGCGTTAGCTCGCAAATGAATGCTGCGAGAAAAGATCGTGTTAGCTCCATAGACTGTAAGTTAGCACGTGGATTCGTTTTTTTGTACGGTTAGTATTTTAAATAATTAAAATAAACGTTTATGAGTGTACAAAAATAACAAAAAACACATATTCTAGATATTATTTCTGAGATAATTAACACATACAATAAAATATATCTCACCTGCTGTAAAAGCTGTAACGTTCGTCTTGTCTTTTTTGTGGTGGTTGCTATGGGAACGTACACGGAAGTGCTGCGGACTCAAATGGGAAACACGTCAGACGTAAGCATGGACGTAAGGCAGTGGGCTCCAAATTTGAAAGCGTGACTTGGGAGATGAAGAAGGGCTGATGGGGATTTGACAAGTGTACGAGGGGAGCCGATACTGCAGACGTCTGGCCAAGATTAATATTGTTCCCACAGGTGAGTTACACATTTGGTGCCATAATAATATGTTCCTTTTGGCTTTAATTAAGTTTACATCCAACCTCTACCATCATGCAACGCTAGTCTCCTCTGCTGTGGCTAGCAAGCAATCCCAAGATGAACCATTGACTAACTTTATTTACTCTTCCCTTTAAATACGGTCACATCATATAATATCAATAATTAGGAATCTGTAAATTAATTTATTCATTAGTTATATGAGCTAATCATTGAAACGTTTAGCAAGTGAATGAATTAATGCTACGCTAATGGACGTTAATGCCTAGTTTCACCTTTGCCTATCACGGGTCGGTGTGTTAATGATTTGCAATTTGTAATCGGTTCACAACTAAATGCGGCTGGATATAAAGATGATTAGATAATAACACGTCTATTTAAATTATGTTTTAAGTGTACATTGTGGCGACGTCACTAATCTGGACAGTTTTGGCGGCTATCTGAGTGTTTGCAGCGCCACCGTGTCTCTTGGCAACACTAATGAACCAGCTGATGCTGCTTAGTGCCACAGGATGATCTGGGTAACTGGCGCTAATGAACATGGCACCCTGTCAAAAAGTAAATGCATTATACACCTGTTGGGCTGCATAAGTGGGATCTCAAAAAAACTGTTTCGTTCTGGGAAGGTAAGTATACATGTTAATGGTAATCAATCTTTAAAAAAAAACACCATCACAAACATATCACTCAAACTGTGCCACAAAATCTATGATTTTCCACAAAAACTGAATGTGAAATGTCCTTTTTTTAAAATTTTGGAACAAAACTTCTATAACTTGGCACACTTTTTATGCATATACAATTTTTTTCTAAAATGATCACTGGTATCCAGTAGTCATTATTTCAATACCCTGAAAGCCTTTGCAAGGCAGAAATGCATTTGCATGTGCCTCTGTCCTTTTTCCATTTATTAGATTTGAGTCAATTTACTTTTTTAATGTGTAGTAGGCATGCTTTGCTGGATTTATCGTACTACTATAGCAGTTTTTTTTTTTTTTTTTTAAATGTATATCCCATCATTTTCATAATGTACATTGAGGATAATTTATAACAAGTCTTTTTTTGTTTTTCAGATCTATTGAGTCAACTTGACTCTGCTTTTGAGAAGAAAATGCAGTGCACTCCTGAACCCACAGTCTTCTTCAATAGTAACAAAGACCACAAGTGTTATGAGGACTGCTTTGACAGTGGCTACTCTAGTCTGTTCTACACCCCCCACAGTATCACCAGAGATGACTCTTTGTCTGTGGCTGAGTCGGATGAAACCCCCAAAGAGAACATGCGGCTTCCTGACACACCCAAGGACCAAACAGGATTTTTGAGTAAAGACAGAGTTGCGTGCTTGCCCTCAGCTGCCAGCTGGTGTGAAACGCCTAAACTACATAGAAGGGATTCCTCATTGCAATATAGAGTTACTGTATGTAAATCCATTCTAGATGGAAAGACGACAAAATCACAGAGCAAAATCCCCTTAAATGTATCAGGGCAATGGCTAAGCTCTTCTCTGGACTCTCTGGACACTGTCATTGGCACTTTATCCTCAAGCACTTTACCTGGAGACAAAGAACTACTGTTTTCAGGGAGGAAGCGTCGCCTCCTCTTCTCACAGGTCCGCACTTCCACTCTGGAAGATGGACAAGCTGAGCAGCTCTCCAGCTTTGACAGAAGAGTTTCACTCTCAGACGCTGACGTTAAGGGGAGCTGTTCTCCGTTTTCTCCTTTAAACGAAGAAAGCACACACACCCCATGCACAAACGAATTCCTCCCTGTTCTATCTAAGAAAAGTCTTCCATCTCCAGTGTTAAATGGAAAACATGATCTAAGTGATAGCAGCGTGTTGTACACTCCACAAAGCCTGCAGACGCCCAAATATACGCGGTATGTGTTGTTTGATATTTTACAGTAGTTTTGTTTAGTTACATATTTACTCTTAATTTGTTTCCCCACAGATATTTCTGTGAGGACAGTGGCTTAAACTCCCTGACTCTTGATAAGTCACAGGACTCATCGGTGGATCATGATGGTTCTTTCCAGGAGTTTCTGCTCTCTGCCTCTAATGGATGCAATGTAACCCCAAATCCACTGGACACAAAGCGACACTCATGGTTTCAGCGTCAGAACAGACTGTCCACACTGAAGGAAGGAGGTTCTCAGTCCTCTGAAGAGGAGCCAACAGATAAGGCTAACAAAGAGAAAAACCTGAAGGAGGACGAGGTTTTCACTTCTGCCACTCCAAACGTGTTATTTTCTCTTAAACAAAGTAACTCTGTGAGCTCTGACTGTGTGGCCTCCTCAAAACTGGACTATAAAACTCCTTTGAGGCACTTCTCTACCAAAGGAGAAAGCAAAACGCCTTATAGCTCAGGATCTCTCCATTCAGATTCTTCTCAAACTCCAAGGAACACTCTGCTAAATCTGTCTATGACTCCAGCATTACAGCTGGTCCATGCCATGTGCCAGCAGAAGGCTCAGAGCTATAATGGCCAAAGTCCGAGTTTAATGGATGAACTGAGGTCCACAGCTGTCCTGGTGCACACTCCATCCATATTTAGGACCACAATGCCTCTTGCTGGACTCATTGGCAGGAAGATAGGAGTGGGCACATTGGATATTTTCACAGAGCTAAACAAAAGGAACCTCAAACACGTCCTGTCACTCATACTAGGACACTTGACTCCCAAGTGCATCTATAGGTGGGGCCTACAGACCTGCCTCCAGCAGTTTTACATTTTTGATAGAAAGTAGGACTAAAATTGTTTTAATTCATCTATTTAGCTGTGGGAGAGTGTGCAAGAGCTGGATGGAGATCATCCAACAGGACAGAAGAGCAAGCTTCAGGGGGAGTCGTCATTTAAGTGAACTCAACTCCTCTCTCGAAGTGAGGCCTGGCAGTGTGTGTGTGTGTGTGATATATATCCATAGCTTAGGCTTGGTCTAAATGTGTTTGTCCAACAGCAGGGGACAGGGGCCCATGTCCCTGAGGCAGACACCAGGACAGCCCTGCTCAAACGCTCCGCTCTGAAGACTGTGCAGTCCCAGTCTCGGAGCCAGAGCTTCTGCACCCCTCAGTCCAGCAGCAGGAGTAACACCCCTGTAAGCAACAGCCCCTTAACCTCAGCTGGCGGCAGCAAACGAGATAAATTCATAGAGGTGAGTGTTTGTTTTTCCCCTGTCTTGACTGCTAAATTAGTACATTTTGTTGAAGGAACATTAAAATGACTTTGGTTGTAAATATTTAAGAAGATTAATTCAAAGTTTTGCAGAGAATATATTTATCATTATAAAGGGCATGTTTCATGTCTGTATTCAAAAGAATCTGCATAGTGTCTATTTACAATAAAGGGTTTTATGTTTTATTTTAATTTCCTGTTACGATTGCCTTTTACTTTTTAGGTTGCCAAAACCCTTTTTAATGATGAATGCCTGAAGCCCTGTCCCAGATGTCAGCATCCAGCGCGCTGCCGCTCTGTGAAAGGGGAGGGTGTGTGCAGCAGAGGAGACTGTGGCTTTCAGTTTTGCACTTCCTGCTTGTGTGCTTTTCACGGCTCCAGAGAATGTGGCAGTCAGTCTGTGAACCGCCGCAAGAAGGATCTGCTGCTCCCCGGCAGTGCTCAGAGCAAACGCAACATCAGACGCCTCTGACCAAATGCACTTTACCCACTGTGATATGTGTGATATGAAATGTGTCTCAGGGCCTTGTGATCACTGTCGCGTCAGTATTGAGTTCTGTACTTTATGTATTTTTCCTTTTTTACATTCCAGCTGTTTTTAAATTATGACTGTAAAGGAAGTTTACCCGCACATGCACTGAACTTTGCTGTACTTTTGAGTATTGAGTGTTTTTTTTATATATATATATTTGACTGAGCTTTTACATGTTTCTACAAATATTTTTAAATAAAAATTTTTACCAAAAAAATGTGTTGTATTTCTTTTTAAGTTTATTTCAATGCAAAATTGAAACCAAAAAATGACAGCGTGAACTGCAACTTCTCATTTGTTAGTGTTTAGCGCCATCTGGCGGCTTTAAAACTGATTAATCCCTTGCACAATTTTTTTATCTTAAAGTGTATATGAAATGTATACATAATGGACATGGGTGTATTGCTCTCTAAATGTTGCCCAAACTACTAAAAGCAAATGAAGTTTCTGTGTAGAGTTCTAGTTAAAGCTTTACTGCCCCCTGTGTTTTGAGGGACTCCACTTCCATAGCAACCTGTGTGTGTGTGTGTGTATGTAATTACAGCACCTCTCTGCAGTGTCTGCGCAGAGCACCTGGACTCAGCCATGAGGAATGTCCTGTCCACAGGTGAGACCAGATCTTACACATTATTACATTTATCTAGAGTCAAAAAGTGCATGTATTTGCTTGTGTATTTCCCAGAATTCCCCTGTGTGACTGCTGCAAAGTTGGTGAGTACACAAATTATGTACTTCATTTTCTTAAGTACTCATGTGGGTTTGATTTTGGTTTTGTTTGCGAGACACGAGTTGAAGCCATGAATATCAAAGTAGTTATTCGGACACGTGCACATTTTACTGAATGTAAATGACACTGTTTGCAGGAAGTACTTGGGCTCACTATAATTTCTAACTGAATTGAAGGAAGCAGTAATACCATAGATCTATAATAATATCAGTAATACCTACATAATAATATAAAATGTAATTGATATAAGCGTAATATTGACTTGAATTACTAAATCAGGTAATTTGATCACATTAGTCAACACAACTTTAGTTTTGATTATATTGTAAATTCTAGTAATTTATGTGTATTAAAATGGCAGGTCCTGTGAATGTACACTTGCTTAGACAAAGAACGCAATGTTATTAACATAACAAGAAACTCAATAAAACATCCTGGCACAATTTTGAGTAAATACATCTTTCAAGTAAGCCCATATCTAAAAATACTCTTTTAAGATGTTATTTTGTGTTATGGAGTAACAACAAACATAATGTGTGTTATTCTAAACATTCTGTAATGCTCATCTGAAAAGGGCTGCTCAACATTTTAGCTGAGAAAGTCGCGAAAGGTTCAGTCACAGCCTGTTCCTTTGGAGGGACTGGGTCTGCTAGAGCACACTTTCATCTACACATTTTGAAGGTGATCCCAATGACACGGATTCAACTGGTTCTTATGAGAGCATTACAAGAAGGGAACTCTAAATTAGCCCAGAATTTAAGACCCACATTTTTTTAATATCAAGTCTTTAGGTTTCCAGCTGTCATTTAACCTAAGACACATGAACATAGTTGAATCTCAGTCTGGTCAAGTGGCCAAGTGCAAGTCAATTTGTTTATACAAGTGATATCTGGTGGCGTAATAGTATGAAATTCTAACACTTAAAATTGTATTTTACAGAAATAATTAATAAATGTCACAGCTGTTGTCATAGGCCACACAGAAGTCTTTTAAATGTTGAAGTCAGTGTTGCAAGAACAAAAAGTCATGTGTGGAATGTTCGTAAATTAACAACACATTATTTTACTTTATTGTGGTGAAGTAACTGGAATAATGCACAGAATACATTAGAATGAACAATGGTTTTGCACCATAAAGCATTTTTATAAAGGTCACAAAAAACTTTTGAAAACACACGTTACAAACAAGACTTTATGACGGATTGTTCCAGAATTGTTTTGCGATTTCAAAGGTCAATGCTGTACAACATAGGCCAAATGTAATTTCAAAACTACATATTTATGTATTATGAAAAGTACAATCACGGTGGCCCCCTCTTTAGTACTACTGTTGCCAGTTGTAATGGTCTATAAATACTGTTCTTCTTTCTTCCAGGAATCCACTCTTGCCTCAGATGATGTCCTTGTTGGCTTCTTCAATCATTTTTTGAGTCTGCCCGTAATGCAAACTACAGAGGTTACCACATTCCTTGAGGCCTGTGTATAAACCTCTCTTTTGTCTTCAGTGTTTCCCTGAGTCCCTGAGGTATAACCAGGACACTGGACTTTTTGAGGAGGATGGAGGACAGGCTCAGTCTGTGTCTCGTAACATTCGCTTAAGTCTTCTTCACGTTCTGAGCTCTACTGACCCCACTCAGGAGGCCCAGACTCCTCTCGTAGACAATGAATATACAGTTTGTGTAAGAAAGAAGAAATATGTCATATCATAAATATTGTGATTTAATGTTCTTGTGATTTAATAGTCTTTAGGTGCTAAGCAAGGAGTTGATTGGGTCATCAAAGAGAGACTGCCCTTTTTCCTCAAAAGTGATTTCTACTTTGAATACAGGTCAGTTAATGTCAGAATACTTGAATTGCAGTATGGCTTTATTCAAAGCTACCTTTCTAAGCCCAAGCCACTTAAGGTCAATCGTCATTACTTAGTTTTGTAAAATGTAGTTGCGTTTCAATGAAATCTCCCAAATCGTTTATTAGATGTCTGTTAACTGCACACAAAACAATGAGGCCTGATGATGGCAAGCGTTCACCACAGGAAACAAACGGCTAATGTGAGATTGTTTTACTGATCTCCCATTTTGTGGTGTCACCTGCAATGTGAAAGCCTGTTCACATCAGTAGCTAAGCAGTGCATGGCCTGGTTAGTGCTGTGATGTTAGGCTCCTGTGTCCTTAAGCACAAACTTTATTGGTGGTGGTCACAGGGGTCAATGGCACAGATTTGCGCTCTCTTTTACTTCTGTCTGTGCACCCCAGGGCAGGTGCGGCTGCAGTAATAGCCCACCATTTTAAAGCAAATTTTTATCACTGCTGCAAACACCGTTTGTTTTATTCTAAATCGTGAACACAATATAATTGGTACCACTCTGCAATTCTGCTTTTAATATTGGTTCAGTCCAATTCCAACTAATTTTAATCAAAACAAATATGTATATCAAGTTGAATACAATAATTTGGTTGATATACCAACATGTGAAAAAATAAATCAATATGTAACAAGATTCAAAAGATGAGAGATTAAGAAAAAACTTAATAGAGAAAACTATTTTGGCAAAAACATAGTATAGCTTAGAAGAGAAAGAAAGCTGGGCCTTGACCAGCTTTCACAAACCCCCTCACAGCAGGGGCACTTGAGGTCCCTGACCTCTCTGGGGTACAATGGGCGAACAAGGGGATCACTGATCTAGAAAGATGGGTTATTTTTTAAGTCTCTGTTAATTGCAATTAGAGTATAGTGTGTTGTTGTGGTCTTTGTTAGTCTGGTTTGTCATGCACCATAAACACTGCAGCCACACTTCAGTGATCCTGTGTCAGAATCAGAACCCGATCCGTCATCAGAGATTTACTGCAGTATACAGTACATACAGTATTTATTATCCTGTACTTGACTCTTGGTAAATCAATGGAGTATCTAGTGTATACATTTATGTGTTTGTAATTTTACAGGTTTACAAAATTGTTTCTACAGCGGAAACCGGAAATTGGAGTTCATAAACGAGCAATCAGATCCGCACAAAGTGAAAGAACAAATGGTTTGTTTTTATCACACTACATTCTACAAATATAAACGAGTCAGAAGTTCTTAAGCAAGAAGGATATACAAAGAACAGATTCTTCAACGACAACAAATGCTTAAAATTAATGACTTAAGCATTGGGCAGATGCTTGTTTTTGTAAAGTCAGAGTGCTGTTGACGTTTTAATTTAACTGTTTTTTATAGCAGTATGGATTTCAGACTTTAGGATTGTTTTCATAACAATTATACATGAATAATGTGTTCCCCTTTTGACAAGCACTAGGATCATATTCATAAATACATAAACGGAAACGGCAAAGAAGCTGCTTTGCTTTCATGTACTCATTTGTTCCTTTATCGAGACAACTCCACCATGTTGCTTCTGAGCATAAATCATTATAAAGCTTATTTTCCCAACAAAAAAAAAACATTTATTGAACTTTGAAATAAATTGACTATCGTAATTTTTTTGATGAATGCACCAGTATAAGATTCAACAGATTTTTTTACCTTTTGAATTTGGACCAAGACCTTTGAAATCTCACAGATTTTGACACGTGAAGACATTATAAACTTTCTAGGAGCTTTTACATATTTATAACTAAATAAGATACACATTTCACTTTAATTGTAAACACAAAATAGTAAACAAAATAAAAGGAAAACAAGACATTCTAATGGTGGGTACATGTTTCAAATGGTGCATTTAGACAGTATTCAGAGAGGAATTTACCTGCTGTTTTCCAAATAAATAAATGCAAAAGGCTGGCCCTAACTCCCTTATTTATTTAACTCTTCTTTCAGGTCATGAAAGAGCCAGTGAGAACTTCAGCCGTTCTGCTAGCTGCTCGGAGCTGGCCTCTCCTTCCTCCCATGATCCTAGTCACAATCATTCAGAGCTTTCAGCCAACACTTTAGAAGAGTCATGCGTCGAAGAAGCCACTAAATCTGAGCTGGAGCTCCTGGCTGCCACTGTCGTCAAACAAGTGCTCCATGCAGCCGAAAGAATAATGGGTGGACACATGCTGGCAAATACTTCTGCATGTTTAACGAAGTCAGAGGAAGAGCTGATAAATTACTCCGGTGGTGCAGACTGTATCACTGAGCGGAAAGTTCAGCCCGGTTCAGCTGCCAAACAACCAGCCCCACAGCAGAAGGACGACCTGAGCAGAAAGGCCAGTAATGAGATGGGAGCCGACCAGTGGAAGAAGGGGCGGGGCTCTGGTTGTCTTAGTAACTGTGGGAACATTGGGAGAAGATGGAGTTTGTTTAAGGAGTTCATAAAAAAGACACCCGGAGAGGGACTGCTGCACCTGTGGATGGATATAGAGAGGATGAAGGCGACAGAGGTCTGGGAACGCAAAAACAGGTAAATATGATGCCTCTGTGGTGCTATAACAATCCAAATTTAAATCAATGTGAATTTGTATCACTCAAAATCACAACAATAGTCTTTTTGGAGGATATCACAGAGATACTCAATTTGCCAACAGCAGGTTAGAGAACAAAACAATCTATGATTTATAGCAATGTTATATTTTTATCTTTGCATGTTCTCTGATTTATTTCAAGTGATGAGTCTTACAAATGACATGTAGGACACCAAAGCAGAGAAAGAGATGTTTAGAAGTTATTTGATTTACTAAAAGAAAGGCAAGAGGGCAGTGGAGACAGGAAGCTGAATGGTAGGCTTGGTGTTTCAAACTTATGCACACGACTAAAATAGTGTGCAAAGCATAAACAAGGTATGTCAAAGAGAAGTGGAGTCTGGACCAGTGTTTTAAGGACAGGTTGACGGGTGAAAATGACGCAGGTATGAATGCCTCTCAGCACCAGATGAGCCAGCCGCGCCCCCTGCCACCCACAAGCCCTGAAAAACGGAAAAGGATGAGGGAAGCATAAAACAGAGGAACCCAATAATAATGCTCATTAAATTGCAAAAATGTTGCCCTTGACTGGTCAAATTACATTTGAACCAAAAGTTATTAATCCAATCCACTGTATATATATATATTTTTTTTACATAAAATATTGACATTGACCCAACATGGAACTGCCCTATATTAACCCTTTAGGCCCAAAAGTAGCAGATTTGCTGCATGCGCTCCTGAATCCAGAACACCGTCACAAATACTTTCATGCATTTTCATTACCAATTGTTTTTTCTGTTATTTTCAGTCATTGTTTATTTAATAGAACGTTTCAGGACTCCACTCTTTTCTGCTTCACATCATAGTTCTTAAAAACACGTATAGGGTTCATATTGACCATGAGTAATAGAAACAATACATAGATTGTCACAGCAATTGTAAAATCGACCTAATGAATAAGATTGAAATCATTTTCTGTTTTAGCTTTCACCCACATTGTTGATGACCGCAGACCATGTATTTCAGTTTATATACACTATTCTCTCCCCGGTCTGAATCATGGATGTATTATATAATCTGGTCTGATAGGGCTCGACAGTCAATGGCGACATGTTGTGTGTCTAACCCAAAGCTGTGCTGCAGGTGCTTGTCCCTGATGAGGAGCCGCTTCCTCATGAGCAGCAGTCAGACCTGTTTGAGTGCAGAGCTGCTCCATAGACTCGGCCTCAGCACCTCCACCTGCTGGACACTTGCGAAACTGCACTCAGTCCAGCCTCACATCACACACACTCTGCTTTACTACTGGTGAGAAACTAGAAACTATTCTCGATTTCCAAAGTCAGGGGTAGCAAAATACTTGTTTAACTACTCAACTAGTATAGATATAGATAGTATAGATATTCAACTCACTATTGACACTGGTAAAATTAAATAAAGTAAATACGAACAAGCTTTTATTTGTACTTAAATCAGTTTTTTCATACAGAAAAAATAGAGAGGATTTTGGGTCATCCTCTATAAAGTATCTAACCCTTTTTTTGATCAAAGGAGGAGGGTTGGATGTTAAATAAGTTGCCTGAAAGTACAGTACAGTAAAGTGCAGATAGCAGGTAAAACTACTTAATTAGACAACCTAAAGCTGGGATACCACAAATAAAATTAAATCTAAATTGTCGCTTACTCTGAATTTTGGTTTTATCACTACTATATCAAAAGTATCCCATCAGCTCCCATCCCAAAGCATCAAATAGTGACTCACAGGGATCAGTTGGGACCCCAGCTTGAAGGAAAAAATATTTAAGTGTTAATACTGGACTTCAAAATATCTTCCTAATCTCTACAGGGCAGCACGGTTTTGGACGTCCCAAAGAGCTCATGAGGAAACAGATGACGAGGATGATGCCCAATATGCAACTCCATATTTAACACATTTTAATTCCACCTCCATCATTCAGACAAGCTTCTGCCGATACGAAACCGATTCTCTGTATAGTCCTAATCTCTACCAGTCTACTCCCACCGACACAGATCACGAGGTATGCGACATCTCATTCAGAATACGCATGCAAATACATTTTCCGATACGCCATTAGAGTAGAATCTATTGGTAATGCATTACTCATACTTAACATTGCTTTAGCGTTTGTGAGAGGTTTGGCCCTAAACATCAGTGTCAAATGCCTACATACATTCTCACAATTCAAATATCTGTTACATATTGAACAAAGACAAGTGTATTCTATCATAGTTTTTGAAATACCGCAACACAATGGTCCAAATGCAGTAAAAGGAGAGACTAAATTGGAACAAGATGCCTATCTGTTTTCCATATTCTTTGAAAGTAATAATCAAATGGCTTGTAAGGCTTCGCAAGTGTTGAGACAAACCACATGGTCCAATCACTTGTTTCTCCTCTGTGTTTCATCAGTTCTGTCCCAGCAGAGGACCCTTACTGGCCACTGCACAAATGGAGAGGATGATCCAAGCTCTTTGTGTTGAAACCGGTGCTGGTTTATACTTTACACACTTCTGTGAACAATCAGGGAGTCAGGTAACAAGTGTTTTTTTTTTTTTTCAAGGCTTGCATAATGCTTTGAATCATGTATTGGCAGATAAAATGTCTTATTTGTAATGTCGGTTGTTATTGTGAAGTTTGTTGTTCTGAGGAAATGTCATGTAACGTTATGGTTGTTAACTCCAGCTATGGGAGAATGCGATTTACTTTTGGAGCGACCTACAACACTACCATGAGCTGTTTTACCAAGAGGGACTGGACCCGTACAGAGTTCAACTGGAAGCACAGGTCAGAGAGTGATTGTTAAAACAAGCTTTAGAAATCCACTGAACGCAAATGAAGCTATAATAGTGTGGGATAAATGGTCACAAAGCAACCATAAGCTATTCAACAATAAGGTTTTTTCTCTGATCAGTGAATGCTGTGATCCAAAAAGCACAAGTTACTTTGTTTCTTTTTTGTCAGTCATATTCTCATCTTAATACTATAAATAAAGTGTATTGTGGCCATTCCTACAGATGAAAGTCAGATCAAAAAAGCTAAGCAGATTGAAAGATTCAGTAACATCTCTTTCATCGTGTCTGTGAAGGTCCGGTTATACAAATGATAATTCTTTATTGAATCATATTCCATGGTCAGTGGTATAAAACTGGACCAAATATATACATTTTGTATTAAGTCAGATCTTTGATCTTGACAGTGAATCACACGCAACTATTACGCACAAGACGGCTGGCTCCATTCCGTGGCCTTTGCTAATATTAGTCAATAGCACATTTCATATGAATGGAAGAACGGGGGGGGCTTATTGAGAGGAGGTGCTGGTTTAACAGGGAGAAAGTGACACAATGCAGGTCAGGAGCTCATTGAAGGGCGAGGGCTTTTATTGCCGCTTGCGACTTTAATTATTCTTATTACCTCACTGTTTTTAACCAGGCATATGCATACGCAGTTACTAGGGGGTTCTTGGACATCATTTCAGATACGTATATAATGATTATGCAGTTGAATAATATTTCAATAACAATGTTCTTTGAAGTAAAACTATTAATTCTAATATAATGAGAAATAAAAAGCACTGAAATAAGATCCAAATAGTAAACGGATAAAGCTGTGGTCTTGTTCTCGTCGCAAAACACTCCCTTATTTTCCCTGCAGTTGATCTGATTTGATTCTTTTCGTGGTAATAAGGCAGAGATTGGCTTTGACAGTTTCTTCTGTTACTCTTACTCACACACCTGCTCATGTTTTCGACCATCGCTTGCCAATCGCAGTCTCACCCTAAACCTAATGGAGAGATTTAAATAACCATAAAGCTCATGACTCAGACCCCCCTATCCCTGCGCCACACTTATTTATGTGCCCCTATGTCATCCTGTTTTGGACATGAATTAGAATTGGTCCCAAAAAGTCCAAATTACTTTTAGATGATCTTTCCATAAAGTCAAAGCCAGGTAATAATGAGTGGCGTTTATGTGGCAAGATGGCAGCTGTAAAATGAGATGATGAGGGTTTGTGCAGGTGCTGGTAATCCTTGAATTATACAAGATTTGTCACAGGATTTTAAAAGGAATTTCAGAACTTTCAACTGGAATTATGTGGAACTTACAATAACAAAAACATTCAAATCAAAGTAAAACCAAAAGGCTGTATCTGGAGTTCAAATAAAATGTTACACTCTGCTACCACCAGATGGATGAGTCTTTTTAAAAATGAACAAATCAGAAGTGCATCTTTTTGAGTTTCCCGTAGCTACATGAAAGTTACCAAACATGTAAAAAATTTCGCATAGTGCTCCTTTGTGAATGTGAACATGGAGACCAGGGCTGGTTCTATCCACATAAGGACCCCTAACAATGCATTACATGTACATTTGTAAATGATGCCAGCACTGTTGGATGTTGAAATTACCAATAAAAAAAAGATAAGTTTTCTGATCTGGTGTAAGCACTGACCTTTCTAACATCTCCTGTCTCGTCAGCAGCTGCTCTATGGTACGTTCATATGCAGCTCAGCTCCGAGGGGCCTGGGCCTCCGCGACGCTGTGAGGAGGACAGTGTATGAGCGACTGATGCCTGCCTTTGAGGAGTTATTTGACAACATAGAAGAACATGTCCTGAATATTCTCCTAGAGCCATGGACACTACTGGTCCATAGAGACGAGGAGTCCTATCAGCAAGTAAGATGCTGAATGTTATATATCTACCGTATGTATATGTTGAATATATCTATGTCATACTACATGATTGCTTTTGACATGAAACCTTTACAACCTTCTGGAGGAGGCCCCTCACTGTGGAGATAATATTTATGTTAAATTGTGAGAGTTAGGTTTGTGGACAGGGAAGCCCACTCACTGTAGCCTTCCATGTCCACAGTCTACTCCCTGCAGGCTTTATTTTAGTTTTACTGACTTACTAGGGTTTTGATAAAGAAGAAGCCTATTATACTCACTGTTAAGCCAAATTAAACAAACCAATTCTTTGTGTAAGGTTATGATTGTACATTTTAACAAAACATTTTGTTTTTAACCTGTAAAAGGTCTCAAACACTAAAAGGAGCAAAATGAACCATTTTGGCATGCTCCTTTTTCAGGATTGGCAGCTGAAGGTAATAGTCATAATAATGCAAGCCTGATACCCGCAAACAAGCATGAAGTGTGTAGAAATATCCCAGGCAGGTCTGTAATCTCATTGTGCTGTGAAACGCCTCGATGAAATGGTAAATTGTGCGGCGACTTCATGCCCAGAGAATGTATGATATCATTTAATGGAAGGGTATTGGCGGGCCCGGCTCAGCAGATTTAATCGGACTTGACTGAAGTGCTGTCGATAGTGTTTACAAGCAGTTATGTTGTTAAAGCGAACATGAGCTGGTCAGCGAGTCGCTCCAAGCCCCAGCCACTGTCTGACCACACCACACCTTCACGTCCAACGCTCTGGGAAACAGGAATATCTTTTTGTTTGCATTTTATCTACTGGGATTCACACCGATTGTGTTGAATGCACTCGCACTTAACTGCATTAAAAATATTCTCTCTCGTGTACGTTTCACCGTCTGGACGTGAGAATGACCTTCTTGTTAACTCTAGCTGACTTTTCTTGGAATGAAAATTGTAAAAGTTTGATTTAAAATACTTAAGGTACATAATATTGCAATAGTGATATGTTCTGGGAAGTAATTGTCTGAAGTCTGTTTGTGTGATTGCGCTCAGGTCCCAGTGCAGCAGGAGACTCGCCGTGTTGAGAGTGCGGAGTTCAGAGAGCTGCAGAGTCTGCTCCAGGAACCGGGAGGCCGACACAAACAGGTCACAGAATATAATTTCAAAAAGGCTCTACACTTTATTAAAACGTCCCATTATTATGCAGTAAACACACATTATAACTGCTCTATAGCCCACCCAAATAAAAGTGAAATGTGTACTTTTAAAAATGTAACATAGCTGGCTCTCACTGGAGCCAAGGCTGCAGTATATTACTTGGCTCAACAAATATAGTTAAACGCTGCACTGAATATTAAAATCATATTATTTACTTGGATTATGTGTCTGCAGACAAACTATGCTCAAACCTCTTTCACTTGTCAATCGTAGCCTGCATGAGAAAAACACAAGTTAAACGTGCTTTCAAAGGATTATAAGCAGCATAAGTGTTTATCACATCTTTGTTGGTCTTTTTTTCTGACAGGAGTCGTGTGAATCCATGGTTTCTTCAGAGTTTTCCTCCACCCTCAAAGTCCCACAGTTGTCCGAATCCTGGTCCAAAGTTTCCTCAGAATTCAAAGGCTACAGACTAGGTTCTCTGATGCGGCACAAACACGAGATCGGGCACTTCATGAAGTTCCTCCAAACCCAGGACGCAAGGTCAGGACTTTACAAACGCTGTGTGAGAATATCAGAGTTTTGGATGCATTTTCCATTGCTTAGGCGTGTGCACTGAGTGCCATCAATTATTTTATGTTTTTACATAGTTTTTGCTATTTTGATATTTGCTATAGCTACTTTGAGGCTTGGCACGTTTATTTGTATCGCGACTCAAAGTGCTTAACAAAATAAGATAAAAAAAAACAATACAAGGCAACAACATAATAAATAATCGCAGTACATTAAAACGATTGAAGATAAAATCCCTCAGTTGTACTGTTACGACCCGAAGGACAAAACATATTTTAAGGACACAGACAGGTTTAGAGTTCAAAAATAATTATTTTATTGATACATGTTCTTTTAACTGAACTCTAGTTTGTTATTATTAATTAATATGAATATTAAATCAAACCAACCCCGTGTCCAGAATACAAAAACCCAAAGTAATCAAATTAAAGGTGGACCTGGTGGGCCAGCCAAAACAAACAAAAATGGGCCGACACCGAACCAACCCTATACAGGGCCGTCCGGATTCGATGCCGGCACCCTAACTAAAGAATAAACAAAACCCAACTAGCTACACCCTCCAACAAAAATGTAACCACCGGACCCACCAGATCAAACAAAAATAAGGACAAGGAAAAAATGCTAACCAAATGGCTAAAGAAACAACCTGGGGAGGCCGCAAACCAGGACTAGGAGGGAGCGCGCAGCCCGTGCACGCTCACCTCAGCAGGTGTTTGCAAAAGGCTCAGAGCAGAGAGGGGCGGGAGCGCACCAGGACAGCGCTTCTTATACTCCCGACCCGAGCTGCAAAATATACAAAATAAGTTACAAAAACGTTATCAAAAATGCAACCTATAAAATATACTTATACAAAACACAATCTTACAAAAATAACTATAAAACCCAAAAAATACCTGGACAAAAAAAAGATAAGATAAAACCAAAAGGGGGGAAAAGGTGCCCAAACATAACGTCTACGAACAGCAAAAAACTGTTTTAACCTAGATTTGAAATAACATGCAGAATCTTTCAAAGGCACACAACACCACTCAAGTAAAGTTAACACTGTCTTTGACCCATTGTCCCATTGTGATGCAACATTGTGATGTCGCATTGTGCCCCAGTGTGCACCTGTCCTGTTGGCTGGACCTGGAGCAGTACCGCAGGATTCCTGAGACAGACACAGCGCTCAGAGAAGAGAAGTCTTCTTACCTCGTCCACAGATACCTCAACAAGAAGTACTTCTTTGGACCAGACAGTCCCGCCTCCATCGACCAACAACAGGAGGTGCAAACACTTGTGTAGCTCTTTATTACACTGTTATTATCACAATCATATTTGTAGTCCTGGTGCAGCGGCTAGCGCTGGTGCTTCACAGCAAGAAGGTCTCGTGAATCTATAATAATATCTGGATAGGGTTTTACTAGCTTACAGCTGTTCAACCCACGGGCACAGGGGGCGCCCGCTGTACTGCAGATTAAATTCACGTGGGCTATCCAGAAAAAAGGTCCCATAGAACTCAATGTAAACTGAAACAACTCAAACTCAGCTGACAGAGAACCGACAGCTTTTATAAAGGCCGGATTTTGTGAGGATTTTAGTGTCTCTTGGACTTTTTCTTGTTGAATCCTTTGGTTAATTATAAATCCACACTTTGGGCTCCCACTCTGGCTCCACTCTGATCGGCAGCTCTGATTGGTCAAAACCCGGCCGTGCCCCTCTGAGCATGCATGAGAGCCACACACACTCGCATATTTGGTGCAAAGCATCATGGGAGCTTGTCCAATACCAGACACAGAACTGGGGGGACCAGAGAAATGCCCAAATATGGGCGAGTTCCGCTAATCTTTCCATGCCCATGGTTGTCCCATGCACCACTGAGCACAAGCCATTGATTTGAATACGGCGCCATCTTGATCATGATCAACATGAGTGTGTGTTTGTGAGTGCGACTGTGGGACAACGGATGTAAATTAGCCCAAGGCCACAATCTGGAGAGGTGTGTTCATGAACATGTACTGTCCCAACCAAATAAACAAATAAACTGTTGTGATAAACATTTATTGCTGGTAGTAGCATGAAGAATATTATCAATTTCAGACGCAAGCCTGGGCTAAATAACCTATTACAGAGGCATACAAGCTGCAGGACCCCATAAGGTCCCCTCGAGGCCCTACACACCTCAGTCCAATAGTGCTCTTGGGGCTACTGCTTTGTACATTTGTGTGTGTTGTAAACAGATAGCCCTTTTTATGATTGTGAATTATCAATAGTTTGGTCCGAGGATCAAACCTGGAACCTTTTTGATGAGGGGCATGAAATTGAGGCATGAACTTTCCCCACTGAGGGACGGATGAAGGTTTATCAGTGCTGACCACTGCGCTGACTGTTGTCTCAGATTCCTCTTGTGGTAGACGTCACACTGAGCTCGCTGAGTGTGGGGTGTCACCAGCGGCCGCTGATGGGACAACAGGAAGGTTCATGACAATGTGTAAGAAAAGTATTTGAGGAGCTGTCGTGTGGTTTGGATGGAAAAGGCCAAAACGCTGATCGCTTGTGAGATTGACAGAAGCACCACGTTTCTGCAGACTGATGAAGGCTGAGAGGATTCTTGCCAAAAGAAGAATGAGCGTAAAGCTTTGGACACAGGACAGAACTTATTTCACTTGGGGCTGTGCAAAATATTCCATATAAACCTGGTTTTACAAAATCAATGTCTTGGTTTTCTGTTTCTTTGTTTATGCATGAGTACATTTTTACACTCTGCTTGTTTTATGATTGAGTTTTTGAGTTGTTCTTTGCTGAAGCAGAAGGGTCTAAGGACAGTGGTGATGATCTGGGACATTCAAGGACATTTATGGATCTTTATGGATCTTTATGGACAGTTTCATTTTTCAACCAGAAACCTAGAAACAAAGAACAAATCAGAAAATAAAATGATACTAGTGACAAACATCAGGTTCACTGCCACTCGAGTTCAGTCCAAGATGTGGAGACACTGGAATAGCTGTCTTTTAAAGTCATAACTGTTTGTTATTTGTTGTCTTTGTCGGTATGTTTTAAGTTGGACCTAGAGTCTGTAATGAAGTTGAATTGACATTTATGGACATTGGCCATCCACCCTGTTGTTCCAATGGCTCTTATGTGTTTCTTATCATTGCATTTGCTGTGTTCAAATTGTTTGATTCTCTGATCTGTCTCGGCAAATTCATAATTTTGTAAAGTCCTCCGAGACGACTACTATTACTACTACTACTATTTGAACGATGAGCAGTGTTTTGTGAAAGACCCTGTGATTCCCAGTAGTGACCATGCTCAGGCCGGAGCCAGACTAATACAGTTTGAAATTGGGTTCTTTTTTGGCAGACATTATTTTCTTCGAGACTCAGGACTCATGATTTAAAGCCAGTATTTAAAGAAATTCATGACTTGTGCCTTCTGCAGTGAGTTCACTCTGCACTAATGGCATTGTTACTACTCCAAACCAATATTAATGTTTGCCTGCCATTTCTTCTATTCTTTATAAGTGTGTGTCGGCCCTGGCAGCTGCTGCTCCATCTCGATGTGGATTCTTGTCTCCGTGAGCCATGTAAAGAGGATGACAGCTTTACGGCTCTGGCGCTGGATGCCTTCACTCAGCCAGGCAGCCCGTTTCAGATGAGCCTCCCTTTCATCTGCTCCGCTCCCCTCCGCAGTGCCACGAATGGTTCTCATTTTGACATGCCCCAGAGTGTGAGAACGAGAACGCGAACGCATGCAAAAAGAGATATAAAGGAGATATAAATAGTTGGAAATGGTCAGATTTGAGTTTGAAGACAGAAAGCATAGAGCGGGGGCCTGTGGGAACAGAGGAGAGAGGCAGGTTTTCAAATGGGACTTTTATGTTTAAGAGCCAGGGGTCCCAGTGTGGTCACTTTTATGTCTACCTCCATCCCTAATGTGGTTGCTATTGAAGTCTTAAGTTATGTTTCTCATGCACTGGAGAAAGTTTGGCTTCTTTTTATATCAGTACTTGGAGTCCTCCTTCACGCACAGGCACTCATTTGTCGCACTTACTACTGCTGGGAATGTTGGCTGACAATCGACGTTGGATCCCGAACATAGATAGAATTGTTCCCCATAAGGTTTAGCTTAACCTTCATTGGTCTCATTGGAGAAATAGGCCTCTGCATTAGTCTCATTCTTCACCCCTGGAGGCAAACAGAAGGTGTTGTAGTGCTGCTATGGCCCAGCCGAGGGTCAGGAGTGCACTACTGTCACTGGAGGATATTGTTTCAGTTTAAGTATTTGCTATCCCTGCAATTCAAAACATCCACATCCAAGTTTTTATTTACTTAAGTGCTGTAATCAAGTCGTTTTTTTACATTTATTTAGTGGCTTATTTTCCGATATTCTTTCACTGTTACTCATCCCTTCTTAAACCAAAATATCGGTACCTTCTACTTCCTGTACTTTAAAATAACTTGCAAACTTGCCGGACTATAAGCAGCTACTATTTTCAAGTTCATGAGATAGATAGATATACATGCCAACAGTTCATGTATGGCTCTTAAACGCTTTGTCCAACACCCCTCAGCGGTGCATTAAAACATCTATTCCTTAAATCATGTTGTGACCAGTTAAAACAGTCGCTCAGTGGCTTTGTTTTGCTCTGTTAGCTGTTCGTTACGCTTTACAAGATGAAAACCTGCGGCTTATATTCAAGTGTGGCCTGTAAGTGGACACAATATATTTCCATATCAAATGTAGCTGCTGCGGTTTATGTGCAGGTGCGCTAATAGTCCAGCAAGTACCAGGGTCACTTTGCAGGAAAGGAAAGTTTATTTGTGTAAAGCAGTTCATACACAAGGCGACTCAAAGTGCCCGTAACAAACAAGAAAAGAAACATTAAAATCATAGGCAACACGACACAGAACCAGTTTGGAAGTGGATAGCCAAGAATTTAAGTGTGTTCATTTGTGGTGGTTAGCAGCGCTTCTATGTTCAGATAACACCTTGACTGCATGCTTTGTAGAAATGTTTCATATTGACAGAATATGATGACAAATAATATAAGGGTAGAAATGTCTTCACTATTGAGAATTTAATATCCAACAAAAAAGGCAACTTACATACAAAAGCTAATGTTTTTATACACAAGTGGGGGAATGATTTCAATACTTTTACTTTTACCAGGCAATTTTTATACTACAATCTAATCTTTTACTTAAAGGAGCAGTATGTAAAAATCTGGCCAAAAGTGGTACAGCACTCTCCCTGACTCAGGTTGCCAGATATGCAGACAAATCCAGCTAGGACCATATTATCTGAATAAAGAGTTTTGTCTACAACAAATCTATCTAACTTTAACATCTATTTAACACCTTTCTCACAAAGATAGAAATTATGGTTTTATTCCTTGTTTTGTCATTAATCATTTGAGAATCATAACTCGACCTTTTAAAGTTCTGAGGCCACATGTTACTTTACCAGTGAGATTAGCTCGACGCGGTGATCACGGACTTTCTGATTGGTGAAACGGTGGAGGGCGGGACATCAAAATGAAAATAACGAGATTTAGGGCTGTAAAACTATTTTTGAAATCCAAATTAGGGCCAGATTAGGGCTATTTAATGATGAATTGACGTGAAAATCGTACATATTGCTACTTTAAGTTCCTAAAACTATGACCACCTCTGTTGAGTTGATGAGGCTGATCCAAATTCACACAGAAAGATACATATACTTATATTTGAAGTACATATAAACGTCTGTGTGCCAATTTCTAAAAATGATCTTTTCCCAGATCTTGCATTTGACTGGAGGCCCGGAGAGGTTAAAGCTGGACTGTCTAATAAACTCAATTGTCAAAGAAATCCAAGACGTGGTCAGGAGCCACATCGAGGACACATGGCTTCCTCACTTCCTGTCTACGGCCGAGTTCACCGAGAGGCAGAAGAACAAACCAAAGGTAGCCATTACTAACTTCTATTTCAACAACGCTCATGTCTTCTCTCTCTCCGTTGCGCCCCCTGGTATATTCATTTACAGTGGTCTATCTGCACAGTAAAAGGCCTCGCTTGCCGTCAACCAAAACCAATGGATAACTATTTCACAAAACCGATAATAACTGTTTGACATCGTTATTTAGGTGTAATTATTGCGCTACACGAGAAACCACTAAAGACACTTCCAGTCTCGGTCTCTCAGGTTGCCGTACCGGGACACTACTCCAAACCCAACGATCCTTTCCTCCGCAGCTCCCCATTATGTGATCGAATTTACCACGTCCGCTCATTTAGGCAGTAATGAGATGTGCAGCTGGGCTAGGGTTACACCACTGGAAAAGACACTTAGAGGTGAAGAAGGCACAAGCGAAGAGGGCAGCGACTGCACACAGCGGACTGGAAGATTCAGAGGAGAACAAATCTAGTCCCAGGTCAATGGTGTAATCTAGGTTTACGACATTAGGTTTCTCTGGGTGCTCGATGTCTCCGTGTTAATCCTGTTTTTTCGGTGTTTGTGGTGCTTTGTGCACAACAGCGTCACACTAGGAGCAGGTTCTCGGAGGATCGCAGAGGACGACGTTACCGCAGGACGGAAGCGTGGCAGGTACGTGAAAGACCACAGTATCCAGTTTATCATCTGATCCTACAGAGGCTTAGTCCCCTTTTATAATTCAGTCTCAGCTTGGACCTAGTCTCGCAGCTTGATGTTAAAGTGCATTTAGACCTGACTGTGGGCATCCAGTTCTGATATCAATTATTCTAGTTTATGATTTTGGGACTAAGCTGCAAAAAATGATAAAATATGAGGTAATAATTACTTGAAGTGATATTGGTATTTTCTGACTCTTAAAACAAGACTTGCCATTGGGTCAAGCCTTTAAATCTTATTTCATGAGCTGTTGCTTTATTTTCTTTTTCCGAGGGACACATTTCTTGTTTTTCTTTTAAAAAATAATCTAATTTTGCTTTTCCCATTGGCAAATCTTGTTTTAAGGCTGTCATGTGCTCAAATTAAGATACATTTTGCCAAACTTGAGAAATGTTTTATTTTTGTTTAATCACTTTTTGCAGTGTAAAGGCCTGATCCTAGTTTAGACTTGATTATATTCTGATTTAGATACCCATGCAGAATATGTTTACCTTGCAAAAACACATAATTTACTGAAACTCAATGAAGTGTACAATGAGATGGAGATGATGATTCTGCGATGGACAATCCAAAACTTTACCCCTGTTGTCCTTAAACCGCTTTGTAACTTTGTGCTGCACGTTTGGGGACATTGTCTATTTGGAACCAGGCTTTAACTCAGTGATACTCACGTCTTGAGATTTTAACTCAATATTTCCACAAACTGTTCCATTCCACATGATGCCATCTATTTTATAACATTTCTCCTCCAAAAACAACAGGCCCACAACATGATACTGCCCCTCCCATGCTTCTGTATAGGATGTCTTCTCTGGCTTTTCCTCCATATTGAAAAAGTCATTATGGCCCAATAGTCATACTTTGGGTGACTAGACGTGTGGTTTAAATCCTTGTTTATTTGTAGATGTTAAAGATGCAGTCAGTGATTTCGGATATCGGATTTTTATAAAACCTAAAAAGAGCTGAACAGAAAATGCCACTTTCACTTTTGCCGCCCACTCCCTCTGTTGTGGCAAAGAAAAGAAAATGCTGGATGTTTGGTTTGGTGGAGAGCCGAGGGGGAGTGGTTTTGAGTTGGTGCTACGGCTAAGCTAACAACATCGGTTACTGCACCTTTAAGTCCTGGTTCAGATCTTTCATATTTCAGGTTCCCCCAAACACTGAAACTGTCCTAAATAAGAGCTTGATCTTAGTTTAGAACTGATTGACTCCATATTACACAAATGTTTGAATTTTGTCCATGTACTGAATTTGGATTCCGGTAATGCTGGTTTAGGTTTTTATTTTTTATTTGTTCTGAGGATTGCGTTTTTATGGGTCTTGACCAATTTTGGCCGTTTCTCTTGGATTTGAACTCCTGGTAAGTCTTGGTTTCAGCATCTGCTTTGCTGATATAACAGAGATATAAGAGGGTTTACTGGCTGAGTTTCAAGACTGATTGTAGTCCTTGCCTTGGCTCCATCGACGACTGTCAAACACCATTGCAAGATTAAAGCTATAGTAACCTGCCCCTTTAAGTCTGTGGGTGAAGCATGCTTTCTCCTCTTCTTCCTCCCAGAGATATGGATATTTCCCACCGTCGTGATTACAGGAAGAGCTTCTATAAATGCAACTGATTGGAAGGATTGTTCTCTCATTGGCAAAAGCAGCGTTCTCATTCAACATTCTTTTGTTAAAAATCTTGGTATGTTGCTGGATATTTTATTTCAGATGGCTAAATGGGTTTATCAGTTATGAGTGTTTCGGAACCACATTCAATTATTTGTTGGGTAGGCTTTTCTAACTATTGGACTGTAATAGCTAGTTCTCAAAACAGTTTAATGTAAACAGGTGTATGTTTTACTCTTTTAACATGTTAAAAGCAGCTTTTTAAGACAGAAAAGTGAAACGTAGAGGACCACCTCCACCCAAATCAAATAGTCATGTTTGCAGAGGTCTTTCATACAAGCAAGTGAAGGCAAGTTTATTTGTATAGCACATTTCATACACAAGGGAACTCAAAGTGCTGAACAAAACAAGATAGCATTGAAACAAATAATCAAAGTACATTAAAAAGAAAGAAAGATATAAATAATCCCTCAGTTGTATGCACAGCTAAACAAATCTGTCTTTGGTAACACTTTATATTAATGGTACATGAATTCATGTATGAATGTATCATGAACATTGCATTTTGTTGCAATGTTCATGATACATTCATGCATTACTAGATCATGAATTCTCATGAACTTACATGATGATGTTGGTTCATGGATGACTTCATCCACGAATAAATGGTTGAACTACTGTAATGAATTTACATGAAAATCTTAAAGTATCACCATGATCATGATGATACCATGAATTTACTGAAAAAAGCAATGAAATGACCAAAAAAATCAACCTATCATGATCCTCATGATCATGCATGAACCTCATGAGTCATATGGCGGAAATCTACTTGCAAATTAAGACGACACAATCACGAACTTATCATTAGCTAATCCTTAATACATCATGATTTCATTATATTTGCTAATGCTTAATACATCATGATTTCATTATGATTCACTATGATCCGCTCAACTAAAGTGAAGCAATGATTTATGGGTTGTTCCCTCAAATTATTTTACAAACTATCACACATACAGCTGCACTGGAGGTTAGCACTAATGGAATCATGATGTATTAAGCATTAGCTAATGATAAGTTCATGATTGTGTCGATGATTTCATTGCTTTTTCAGTAAATTCATGGTATAATCATGATCATGATGATTCTTTAAGATTTTCATGTACATTCATTACAGTAGTTCAACCATTAATTCATGGATGAAGTCATCCATGAACCAACATGTAACCATGTTAGTTCATGAGAATCCATGATCTAGTAATGCATGAATGTATCATGAACTAATACATGAATTCATGTACCATTAATATAAAGTGTTACGATGTTTTTAACCTGGATTTAAACATTGTCAGAGAAGAGGCCTGTCTCACATCTTCAGGAAGATTGTTCCAGATTTTAGGTCCATGAATCTGAAATGCAGCCTCCCCATGTTTAGTCCTGACTGAGGAGCACAGGTTGGTTCATATGGGACTAACATGTCACTGATATATTTTGGTGCGAGACCATGGAGTGTACAACATATTTTCTGATAAGAGAAAGACATCATATGGTGAGGAGGGTCTGAGGACAGTGCTGATGATCCAGGACACTTGACATTCAACGACAGTAATGGACATTGATCATCCGCCCCTGATGGACCAATGGTTCAAAGTGTTTTTTATCATTGCATTTCCTGTGTTTGAACTGTTTGATTCTCTGATCGACAACTTTGTAAAGTCCTCCAAAATAACCACTGTTATGATTTAGGACTAAAATAAATGGAATCAAATTGAATTGTTCACAACCTTTTACTCTTTCGGTTAGAACAAACGTGTATAATTTATGAAACAAAAATGCGATTATTCTAATACGACCAACAGGAGCCTCATGATGACCCTGTTGTGTAGTTACGCAGTGTGTGGTTGTGTTTGCAGTGCGACGGCCTGTGGATGAGCTCGTCCAAAGAGATCCTGTCTTTTCGAAGGGTCCTTCTCGACCCCGGCTCCTGCCTGCAGTTCCAGCACTTCGTCTCCTTAAAGGGCGACTTCCTGGAGAACGATGTGCTCTTCTGGCTGGAGGTGCAGAGATACAAGGTGCAGACACTGAGCTGGATCACTTACACAAAAACCTCTTCAGTTTCAAAGTACTTAAAACATTTGACTTGCAAAGTGAAGGACTGCTTTGGAAACAGTCTTGCGTTAGCTGATTACTTCAAATGATCTGGTTGCAAAAGAGTGCAAGTGTTTTTAAAGGGGACAAATGAAACTTCTCTGCTGTAGATGCTGCTTCATGTTTGTCTGATGCATCAGCTGGTTCCATTTCATTGAAAGTGATGCATTCAAATATTAGTACTTTTCCTACAATATGACAATTTGAGAAGAGAAACGTGTGTAAAGATGTGTGAACCTTGAACTCTCAGCCTTAATGTAATAAAATCCATGAATATATATTTTTCTGTGTTGTGAATATGGTGCTATTACTTGTGTTTTTGCACTTCTGGTTAAATGCTATACTGCATTTTGTTGCAATGTTCCAACTTTGCAGTGACAAAAAGGTTGAACAATAATATAATGTTCAGGCAAAGCAGTAACATGGTGGGAAGAACAAGAGGAGAATCAAGACGCAAGAACCACTCAGTTACTGATGTATTTTGTCCAGGACCTGTGTCACTCTCACAGCGACAAGGCCACGATCGAGAAGAAGATCTCCACCATCATCAGCGTCTTCATCAACTCCTCTGTTCCTCCAGCTCTGCAGATCCACGTCCCAGAGGAGCAGGCTCAGTCCATCCTGGAGAAGCGCTGCTCACTGGGGCCCTACATCTTCAGAGAGGCCCAGGTACAGTACATACATGTCCATTGTTCACAAAAGTGGAAATGAAGAAATATAGATACAGATTTTACTGAATACAGGATTAGGCATAACAAGTATGGGTTCTTTTAATAAAAAAATTGCTGTCTTGGCTTAAGTGTTGATTCAGTTGTACCAGCATAAAGGTTAGAAATCATAATTAGACTTTGCATGTTCTCCCCGTGTCTGCTCAGGTTTCATCCAGGTGCTCTGGTTTCCCCTACCACTAAAAACATGTACAATAAATCTGGCGTGCGGCTCCTTTACGGCGACCCCACTCCCATGTGTGGAGTGAGACAAATGCCCACAACAATTGTAAAGTGTTTTGTGACTCTGGTCTGTGAAAGGCGCTATATAAATTAAGATTACTTTCTTAATTATGTTTTATTCTTCCAGAAATGTTGTACGGGAAAGTCATTTATTTGCATTTCGAGTCCTAAATGATACTGAACAAGGACATGTCTTTGCAGTTGTCAGTGTTCAGCGAGCTGCTGAGATACTGGCCCGAGTTTCAGGATCTGAGGAACAATGTGCGACAAGAACAACTGCAGCTGCTGCTGGAGCAGAAACGTCTGAAGCATCGAGCGAGAGTCCGAAGACAGCGGCGCAAAGAAGACGAAGAAGAAGAGGAGGAGAGGAGGAGGATGGCTCAGGTAAGAGGCCGTCTCCTCTTCATTAAAACCACTGGACGCATCATCTTCTCCAGGCTCTGTTAGTGTAAGTCATGCATCCTTTTGTCAAGAGTTGTGTTTATTACTTAGGCCCTGTCCCAATACCCACAATGCACCCTGCCCTCCTCTATGAATGGTGCATTTGTTTGAAGTGCACGCAAGGGTTTGAGTGTGCAGGTTACAAGCGTGCAAAAAAGGCAGAATTGGGACAGTGCAGGCTACGTCATCGACTAGTCAAGAGAGGGTCATTTTCAGACCTACATTTTATAAAAATTAAAGGTTATTTTGTCTGACCCTGTGGGGAACAAAAGTAGTAATTAAGGAGTTGCTCCACACATGTTAAAATAAATGTATATTGGTTATTCGTAATTTGAGATAGCTGTATAATTCTAAGTTAAATGCGGGTAACTAACTGCAATCTGGTAAGTTTTTATACATTCTAAGTTTATTGTACTAAGTCTAAAGTCTAATTGAGTGTTAAATGAATGTTTGCATTAAAAAAGTTATGAAATTATTACCATAGAATGTCCGTAATTCATCAGACATTTATGCTTCTTTCCATGTAACAGCAAAATTATATTTACACACATACAGTATATATATTTCAAAACTTACACTTAAATGCATTGGTGTGTACCGTCATCCTTCGCCAGAGTGTGGATCAGGGGCGCAAAGGGGGTAGGGACAAAAGACCTCCCTGGAGAATTGGGACACCCTACGCACTCACACCCATCATTGGGAACGCGCAAATGAGGAGCGTGAGGGTGGAAGTGCGAGTATTGGGACAGGGCCTTAGAGGGAGGGGCATGAGGGAGGGGCATGAGGGAGAGGCATGAGGGAGGGGCATGAGGGTCCAAAACGCTGTGTGAAAAACTGCATAAGAGGTCGGTGCTCTCAGGACTCGGCCAATGTGACTTGCAGACATTAGCAGGTGTGTGTACGATGGTAAAATGCTGCAGAGAGTTCATATAATTGTTCCTACAGAAGAAATCCCTTAAATTCACTGAAACGACAACAATATGATTTTACTGTTGAAGGAATGATCCACTCCATGAAAATATTATCCGATTGTGATTTGTGTAAACAGAACTCAGATATATTTCCCATGGAGGAGGTGACGACGTGTATCTGTCCAGCTCAAAGAGATGTCGAGGGTTTCGTGATGTGAATAAAACAATTCATGAAAGTTTGATCAAATCCAGACAGATAGTGTTCTCTCTCTGTGATGTAGCACGAGGCTGGCTCACGCTGGGATACTATGTCTTTGAAATAAAAGATTCTCTTTTCACCTCCGTCAGGCATTGAAAAATCTCACGAGAAAGAATATAATAGAACTAATATCATCATGGTTTTGTTAGAATAAAAGGTTTGTACAAATACACAATTCAAGGTACACTCTGTTTCTCATCAGGAATGTTCCACAGTCTGGTATCGAGTCAAACTTATCCATTTTTCAAGTCAAAGGAGATTGCCAATAATACTGGCACCTAAATCTCTCTGAAGCAGTTTCAGTTCCCTACACAGTTCTGCAATTGGAAAGTAATGTGGGCAGAATTTCTAAACTTTCTTTTTATGACAGGAAGAACAGGGGAAGCACGAGTCCAGCTTCAGAGGCGAGGATGAGGAGGATGAAGACAATTATTCAGACGAAGAGAGAAAGGACCGCAGAGTGTCTCAAACCCAGAGCAGACTGCAGTTGACTCCAGCTCAGTCAGTAAGTCTGATTTTCCAAAGAGACCAAAGATTAAAGATGTGTTTGTATTCCTCTCACAGCGTCTTTTCATTTATTGATAAAAGTCAGAGCTGTAAAAGTCCAACAGGAGAGCCACTGCTCCGCTTCAGGAATCTTTAGAACTATCTATTTTTTGGGAAATGAAGGGCAGACTTTATCTGCACTTGCCGTGGTATCATAAACTGAAGGTTAGCGAACTAGTGGCGTCGGCTACAATGTGCATGTGCTTTGCACACCTCCCTGATGTAAACCTGGGGGAGGTCATCGTCGATCCTCTTTAATTTCGATGCTCGAGACTATGATGCAATTTCCATCGATTTTCTATTAAATTGAAATTGTCACATCCCTAATAGTAATAACATATAATGGCTCCAATATTGTGTAGTACACAAGCAAACTGTATTTTTAGTTGTATCTAGTCGATGTATAATTTCAATGGAACTCTTGGCATCATTTCCTCAAAATATTGTTTCTTCATTCAGGAAAATATCTAGTCATAAATTGCATCAGGGCATGTGTATTCAGAGTTATAATGTACAGTTTTATTGTCTATGGTTCATTGTTGACATTCCCTGATGCTTTTCTGTAATCGTTTACAAATATTCCAGCCAAAAAACCGTTATGTTCCTTTTAGCTAACGTGGTCCTATTCCAAATACATGGCCGCTCTGCAGAGGGAGGAGTTGCTGCGGCGGAGGAAGAGTCAGCTGGACGCCTCCTCCACAGTTTCAGGTGAATCAAACTTTGCAGCCAAAAAATCTTGAAATCACATTAAACTTTCTCCCACAGTAAAGTCCAAGGTAAATGTTCCCACTGCCAGCTAAAGCTCTGCTCTGTCAAGCCTCTATTCTTACTTTCACATTAACTCAAACGCACGCCAGGATATCCCTTCAACCTGTCCATGAGTGTCTGTGCACAGAGCAAAAGCGAGAAGTTAAATCGAGCCGTAAATGAAGCGTATAGAACTCAGGTCTAAGGCCCGGTCTCAGGAGGGGGGTGGAAGAGCGAGGGGTGAGAGCAAAGTTTTAACACGATCCGACAGTGAGGCGCGCACATGGACATCATCACAGCGTCTTGTGTCGAGAAGCAGATTCTAGTGTGGACAGTTCACAGCAAGGAGCCAGGAAACCCACTCAAACAACAATCAAAGCAGTGAAATGTATATGGAAAATAATGTGTTGGACTTTGGGACGCAAGAAGCGTGTGTAAAAGTAACTTGTTTCATATGTTGTTATCAAATACAAGAATAACAGCGCTGCGTACTGTACACAACCTCTGTGTAATGATTGATCCAATATCACGTACATTTGCAGAAAGTGCTTTGTCCGTTTTTCACTTAACCAAAAGTACTGCCATTTTGAACATCAATTCCCACAAGCTAAGCCCAATTGGGGCCTGGTTAGAACTTGGATGGGAGACCACAGATGCTCGAAAACAAACTGTGGGCAAGAGACACTTGCATTGTATACACTGGAAAAAAAATATTCAAATATGAGATAATAGTTGCTTTAATCGAGTGGTTTCCATCTCAATTTGACCACATTCTGACGTGGGACAATCCAAGTCTTTTTTCAAGTTCTTTTAATTCCAAGGGTAGTCTTCTACCACCAGCAATCTGGAAGATGATCATTACTGTCATTACTGAAAGTTACGTATTGTTCACGTGTGCACATGTTGTGTACAAACTACACAATGTGCCTCCTGTTGTTTTAACTCTGCCTTTCTGTGCGTTTGGTTTGCAATGTCGACAGTTTGATGCTATGACGCTGGTTTCTGGATTCTTGCATAATTCTTTTTCTAAAAGATTCGTTTTGATTGTTCTTCTACATCACTGTGGTCCTCCATGGTTCTTCTACATTACTGTGGTCCTCCATGGTTCTTCTACATCACTGTGGTCCTCCATGGTTCTTCTACATCACTGTGGTCCTCCATGGTTCCTACTTCAAACTTGTGAGGGCACAGTGGAACAACAAGTAGCACCTGTGAAACGAAAGGACAATTCTCACATCTTTTTTGTCCCTTATCAACCACTGTATTTCAAGAGCGTTCTCCAGCCTCATGTTCATTTATAAGTCAAATTTGAATCGTATGAAAACAATTAAAAAACATGTGAAGGTCATTATTATTGGTGAACATGTTTTCTGACAAATCAAGGCTGTATTGTCACTGACAGAGCAGCCGTCCTCCTGTGGACTCACCACCTGCAGAGGATCAGTGAGGGGCTGGTGCTAAGTGAATTGGGTGCAGCTCTGACTGCCACCCCCCCCGACCCAGAAATGGATTAAGGGGAAGAAGATGGATGGATGGATGTTTTCTTTTTCATTTGGAGCAACTGTAAAAATTACACAGTACTTTTTTAAGGCAGTCAAAATGTGCTCAAAATAAGATACATTTTGGCAATTTTGAACTTATTTTTCATCACTTTTTGCAGTGTAGTATGAATCCAGCGAGTGCTAGCAAAGATTGGCAGCCTCACTTCCATCTGTCTACCCCAGGGCAGCTCTGGCTACCATCATGTGTGGAGTGAATGAATACAATGTGAAGCATGTTGCCTACATCCTGTGCATCGTCGTTATTACAGGTGTGTTACTGACTCCTACAGACTCCTCCTCCTGTGGCGTGAGGTCAGTGGGGACCTTCCAGAGCCAAAAGCAGCGGTCACTCGTCTCCAGGACCAGCAGCCTCCAGAGGCAGAGACACAACAGTGGGTCCAAGTCGTCAGGTTTGAGATGAGTGAAAAAGCTTGGCAGATCCAACTCAGACCGTGCTCGTATGCACCATCACGCTTCCAACTCAAATTCAAGCAATAAAGACATTTTTAAAGTAACTGACAGATTTTAAACTATCAACAATATAACACAAAAAAACTGTTCTGGTCACACCAGCCGACAGTTTTTACATTGTGCTAAAGTCTGGAAATCTGCTCTATTCAGTGAAGGAACCTTACGCAGATTTTCTAATATATACATCAGTGGAAATGACTGCAGCAGAAGTATGACCCAGTGCATGATGGGAAAAAGTACATCCGGACTTAAACACACGTGTTAACTACAGATGATCTCAAATTGAACATTTGCGTTTAGAATATAAGAATGGATACTAAGGAAAGTTCATCTCAAACATAGTTTTATCAACTCAGTGATATAAACCTAGTTTGACTGTTTTTACTCTTGCAGAGGGAGTGAAGACCAAAGAACGATGGACGTGATGAGGAAGACCGTTTCTCCAGAGCTAAAATACAGGATGTAGCTGTGAAATGTTTATAAATAAGTTTAATACCGTTGTTGGTTCTTATGGTCTTACATATAGTGTTGTAGTGGAGTGCACACACCTTCACATGGGTTAAAGTTGAAAAAATTCCTGAGCCTGAACCATCTATATGAATCATAGAATGATCACTAATAAGCGTTTTTTATAAGCGCCTTTATACGCTCATACATATAATTTATATCTATTTAATGCCAACAACTGATGTTTATTATAAACATCAGTTGTTGGCAATAAATACATCATCCAGGGGTTAAAGCAAAAAAAAAAGATTTGACTGAAAATTTTCTCATGGAAATATAATGAATTACAGATCAAACGAATTCTTCAAAGATATACATTTAAACTGGTGTATTTTGATGTGAAATTACAACCAGTGGATCAAGCAACTTGTCAACTCTTTGACAAAATATTAGTGAGAGTAGTTCATCTGCATCATTGGCTTTACTTGAGGCGAGATGAGGCGTTGTCCTTTGGCTCTGTCCTCGTCAAAATATCGCAAAAGGACATTCAAAATTCTGTCCACATTTGTTTGTGGACTCTCAATGTTTAAGAAAAAGGTTTCCCTATCAACTTGGTGCTAGTGCACAGCGCAGTTTTATCAACTGCAAATGATTAATGATAATTAAATCTACCAGCGGTAGTGATGGTTCTGAACGACAGGTTATTTTCTGCGATAAAGCCACAGATAGTTTTAGGTCACAGACACAGTCCACCAGAGCAAGCCTAGTCTCAGTTGTCGCTGAATCTGATGCACCAGGTAAAGAAGTGTGGGAAAGTGCACGGACAGCTGCCAAGTGCGCAGTTTTGAGCTGGTGGTGAATCCAAAGCTGTTTTCTCATTACTCCCATATAAAAAAATAATAATAGCGAAGTACGAACAAGCACCGGACACCTTTATCTTTTTGCACCATGAAGCAACAGAATCCCATCGTCTCCACCTCATCCAGCCATGCCCACCTCCATTTATTTTTCACTCCGTTATCAACAGCAACTTATACAGCTCCTTCTTCCATAAACAACGAGTGGGGCGGCTGCGGCTGTAAAGTGCCAAACTGCCGTTGTGTCCTTAGGCAAGTAACTTCACCCCCATTGCCTAGAATGAGTCTGGTGTGTGTGTGTGAATGGTTGGTGGTGATCGGAGGGGCCGATGGCACATACTGGTTGCCTCGCTTCTGTCAGTGTGCCCCAGGGCAGCTGTGGCTACAGTAGTAGTTTATCACCACCGTGTATGGAGTGAATGAATACATAGTTCCCACAGACCAATGAATGTCACATGACCTCCTCGGAGACGCCATCTTTGATGGCACGCTGCTGTGTTTGTGCATTCCATTAAACAGAAGAATGAGAATAAATGTAGATATTCAAACGCAAATTGGAAAAAAAGGGCAACTTTTGAGCAAATAATTGTATATTAATACAATGGCACCACAGTTTAACGTGCTACGGACATGTTTTACATATTTGATCAAATTATGCAGCAAAAATTAACAAGCAATGCAAACATTTCTCAAAAACTTTAGATTTAATACCAGTTGGAGCTCCATTTAATTATTTTAATTATATTAACAATTAATTTAATTAATGCTAATGCCACACGGACACTCTGGATTGCTGTTATTGTTTATTTCCGCGTTTTTGACCGTATGTTTTGGTGAATGGTGGGCAACTGATTTTTCCAGGCGTAAAGAGCAGTTTATTTTATGACACAGATCTTTTTACAGAAGCAATGCTGTTTGTGGACATTGTTTTAGCCCACCATAGAACTATTATTATCTATTTAATACATTTACGTTGCCCTCGAGAGCCTCGGACGCGACACCGATCCTCCTCATAATAAAGTAATCTAACGCTAAATAATGAAACTCTCAAGTTACCAGATATCAGCATACACAAGTTAGTACTGAGTAAATTACGTCTGTCAACACATTATGAGATACGATACGCACCTGACACAAAGTGCTCCGAGCATATTCTTGCGTGTTTTGAGGGAGTTTCTTGCCTGTTTATCTTCGCAAGCCATAACCTCCGTGGTTGTTCTGACAAAAGCTTAGTCTTCTCACATTCATGAAGTCTAATGATGGGTATACTGTAAAATCCAAGTTTAACGGAACCTTCGGCACGATTTGAACATCCATTGACCGAGCAGGAGATGACCATTTTCAACTTTATCACGACATTAACACGTTTCAGCTTCTTTTTCTATTGTTTTGCCCACAGCATGCCAACACAAATGGCGCCGGGTCGGCAAATCCCCGTATGTAGTGACGTCATGTGGGAACTATGTATTCTCGAGGTCGGCGTTACGTCACGAATCATGTGACCTGCGTAGCAACCAACCGCCGCCATGTTTGAAGGGTAAAACAAACCGAAGGCGAATCCAAAAGGTATCTATTTACATATGTTTTGCCGTGGATTATGTCAGTTATGGATACTAACGGACAACTTTGAATTATTGATGAATGATATCTGTGTATGCGAATGTATGTTGGTGGTGTAAACATTCAGGGCTTGCTTAGCTGGAGGCAGGAATCTAAATTCCTATCTATTTCCATTGTAGCTGTTGTCATAGTAACAATAAAGAAATGTCTAACTGTTGTTGGAAATATCAGATAAACCTTATTTTATTAACGCAAATGTCATTCCTCTTGTTCTTGCACCTTAAGCCACAACAGGACCACCTTTTTCAGTTGTAGTTTTACACTTATAATCGCCAGTTTTAGTTTACATTCACTCCATACATGTGAGATTAAACACTCATGTAAAGCGCTTTGTGACTAGCTACATGTCTGTGAAAGGCACTATATGAATACAGATCTTCTTCTTCTATTGCAGCATGTCATATCAGTATATTGACAGTCTCCTAGCGCCTGCATTGACCAGGTACCACTAGCCTGGTTTTACCATACCCTCGTACTTGTTTCGTACAGAGGGTACATCCCGGGAAAAAAAGATTTGACCGGAGTTTACGGATGGCAAAGGCCAGGCTAAGGTACCACAGAAAGCTGTCGCTTGTAGGTTTACAATCTTGTCCCTATCGGCATCCAGCAGAGTCCTGGGAAAACAACCCAAAGGCATGGCCCAGGCTCGAGTATCCAGACATATACAATTACCTCATCAAGTCCCCTGGTATGAACACCATGTGTACATACCATGTGTCCTACACTTGTAGTAATATTTAAATACCCATCAAGCATCGATAACATTAACTATGTTATGACATTCAAAAGCATTCTGTTACAATGTGGCTGTAATGAGCTCAGTCTGTCAGTGGCACAGCTTGTACAGTGTAAGTGAGGGACACAGTTTTTTTCAAAAGCCAAAAAAGGCTAACTGCAGAAATTCCACTTATTCCCCACACAACTAGTGCATTTCATTGTTGCTTATCGGTGTAGAGCTGCCGACCATTATGCATAGCGATGTCATAACATAGCAACAGAAAACAGTGGCATGGCATTGGTATTATTTTGTTATTCTTTGATTTGCCCCTCAATGTGTCCATTCATTTGAGATTACATTTCTATTTAAATTTTAAAGTAAAATGGCATACCCTCTATTCACACTTTTTATGACCGGTTATTTTTTGCAATAACCAGTCATCAGATTACATTTTATTATATTATATATGTAGTGTCTAACGACAACAGCAAGACTTTAACATTTCTAATGAGAAATAGTTTATTAGACATTGTATAAGTAGAAATACTAAAAGACGTGAAGATTGACATGAAAACATTTGTATCATTTACTTGCAATTTGTCAGTGTTTTTGCTCTGGTCAATTGTCACTCTCCTAGATGTGATATGTTAATGTATAAAAATAAAATTATTCCCTTTCTTCATTTTCTTTTGTTTCAGGTGTATTTAGTATTATGATGGTGGAGACCGAATCATTGCTGATTTTGTCAATGCCTAATTCCGTCTGCTGCAGGTCTTGCATTTCCATGCAGGGTGTTGACACTTCTTGTTGCAACTCTTCTGGGACACTTGTCTCCTCAAATTCCAGTTGCTTCTTCACCTTCCTTTCCTTTCGTGATACTAGAGTAGTGGATGGTGCTGAAAAAAATAGATAAAAGGTATATATTTTGCAAATGATCACAGAAATTTTAAGTCATGGCCTCATATTTATAATAATAATAATAATGCATCAGTTTTATGTAGTGCTTTTCTGGACACTCAAAGACGCTTAACATTGCACTATTCATTCACTCCATACTTGGTGGTGGTAAGCAACTATTATAGCCACAGCTGCCCTGGGGTAGACTGACTGAAGCGAGGCGACCAGTCTGCGCCATCGGCCCCTCCGACCACCACCAACCACTCACTCACTCGGCTTCCTGGTGTTACTAAACGGCAGTATATTTAGTATTGAGTTGGATTGGGACGATAAGTCATAATAGTAGCAATGCAAGATTACATTTTTTAAATTACCAAATCAGATTTAATTCAGCACAGTACTTTCCAGCTCAGTAAGAGGAATAAAACAGTTTTAGAATTATGAAAATCGGATAGTGGTTATGATTTTATTACCATATTGATAAGTGCTTTTAGGCGCTTATAGTGAAAGTAATTTGGTTTAAAACAAAGGGATACTGTGGAACCTTCTATTCAGCCAGTTCAAGCCTTTATTCATCTTCTAAGTGCTGTAACTTCCCTATTTTACTAACTATAAACATTAAAATTCACAGTAAAGAAGGAAACAATTCAGGGATGTTGAATTCGATATTCATTTTACAATTTGGCCGACCCCGATTCCAATATGGCCGCCAGCTTATCCAAGATGGCTGCCAACATGAAATCCGGAAAACATTTTTTTCAAACTACTATGTAATATATCAAAATAAAGGTAATTGATGGAGCAATCTAAATATGATGCTTAGAAATGTTTTTGGCATATGCACACACACACACGTGTTATTTATGAGACTAAAATTACAGACCTCAGCTTTAAACATGTGTTATTTATGAGACTAAAGTTACAGACCCGAGCTTTAAACATGTTATTAATGAGACTAAAGTTACATACCTCAGCTTTAAACATTTTATTAATGAGACTAAAGTTACAGACCCGAGCTTTAAACATGTTATTAATGAGACTAAAGTTACAGACCTCAGCTTTAAACGTTATTAATGAGACTAAAGTTACAGACCCCAGCTTTAAACATGTGTTATGAGACTAAAGTTACAGACCTCAGCTTTAAACATGTTATTTATCAGACTAAAGTTACAGACCTCAGCTTTAAAAATGTGTTATTTACGAGACTAAAGTTACAGACCTCAGCTTTAAACATTTAATTAATGACACTAAAGTTACAGACCTCAGCTTTAAACATGTTATTAATGAGACTAAAGTCACAGACCTCAGCTTTAAACATGTGTTATTTATGAGACTAAAGTTACAGACCTCAACTTTAAACATGTTATTTATCAGACTAAAGTTACAGACCTCAGCTTTAAAAATGTGTTATTTACGAGACTAAAGTTACAGACCTCAGCTTTAAGCATGTTATTTATGAGACTAAAGTTACAGACCCGAGCTTTAAACATGTTAACAACCCAAACACCCTTGTTAACATGTAAAATGGATTAGTCCAACCAATGGCATTGGTCCGTTTGGGCCACGTGACTCGCGTTTCTACCCCCCGGAAAAGTGGACTCGCCCAGACTTGCGTGCCGCTTCGGCAGCAGAGCAGAGTGTGTGATGAGCGCGGCGGTTTTTTCAACTTTATTCACTGATCCGCGGGTCAAAACAACCGTGACATGATTCAAATATACCATCATTCTAAAGCTTATAATCTTAGATGTATGTGTGTGGTGTTGGTTTTCCAAAACCCCGGTTACTTACCGTGTATTTTTCTATTAAGTTCGTCGGATTATATCTCCGTAACCGCAACAGCTGGAGAGATGCCGCTTTCACCGTAATGCGCAGTAATAAGTGATCTGTTTACCCGGTAAATATCACCTCGCGGCGACGTCATTAACCCGCGCGGAATGCCGAGGATATCCCGACTCATTTTTTTTCAGAGTCCAGACTATCTGTGGCCCACTCTGCCTCATATTCGTCAACTTTATTAATTCATATCTCAGGAAATAAACGGAATATCAGAACAATCCACACATTTATGGATTCTATGAATAAAAATATGTTTATTGATAGTGGTGGTAGCTATATATTCTGATTATTTAGCTGCTCAAAATCAAATGAACTAAAGTGAGTAAGACAGCGACCTCTTTTCACCACAGCGTTTCCACTGAGTCTTGCATTGCTAATAATAGTCGACTATGACTAGAAAGCAGCGACCAGTAGACTAGTTTTGTACTATAAATACCATCTTACCAAGAATTTCCAGGCTAGGCATTATGTACAAAAATCTGCATGACTAGTTACTTTGTAGATGCAATGACTTTTTCATACAGGAGGTAATTTTGTTTTCAAGGAAAATACATTTGTTAGCAAAATCTGTATTTTTACACAGATTACCATTTTTGTAGCAGTTAACCTCCCAAGTACTACTTTTTCAAATTGGTCATTAGAAATCAACATGTATTTTTTATTTATGTATTTCATATGGGGGACAACATTCTATTTCACAAGGTGCTTGTATCAATTGTTGTACACAACCTCATTGCAATATGGAATCTTTTAATTCTTAACTGTGCATTGGAAATGCAGCTCATTATCTGCAGGTACGGTTTTACTGCAGTGTAAAATAAGAGCAATAAACACAATTTGCTACTATATATATGTCTGCATAAACAAAATCGACTGCAATTTGTTAGTTTTAAATTTCAAGTGTTGTGTCAAACAAATTCAGATAATTTTTGGTCATTGATCTAGGAGCAAACTAGATGCATGTTGATCACACTACAGTTTGATGGTTTTTTTTCTGTTAACGATAGGGTACTGTGTGGTAGCAAACTTACCTTTTCTTTTCTGTGCTCTCTTGAAGCGATCAAGTGTGGTACTCTTAGTCAATTCCTTCAGCACTGCTTGCGGGAAAATGGACGGAGTGTAATCTGGGTGTGCGGGGTTGTTGTTCTTCTTTCCTGTTCAAGGAGCAAAGTGACAAAATCTAAAGATTCCCACTGAGTAGCTCCAAGCCAGCTGGAGCCATTTCTCTCTCCTTTCTGGCTCAGTTGCCTCGCTAGGGATCATGTAAAAGGATAGGTCACTCCTTTTTACGCTGTTGTTGGTACAACCAACAATACAACAGTTTTTCGGCATGTTTTGTAACGCTCGTTTGTCTTTCGCTTCGTGTTGCTTAATGGCGGGCGCTGGTTTGTTTTACCCTTCGCCGCGTTGCTATGCGCGCGCAGTGCATTATGGGAGTCCAAGTTCCCGGATGTCCGACCTCGAGAATAATGACACATGTGAAGCGTCTTTGAGTGTCCAAAAAAGCGCTATATAAAACCGATGCATTATTATTATTATCATTATTATCCATGATTGTGATTGTGCGTGCATGCTAGGCTAGCTTTGATGAATGAATATAAGACCTGCTAACACACACCTTTCTTCCGCGAGTTTCTTCCGTTCGCTCTCGTTGATTGGCTCTTTTTATCACGCAGTTTTGCATGGGGATCGCCACCAAGATATTATCAAAAGCTCACCAAGACATGCTTGTCCCCATTCCCAGTCACAGCAAAGTACATATTGTACATTCCGTTAAATAAAAAAGCATTGCGTTTGGTAAACGTTAATTATGTCCTACCTTTCCTCTGATAACGCGCCCAGTTTACCGGTCCGCGGGCTGCTGGCTGTTATTGCTCCGTTCGGGATTACATTTTCCTTGTCCTCTTCTCCTTTTCAAAAGCTCCGTGCACTTTTCAGAAACTTTCACCTCCGTGTTACCAATGCTAACTTGGCTACGTCCCATTGCCTTGAATCATTTACGGAGCGCTCATGTAGCTAGCCACGGCACGTTCAAGGCCCACTCGTTACTTTTTATTTCTATATACATATAAATACAATTATATTCAAATTATTAATATATATCTAGATATATACAACAGATTCACACGTATTACTATATATTTTGTTATAATTAACCATTTCATTGTGTGTATTATATTATTATTATATATTTTGTTTCTTTTTCAGACCAATTTCATTTGACGGAAATCCGTCACTTAGACGGAACTCTTCAATCCCTGCGCTATACACATGCAATCCTTTCATACAATTGGTAGAACACACTTGAACCTTTTTTCAAATGACAGCAATCATTACTTATTTATATATATATTAAAAAAAAAAAAAAAAAAAAAAAGTGATGTTTTTTTTTTTTTTTTCCTCACGCCGGATTTCCGGCACGGTGCCGGAAAACTTTAAGCCCTGCCTTCAGAGTGTCCCACCCAGGGGCACAGGAGGCGCCTGCAGGACTGCAGACTACATTCACGTGGCCTACCCAGAAAAAATGTCCCATAGAACTCAATGTAAAGTAAAACAGCTCGACCTCAGCTGACAGAGAACCTACAGCTTTCATAAAGGTCGGAGTTCGTGGGGATTTGAGTGTCCCTTGTCATCCTGAACTTTTTTTGTAACAAGACTAAACTGAAGTGATTGGAAATTCTTTTCCGATAGATTGTTCTGAACAAACTCTTGATAAATAAGTTATCCTTAGATCTAAATACTCCCATAATTATATAAAAGCATAACCACAGATGCAAAGTATGGGTTTTAAGCTCAAAAAGCTTTGAGGTGGTCCAATATTACTTAAGAAGTGATTTGACACGAATCCCAGAGTGTTGCAACAATTCATCAGAAGACAAATATCTGTGATTGAACACGATCGTGTTAAGTGAGAATCCAACAGGGACGTGTTGCCTGAATACGCACATCACAAAAAGTGATAATGGTGTTAACAAAAACACAAGTGATTTCCAAACATCAGTTTCACAATATATTTTTATTAAAACAATTCTGATATTTTCCATTTACAAAGTCTTTACACAGAGCTCTCACAATAAAAGGCATTACTCGTACATTTGCATCATCTGTAGTTGAGAAAGTCCACTTTCAACTGTTCCAACAACATTTGGTTGACAGCTGGTACAGGAGCGTCCATCAGCGTCTTGATAACAGGGCTTTACATTGGCATCGCTCAGACTCCGAGGAGGACAGAGTAAACAGTGAGGAAACAGACCCAAACGCTCCATTTAGCACTCACACACTTGGTCCAGTGCAGTAGAAAACACCATATTCACTTTCCTGCACGATACTATTTTAATACTCTTTTCTTCAATATAACAAGGTTTGATGAATTACTTTAGTGCCCTTTGAGATAAAAATGGGATCCATCCTATTGTGACAAAATGTGAAAATGATTCTCGGTCGTACATCAATCGTCCCACCATTTCCACCTAAATATATATATTACACACACACATATATATTTATATACACCCATACTTTCCCTTCATATACAATATAAAATGACATGTTTAAGGCCTCCATGTTTTATATATTAAAAAGGACAGATTAGCAGCTGCGGTAACAAATGTGTTACAATAGTTTGAAAGCGGTCAGGAGAAGACAGGTCAGGTGGTATAACTAAAGCTAGTGTTTACGACTTCACAGATGTATCCAGTTACATCAGTAGAAGTCTTTTCTTTCTCATGTTTCCACAATTATCAGTGTAACGGACAAACAGCAACAATCCCTTAAGGTCAACTTAGTGAAATCCAATTTTTAAGGCTTTATTCTTGACCATGTGGAACTTACTAACAAACACTTTGGCGAAGGCAGGGTCCACCAGGTAGCGGTAGGACTTGGTGACGGAGGGCGGAGGGTTGGCGAGGGTCACGGCGGGCTGCAGCGAGGAGGAGGAGGGCGTCAGGAACTGACACGAGCGCGACACAAAGTCCAACAACCGCTGGTACTGCTGCTCCGACAGACGCTCCCGGACACCTTCGCCCTGCACACACCACAGCTGTGAGGAGACTGCTGCTGACCCTGATCCTGATCCTGACCCTGATCCTGCTGTAGGGAAGACAAACTATACTGGACTTGTGGGGGCTGCAGAAAACTATTCTTTTATTAATCCAGTATGTATTAATATTATGTTAATAGTATGTATTAATATTACCATAGGGAGTTTGGAAGGACAGCTTACATCTATGTTTTGGAAATAAACAAAATGATTATTTCAAAACAGATTTATCCAATCACTTTTATATTGTTATCTGCATATTTGATGTATATTTTTTTGGATTAGTCGTATCTATATTTTACATTGAATCTTAATAAATGCTCAGTCATCTTCAATGTCGTGTTGAGACAACGCAATGTTTCTGTGTTGAACAACAGCATGATTCTCTGCACTTAGTGCCACAGTTTTAAGTAGTTTTATAAATTAACTGATTCATGGAGGCACTGAAATAATAATGCTTTTTTGTAATCAATAATTTATGCCATAAATTCAAGAAAAGTATGATATTTATTGTTTCAAAAGTAAGAAATTGGGTCAGGGTTTAAATTGAATATTATAATTATGCTGCAATAAAGTTCATCTTTGTAGAACCTTGTTTCTTTATCAGAGTAACATGTGTTTGTCTTTAGAAGAGTTTAGAGGAGGCTCCACCATGAGATGATCTGATGCAGAACATGTAAAAGAAGGTGAACTGGTGCTGGTACCTCCTGGTCGTTGCTCACTCTCTGCTGCTGAAGCGTGAGGCTCAGTTCAGTCTTTTGTCGCGGGTCCTGCTCACACTCCACCTGCAGAGAGCGGACGTTAGCTTTAGCTTCCTCAGACCTGTGTCGGGTTCGCAGTGAGCGTTACCTCTGTGATGGGGAAGGCCTGCTGCTGCGTGTCCTCGCTCAGACTGACCACAAACAGGACGTCTGAGGTGAGGAGCAGGCATCCCGCGTGCTCCTGTCCTGAGCCGCTCACAATGACCACCTCCAGAGCCATGTGCACCTCCGGGCGACCCAGCGACTGCAGCATTTTCCTGGACACACGTCAGGGGCATTCATGTACTCGCTCTAATGCACTGTGATTATGTAAGATTTTAATGCTAGGTTTTGTTATTGTGTCTATCTTGTTTTGACTTGTGTTGGCTATGAACCTTGCTATAAAAATTAAACCATACTCATTTAACAATGCATTAAAATCCTGGATCCTCACCGCTGACCCTCCTGCTACTTTACATTGTAGATTCTTAAACAAAAGATCAGAGAATCAAATAGTTCAAACACAGAGAATACATTAATAACAAACACAGGAGCCATTGGTCCATACAGGGCGGATTCCCAATGTCCATAAGTGTTAAGTAATGTTCATAATTGTGCTTAGATGCCCATTATGGTAGGCTAACGCAACAACATGCTAAAAACAGCTTTCGTCTGCCCTGTTTTGTCCGAGCTGAGAAAAGTCATGCAGTCCAGAAGAACCAGGGGAGCTTCCCAACTCCGAGTCACCCTCAAGTATTCCAGACCATGTGGTTTTATCTCCTGGTAGATCAACGTGATGTTAATTAAGTCCTATGTACAAAGCTCAGGGGATTTTGTGGGTGGTTGCTTGTTTTCTGGTACAATTTCCCATACAGCATCCAGTCCACAGGTAGGTTTAAAATGTTTGTCGTCCATCTTGGCTCTGAAAGCAACGGAACATAATGTCTGCAGTAAAAATGAGGGATGAGGCCGTCAAGGGGATTGCCAAGGTACACTTCCTCCTTCTCAGAATCAAAACGCAGAGGTTACTCTTACAACACTGCTTTTCCCCATTCATTTACAGTACATGACAAGAAATATGGTGAGGTTGTTACAATAACTATATACGGTATAATTTTACTGTGTAAGGAAAACTACTATTTGAGAGCTGTATTTTTTTAACTCTGGCTTTTTTCCATTTTGTTCTGCTAATTAATTATTTTTGCTCCGGTACCAATACTTCCAGTTGTGTGGAAAGGCTCCTGCACTAGATATATTACAACCCATCAACAAAGTAAACAGTGAGTTTTGACATTATTTTATATCTACACACCACATACGAGTTCAGACTTCATAAAATAGCCACTTTGGGAATCTATATCATTTCTCCAATCCACAAATTGTTGAAGTTTACTTTGTGGTTTGGGTCTGAAACGTCTCTCGTGTGCTTTGACTGACAACCGACAACCACTTAAACTGTTTTTGCTCTTGGCTTATGAACGGCCGCCTCACTTCCTCTGCTGTAATGTTTTTACTTCTCTCATGTAAATCTATATTTAAAAGACCGGAAGACCGTGCATGAATTACCAGCGTCATTTACATGTACGTAGTGTAATTTCAAACAACTTTAAACAGGACACGTTCTCCTCAAATTTGGACCACACAGTTATACAAGTGGCTACATGTGTGGAGCTGACCTACATCTTTTTACATACATGCAGTGGTTTCTATTGTGTTACGGGGAACAATGGAAATGTGGGTTCTGCTGCAAAAGTTAAAAATTTAGCACAAGCATAGACGTACAATGTATTTGTTCATTAGACTTATTATCACTGGTCTTGTTTAACTCTCTGTTGTATTTATCGCGGTTATGAACTTATCTTTTTACTTTTGACTGCGCTGGAAAACTGCTGCAAGTCCTAAGTAGTTCTGAAACAGGGGTTGTTTTGTGCTTTTGAATTTTTATTTGCATTGTTTTTTTTCTACCTGACATGTTGGTGCAATACAGTGTTCATGATTTTGCGCTGGTCCAGACCAGGTGAGAATCCACCGGAGGAACTTTTTGAAGTATTTAGCATTTTACTTTGGACGAGAGCAGAGAAAATGGTCTAAACCAAGCTACTCCATCTCTGCTACTGAGACCCTTCCTGCTCCACCCAGAGGCTACACCATGTCTGCTGCTGTGACATGTCCTGCTCCACCTCTGCTGCTGTGACCTGACTATTTTTAACTTTTTAGAATGATCAATTTAATTTTTTATTTTTGCTGCTACTGGACACCTGAATTTCTCCTACAGGGATCAATAAAGTATCTATCTATCTATCATCTGTCTGCTACCTATAACACTTTTCCTTAGTTTTCTAATACGTATCAATCCTTGCTCTCTGGATATTATTTTTTCATATTTTTTTAAGTTAGCAGTGGCAGAGAAGCTAATATATTTTTATTTTGTTATAGTTTTATTTTTTATGGGAAATACTTTTGTTTTTAAAGCCAGAAAACGGCTCTAACTAAGTATGATGTCATAGAGATACAATGACATCATACTATCACAGGTCTGAGACGGGAGCTTTATAACAGAAGGGGCGGAGTTACATGTTTGTGCTCCTGATAGCTCCTGTGGACGGATATTAAGACAACTCCAGGTCTGCGACTGATGAGGACGAACGCTACAACATAGTTAAAACCCATAAAAAGTCCAGTTTTAACCCTTTATCAACTTTGCGCCACAACTATGTCATCGGTGCAATTTGGGTGTTATGAAATGTCGAGGAAATAACTCTATCCCCTGGTCTGGAAAGGTAGTGATTATGAAGAGCAGTCCGTGGTGCAGGAGTGAGATGAGATGTGACATTTGTGGCTTATGGCTGAAACAGTAGACGGGAAAGAGTTCTCTTCCAGTAGAGAGCGCTTTGCTGGAGGTGTGTGATTAGCTGACAGGACAATGGGCCAAGCCGTAATGAGTCAAATAATTATCTTTAAGGATTGAACTTTGACTCTAAAATACTTTACGGTAGTTTAATAAAAAATGTATTCCCTTTTCTGTGATATAGTCATGATAAGATATTCTTGGATACACTTTAACAAGTCAAAGCCCTTTAGGTGCCATAGTTTTTGATGTGAAACAGATATAAGGTGAAGCCCTGAGACTTTATACGCAATAGAGGATTACTAAAATGGAACAGAAATAAATACAAGAAAAATATGTAAATAATGTAGAGTATATCTTGAATTCAGATGTACAGTAGAAATTCTGCTACTTCGGTGCCTAAAGGGTTAATATAATGATGATAATGAAAATCAAGAAAAGAAAAGTCCACTGCAAAAAGTAGGAGTTTTAGAGGTACCTCTTTATGGTAATGCCAACATAAACAGTACCAAGCTGATAACAAATAACAGATTACGGAAAAGTTAGGAAAGACAAATGTAGTCTGGTCAGGTAAAATAAAAGTTTCACTAAACACAGAGTCAAGTGATTGAATTTTAAAGGAGACACATTATGCCATTTTTTTTTAAATTTGTTTTTTTTACAACCTTTTTCCTTCATTAAAAACAGACCTGGAGTAGTTAATAGATCCATACACGCTATTATCAGCACAAACTTGTAACTCTAAAATCTTAAATCTCTGGTCTCCATCCTGTAAGAGTATGTTGTAATTGTGCCATGTATAACATCAAGCTGGGAGCAGTTTTCTTCCTTTTAAAACAAAAGTATTGCCAATAAATTAGTTTTGGTAATTTCTTGGGGGTGAATTTACAAGTACAATCACATGGTTGAGTTTGGCGCAATTATTTTCAAAGAAATCAAACTAAACATCTCCCTCTAGTGGTAGCATAGGGATAAGGCAGGCCAATATAATTTCATTTTACCCTTGATCAAATATATATATTCTATTTGAGATACTATCACACATTCTTGAACATGAAAGTACAAAGTAAACAGCATCATTATCATTTCAAACGGCCAAAAACATCGCCAAACATTTTTTTGTTAAAATAAAACAATTATACCAAAAAAACCTCTATATGTTGCAGAATATGGGCACTTTAATATGTTCTGGCACTGACGGACTATAAGAGAAGCACGGTGCAAAAACATATGGATATCCCGTCTCCATCAACAGTGACGGACACACAGGTCGCATGTTACATCCTGTAATTTAGATGTGTATATGCTTGGAGTGGTTCCTATTATGTTGAATGGGGAGGCTCTGACAGTTTGTTTACACTGGCGGCAGGTGTGTGTGAAGTGCACATGTGGGAGTGAGAGAGGCGCTCGGGACACTGCGCCTCTGCTCAATGTTAACCTTTCCAGCGGCGGTGCTACCTGCAGTAGTAAAAATAATTGATGGATGCTTGATGGAAACCAGTTTGACTTGAACGCACCGCGAATAAAGCCACTGGGGAGCATTATCTCAGCATACATATATTTCTATCCCTTTTTCCCCCTTCTTACACACAAACCGCCGCTGCGATGACAACTAAAGAGGGAATGTCCGAAAGAAAAATAGACTTTGAAATTTGTGCATATTTATCACATGGTTTGACAGACTACTATTAGGGGGAAATGTTTTATAGTCATGGAAACCAAATGCGATGGTGGAAAATTAATTGATAACCTTCTGGAGACTGTGTGTGTAAATGTGGACGTATTTATAAAGTGTCCCTGGGAGAGTGAACATGCAGATCCTTGGAAACAGTAGTGCGGAATTTTGGACTAATGTTTTATGAATGCTATCGATAGAAAGCGGTAGTTTCCAAGGGACAGAAAATGATCAAAACTAACATTTACAAAGACTGTTATGATGATTATTTTTCAGCTATTTCTACATGGCTCTCCAAGGCCTCTCAGATTCCATGGTGAATGCACCACCTTAAATCTGGTGTGCTAGGATTGAAATGCTAAAATATTGTCCTGGCTTAGCGACCAATAGAAGTTATTTGGATAGAGATTTTAGAGTCAGTAAAATGTGGTAAAGCAGAGGGACTTTTGATCAAACTCTGTTCCGTTGACCAACATAATGACTTCTTAAGCTCTTTTAAAGCTGGGGTCCCTCAATTTCAAACAAAAATGAAAATGGATTAAAATCTCATTGAACTAGTTGCTCGCTCTCAAAACATTTTGGTTCTATCCGTAGTTTTGCATGTATTTGTGGCCTCATCTTCAGACCGTGAAAAAAAGGACCACCCTCAGTCAGCCAATCAGCTCTTAGAAGGTAAAGATAACATGTTTTCTAATGGGAGGAAGACAGCATGCTGTGGTCTGATTTGTTTACAAAGTTTAACTTTTACTCTTACTGCTGGGACAAACACAAAAAGTTGGGTAGCCCAGCTTTAAAGTCAATGAGAATGAACCTGTCTCCCCACCTAAGGCATAACGTGGTATGAACAATGTGTATTTTCTTTCCTGTGGAAAGGTCTTCTTTATTTATCATTTGACCCATTCAGCAGCTCCATGATTCTGTTAATTACGGTAGTATTTGTTGAGGTATGCAGAAAGTTTGCAACAATCTTTTTAGAAACGTTTCCAGCTTCTAGAAAAGGAAAGGTGTTTTTCCTCATCCTCCATCTCTGGACAAACTCATATTTAAACAACAAGAACAAGCTCTCGCTGGCGGCTTTGGCACAGCGCTTATAAAAACCTTTTAACATGGCTCTTTTAGAAGCAGAGAGGGCAGCCTGGCTACCATCTGTGCACCAGGGTCAAACTACACTCCAGATTCTCCCGTGTTTTTTCATGGCGAGTAATGATCGCTCCAAGGCTCTCTTAAACAAGACAGCAGAAATGATGAGCGCAGGACGGATGAGAAAGAGCAGCCGATTCTGGAGAAGGCCCAAGAAAAGCAGAGCGGGAAACACATGCATCACTTGGACACGATGTGGACCGGCTGCAGGGCCACGGCTTGGAGAGCAATTCTTTAGGAAGGGAGCAGATAAGGGCTAAAATATATATTTAAGGCAGTTATTCACATATCTGGCCTATTTTGTGTTGTAAAGGCTCAGAATTATGAACATTTTGCTCAATAAAAATACAACTGTATGGGCAAAACAAACTCATTCAATTAATCTCAGAGAAAACCGCAAAAATCAAAGAGAAGGAGAGCCACTTTTGATAGCACTAATTAATGTTATGTAAAGTTTTAAAGTTCCATTCTGCACTGTCCCTTAACTACACAATGCATCTTCATTAATGAGATTGCAGTGGATTATGCTGAATCGTTTCTTGGATGTTGGATGTAAGTATATTTAAGAGCAAGAAAAAAGCATCATATATCTCATCTTACCTCAAATATGAAACAGCCCTATCTACAGAATCTACAACCAATCATAATCAAGGATTTTCACATTCTTAACGCGATAGTCATTAAATTGACAATCCAACTTAAGTTTACAGAAGTTTAGCTAGAAACGGTGACTTCTTATTTTTTGTACCTGCGTCCCTTAAATAAATGTGTTGTGCTATTTTTTGTTTGTGAATATTGTCATAACAATTTTTGTTTGTGAATATTGTCATAACACGCATACACTGTGTAGATTGTGATTATCTACGATTTATGATTTTTTTTAGTTGCTTTGTGTATGAACTTTGCAATTCAATCAAACTTACCTTCCCTTTAATAGATGTGATTTAAAATTAAAACATTACATTACTGTCCCTTTAACGCTTCAATGGTTTCCTCAACCATTTGGTAGATCACCATTTGAGTCCATATAACTAATTGAAACTTGCTTGGAACTGAAATATACTGTACCTCTTCAGGACATTTCACTTGGTTTTAGGCAATTTTACCATCAATCTGTAACACAACCATTTGGTTAAGGCCTAACATTTAAAAGAAATAGGGGTTAAAAAAAACATAAAAACTAATTATTTGTGTTATTAGTGTTTTAAAAAATCACAAAAGGAAAAAAAAATCATTGCTTTCTTCAAGGAGTGAATGTTAAAGAAACAAATATTAGGAGTATTATTTGTTGTATCTAGTGTGGCCTCTCAAGGTGTCTCCCAACAGTGGGGGTGGGTCCTGGCTCCAAAAGGTCCATGAGCAGGTTGTAATCTCACTGCCCCGCCGCCATTTTGAAATATCCCACAGAAGGCAAAAGTGGTGGCACATTAGTTTCAGCGGCCTAGATAGGCGTGAGTACCGTCTGTTAATATTTACAGTCTGTGGTAACACCTCAAACTGGCCTGCCCTTTACAAAGTGAAGTTAAAACATCTCTGGTAACATGCCAGGTGCACAACGAAAGCCTCTCGGTGACGTGGGGCAGTTTCTCACCAGACGTATTTGAGCTGGCTGTTGGGGGCCTGGGCAGACCTCTCATCCAGGGGCAGATACAGCTGCTTCGGGAGCTCCCACAGTCCCGCGCCGTGAAGGATGCCTGCAAAATACAACCATGAGGAGCAGTTCGTAGGGAGAAAGCCTGAATTCAGCAGCAACTTGTGTCAGCGTTACTTCATAAACTATGCGCTCATGTGGACGTGTTTTCCCCTAAAAGCAGCAGTGAGTGAAGTCATAGTGAACACTTTCAAACATGAGTGAGCCGTGATGTGCGCAGTGCCTTTAATACAAGACGTAAGTTGTTTAGAGCGGACTGTATACGCAACAAGGGCGGTCAATCAGCAGACGCAAAACACTATCAAAAACTACACAAAACATTATCATATCAGTGACTCAAGTATAAAACTAAGGAAAATTAAGTGGGGAAATTTCAGTGTTGAATGTCCAGTTACAGAACAGTAGGAATGAGGAGCACACATCACAAGATAAATGATAAACAATAACTCTATACTAAATATAACTATATACTAAATACATACAAAAATCCTTAAATGTAGCATGACGAAAAAACAAGTATAAAATCTCAATCTTTAGCATAATGAGTAGAAAAAAACTCTGAATAATAGCATAATAATGAAATATACAATCTCTACCTTTGGCAAGAAGCAAGTATAAAGTACTGTCTATTCTAACGCTAGTACTATAGTTGTAAGTTTACATCTGTACATGTTAGCAGCATGAGGGGCTGTGACAAAGTGACCAAGTAGAGCAACAGTGGACACATGTGCTTCTATATTGCACATTCTGACATTAGTTCAAGATATTGCACCGATGCATGACAGGTGAGGTCAGGTCGGCAGTGTTCTCTGGTCCTCGATGTTTGTATTTTAGCAGTCACTGACTTTCTCATGTACAGCAGACGTTTGGAACACTCAGAAATGGGAGAAGTACAGTCACTTGGTAACTATGTGCTGTATTACAAGTACAACTGACACATTTGTTTTTAAAGCCGGGATACATAGCTTTCCAACCACAAAAAATGAAAGTATGTCATGAAATCCATCCAACTAGCTCCTGTCAAAAAAAGTTTGGCACTATCACTAGTTTTCACATGCATCTATGTATTTTTGGCCTCCGTGTTGTCTTTAAAACGGATTTTCCAGACAGAAAAGTGAAAAAGAGAGGACCACCCTCACTCTGACAATCAGCGCTCAACCCAAGCAGTCGAATAGTGACTCACAGGACTAAAGTATGCAATTATTTTATTTTTTTTTATATAAAATGAAGACAGTATGTTGTGGTCTGACTCTGTCTGTTAGGCCAAACAACATGTATTATTTGTGAAGAAAAAAAAGGTGAGATTTCAGCTTTAAGTAAAAGTAATAAATACATATTAGTTTTGTAGAAGTAAGCTTAAGTTATTGAACTTTATTAAATCATGCCGACTTTTTCTGAGCAATTTATGAAGTATTGTGTGTTAGTAGGTTCAAGGGGATTTTTAAATGTAACCAATTCCAATCACATGTAATAACGAATTGCAATTACCATAGATACATGTTTGATTGTCTTTGTCTTACACTACTGCATAGTAGTCATTCTGTCATTTGAAAAAAACTGCAATAATCTACACAAAAGTCAGCCGTTATTCATCATTTATGTCTGTTGTTCATGGGAAAGTTAAGGTATGTGTTTCTGTGTGTGCATTTAAGCTGCACATAGAAAACATAAAATAATTACATTCAGTCATGGAGAAGAAAATGTGGTTTCAATAATCACACGAGCGCAGAGCTAATGTTAGTGCACCTCTGATAGTTTCCCAGCCTCCCACATTACAATAAAACTAACTGTGGAGTACATTTGTTATTATTGTTCATGTGAAAATAAGTCTGGGGGCTTCTGGCAGCGCTGGTCAGCTCCACAGTTCACAGCATTAAAAACAGAGAAATGAAAGGTGATACGCAGAGATTGCCCGTGCTCTGACAGATTTACGAGCGCACTCACTGCAGCTCCTATTGTGTTGATTCTAGTGTTGTGGCCTCGGGCTCCGTAGTACAGAAGTTAATGAGGTCTTGTAGTTTCATAAATCGAATACCTTTATAGATTTTAAATTGTGCATGACCAAAAATCATTGTGTAGGTGCTTGCATTATAAAACACACGTCACTTGGCTCCAATTCATCCTGTAAAATTAATCTAAGCTCAACGGGATAATTTGCGAACTTGTTAAATTAGCTTCAAACATGAGTTCATTTGTTAGGTCACTGGACTGAAGCAGTGAAAATAGTGGTCAGTGTGAGGGTTGTTGAGTGAGGCGTCCTGGACTGACCGTATCCAGTCTGAGACACCAGCTCTGCTGCTCCTCCAATGGGTTTGGTGAAAACTCCCACAATGCCTTTTCCCACTCCGGAGATGACCCCTTTGGCCGTGCTCCCGGTCGAGCTCTGCAGTTCCCAGTTTCTCTGGAAGTTCTGCATGGGCTGGTCCACGATGCCGGCAATGGCTCCTGCACCATCAAGCAAACAAACATTTATTTCACCAAAACTCGGACTCTGATTATGTACAAAAGCCAAAGCAGTTGTGTCACAAGCACCATGTGAAAAACAAAATCAGACTTCATTTTTCATAGGGTACTATAGTGCTAGTCTATCAGTACAGTTCTAGTGACTTTACTATCTGTTTTCAGAAGCAGAGCTCTACTCCACCAGACTGATTCTGGGACCATGACACATTTTGGTACATTAAAAAGAAAACAGTTAACTGTTTGGGGCACAAAGCCATTGATCTCACAGCAGCCAACATGGATCCATCTCACTATTGTCTTTTGATGTTCGTTGGGCCTGTATCTGACAGAGCAGCTGTGCAGCGTCGCCGACAGTCTCTGAAACTGAATTAGTTTATGTGGCTGCTCTCCCTCTAAGCAGCTGTCTGAGTGCGACCGGACCTTACAATACTGTACAATTTATGCACATCACATGATCTTTTGTGATTGACCTTAACCTTTAATTACAGTCAAAATGTAACATTAATATTGGTAAGAATACAGAATCATTGTCATGATGAATCTACAGTCTGACGAGGCCGGCTGATGATGTTATACGGTAACACCATAATCTAAGAATAGCCAAAAGATGTATTCTTGGGAAAGACATTTTGACGGCTTCTGTTTTGTTAAAAACAAAGGAAGTGTAATATATTCAATTGTAAAGGAGACACAAACCTAACAGACTGATTCCCAAACGGGACAGGCCCTGTCGGAGCCCGTCTCCCAGGCTCTCGGGCAGCTGCCTCCTCCACTCCTCCTGCCGTGTGTAGTGCTCCTCATCCAGGGACAGGCGGTCCATGTTCCGGGCCAAGGAGGTTGCCAGGTTGGTGATGGAGGCCAGTGTGCCTAGACAAAGATGAACTATCACGATTAAATTTAATCTCCAACTCGTGCTTCACGTTATTTTTATCAGGAACAAGTTCACTTCCCTCATAAATAACACACATCTTTGTGTACTATGTGTATCACATTTTAGATTGTTTTACATATTGAAGACACCCTTTTGATCGTACAGATTCTACAGTTACAATGATTTAAGAAAATGATTAAAATTGTATTTCCTCAGGTGCATACTGACCTTTAGAGATGTGCTTAACGAAGGAGGTGGTGCCCCTGGACACTCCACTGACAAAAGCTCCCGGGCCTCGAGTCAGGCCTTCGTATGGTAGCCGGAAGAAGTCTGACACACCGTTCCCGATGCTCCGCACCAGACTGGCAGGACTGCCCAGGATCTCCAGGGAGCCCACAACCCAACCTAACACAGAGCGACACATACAGGCGATTGGAACACGTTTCTGTCAGTTGGGTTAACTTTATTAAAAATGTCTGGACCAATTCTGGAACAATAAGTGAATAGACCGCTCACCGAGAAAAAGAGTTTTGCAGTGGGTCAGTCCTGGTTAACTTGAAGAGAAATACTGTTTAGGTCTTGCATTAAGTCTAATCCAGGTTTTAACTTGGTTTATCCTGGGTTTTGAACACCATAACTACTCCAATATGTTGTATTTTTTTGATAGAAAAGCGAGCCCAACACACCTGCTCCTCTCAGAAACATTCCACATTGAGTACGTGCCCCGTGGGTCCAATCACACCCCGTACCTTTACTCTGCCAACTGCAGTTAACGTTGGGAGGCAGCCCCAATAAAAACATTCAGAGAACAGGCATAGCTATTTACATCATCAATTATATTCACTTAATTCTATTTATTTTAAGTTCAGACAGACATAAGAGTTAAGTTTAAGTTAAGACAGAAAAAACCTAAGAACAAAGCATAGCATGAGACTAAACCAGACAAACCAACACCTTTCAGGCTAGATTACAAAAAGTCAACATTTAAAAGAACTGTTGTTTACTTTCCGATGACAACACTCCTCAAAAGGAGCTGCTGTTAAAACACGTTTTCACACATTTTCTTATTAAATCAGCCGTGAGGAAATACACCACCTCTGACTAACTCATGTCACTCTCTCAGCTATGATGCATAGTCCCCTTTAGATACATCATGGCTCATTGATTTTTATGTCTTGACAATTGCATCACAAAAATTAAATGGTCATTTTTCCATGCGCCAAGATCCGGTTCTGGTCCAACCTGCGTCAATTTGCCCTTGAGTGATGGGCTCTTAAGGGAGGAAAAGTGAGTCCGGTGGTGCCTTAGCGGTTGATCAAACTTGCATGGTCTTCCAGTTGCGGTTTTAGTAAAGCACTCAACCTTTACAGGAGCCGGTGTTTATAGGGCTGTTTTTGGAGCTGTTCATGTAGACTGTAGATCTGCAACTATACGTGAATGAAGTCCAAATTGAAGCAGTATTTTTGTTTGTATTTATTACCCTGAAAACAGGAGGGTAATGTATTTGTCTCAGTGTGTGTGTCTCTTTGGGCGACAGGGTGGCATAGTGGTTAGCGCTTGTGCTAAATAGCAAGAAGGCTTTGGGTTCGATTCCACCTCCAGAAAGGGCCTTTCTGTGTAAAGTTTGCATGTTCTCCCTGTGTCTGCGTAGGTTTCTTCCAGGTGCTCTGGTTTCCACTGCCACTAAAAACATGTGCCATAGGTCTGAATGTAATGAGAGACTGAAAGGATAAGGTGCAACTGTGTTCGAAGTCTCGCTTCTGTCCTCACCGTGAGGTGGAATTACTTGTACAACAAAATTGTAAAGCATTTTGTGTGACTTTGGTCTGTGCTATATAAATAAAAATTACTTTCTACTGTTTATGTGTTTGTCTGTGGGCATGGTGGATGGAATGTAAATGCAGGAAGACCCCACTAACATTTTGAAATGATGTTGTTGGAGTATGCGCTCTACAAGTGCACGTTCTAGCTGAATATGGGACAGTGTGTATAACGTTTAGATTTTTACAGTAGTATAAAGCATTTCTCCAAATGTTCCTGAATTTTACTGAAATTACTTAATAAGCAAAATACGTGATACAGGTCACATGTCAATATTTCATACTTTTTATGGAGGTGTCTTTTTCCTCAAGGGATCTGATTAATGTACAGTATGAGATTTTAATCGCCGTGCTAGTGCTAGTGCTAGTGCTGGAAATGTTTAGTCCATTTTCAGTCTGGGTTAGTTTTCTTTCGTACAAAATTATTTCATAAAATTTTGTATTCATTATTACACATACTTGATATCTGCAAATGTCATTGTAAAAATCCCAAAGCTAATCACTCCCAGCATGCACGGCGTTCAGCAGCTCTGTGATGGCTCAAGAGAGGAGAGTGAAGTGTTGAAATACGAGCAGATTTGGGTGCTCTAACGAGAGGCAGCAGGAGACGCGTCCGGCCAGAGCGGCGATTTTTGATGTGGGGATGACGGCGCTAAATCAGAACATGTGTGCGGGCTTCAGGAGACAGGACGACAGAGCGGAGGGGAGCGCCGTCGCACGTTCAAGACGTCTAAGGAGTGAGTCACTGCTTCAGGCTGGTGATAAAACGATCAATGCTGAAATCTCAATCTCCTCCAGGCCTCCAGTGAGTGTGCCTTATTTCCTGAAGATTAACTGTTAGAACGCACTTTCAGTCACACAGCAACAGGAGAACAGGGTCAAAAAGTTTAAACAGACTCACCAAAGAAGATTAAGATCAGTTATAAGGAAATGGAGGATTTCCCACTTCAGTGATATGGTATTGAGCTTGTAAAAATGTGTTATTGGAATGCCATGCTTATATTTATTATATTCCTATAATTCTTTGGTATAAATCACTCTGTCAATATTAAATCAAGACTTATAAAGGACCTAATACTAAAATGTCAGAGTAGGCAGAGACTTTGTTTCATTATTATTTTTTTTTATGTCACTGCTGTGTGTCACAAGCCCATCTCGGGAAAAGGGCAGTTTTCTAGTATTCTAATGTCCCAGGACCCACCTGCTCTGAAGAGTGCTCCTGCTGCGTAGTGCATGGCCAGAGCGTGCACCAGCTGTCGGGCGGTGGTGAAGACCGGCCCCCGCTCAAACAAGGAGAAGGACAGAGGCGTGTGGTCTGAGGCGATGTAGAGCTTTAGTGACGCGTGGATACTGACCAAGACATTCACCGGGTGAATGGTCAGTCTCTGTGCCCGCACCGGGTGGACCAGGGCCTGTACAGACTGGAGAACCTGGGAACACATTATCATAATTTAATGCGATATTTGACCGTTTTTGTTTCAACATAGAATTATCACCTTTTACCACCTCATAGGAAATTAATTCTTGGGCACATTCAATTCAAGTTACTGTATATATAAATATGTTCTTAATGCTTATTCGATGACAATGCGATTTCTCTTCTGCAGCTGGGCAGACAACATAAAAATCCTTACAAGAGTACAATATTACAATTTACAACATATATTACAATATGTACAACCGTGAGTCCTTTCACAACATAAATCTTATTTTGTCTACTTTTTCAAAGTATTTCTTTATTCACCCCTGGGTACCAGGCAATCTGTAACCAATTGGTTGCCCACACTGCAGCATTGTGCGGTCGTCTGGTATGTCTGGCCTGAACTGAATGTGCAGCTGCAGTAATGATGCTGTAACTACCTCATCAGGACTTAAATTAGAGCATGATCTCACAACGTGCACCTGTTCTGGGGCTCCGGGCGCAGGTCCAGGCCGCTCCGTGCTGCTCTGCGCTGCTGCTGCGGGGATGTACGTGTGGAACAAAGTCTTGATGTAGTAAACAAAGGTGTCTTCAAGGTAGACTCGGGCCGGCTGCAGATGGAAAATGACCTGCGGACAAGCAAAGTGGTGTCATTAGCGTTTTATATTCAGGTTTAGGTAATGTCGTTTTAAATCTCTAAAGCAGGAGAGTAAAGAAAACAGGGGTGTTTAAACAAATGGAAAAACAATAAAGAGGACTTCTGTGGATTATCTGGCCTGACTCCACTTTTACATGACAAATGTTGTAGTCAATCGTTTTTTGAAGTTAAAAAGCAATTATAAGCTATATTTACATTTGATTCGATTGAACAGATCCAATGTAATTGATTTGCATGCATTTATTGTGACAGTGATTGGGTTCTTTTTATCACCTTATTTAAATGGATTTTATGTCAATATGTGTAAAGTACAGATGTTGCATACAAATGTTGATGAGGATTTATTGTAAAAAACCATTATATTAGAATATATAATATTTTAAATGTAAAGCTACCATTTGTATATCGCTGACTCTGCCCTGTTGCATTCTCACATATGACCACTAGATGCTGATGATGTTAATGCACACATTACATTATCTGGTTACTCTGACAGAAGAATAGAAACTACAGTGAACAAATGAGGAGGAGGGCGTCAGATCTGTCTTCTCCTGGCACTAATAAAAACTTACAAATAATGTTAATATATTCAGCAGTCACTAATACACAGTGTACCTCTTCTATAGTGCATACGTCTGGAGCCAGGTTGAGCTGGAGAGTCATGAAACAGGACTGTTTGAATTCTTCCAGTGCCTCCGGAGTGTCGAAGGGGTCAGTGTCACTGCTCCACAGACCCCTCTCCACTACCACCCGCTGGTCATGACACAGCAGCACAGGGAAGTGGAAGCTTGCTCTGTTGTATAGCTGGTTGTCCACTTGCAGACTGGAGCAGTAGACTTGGACCCTGGAGCCATTAGACAGTAAGGCTGAGGGAGGGAGAGCTTCTGCATTACGGTCGTCGTAGAGGCCTGACAGTGACGGGACAGGAGCAGGCGACAGGCTCAGGAGCAGTTTGGTGAGAGTCAGTCTGAGCAGCTCCACAGAACCAGACGGGCTTGTGATGTCATCATTCAGCAGCACACTGGCTTCACTCAGAAGCACTCTGAAGGACAGTTTTAAACTCCTGAGGAAGAAAGCCACAAAGTCCAGTCAAGTCCAAACTATTAGACAGCACCACTTTATTTAAAATATGTTCACAATAAGAATTGTTTTTCTTGTGTAGAAGTTTTTGAATCTTGCGGTTGATTCAAAGATTATCCGAAAACCTGTTTTAGTATTTGTAAGTTAGTAACAGATTATGCAATAAAACTGTTTTAATATCAGTGCTGTATATCGTTTTAGTCGCAGATTAATCCAATTTTTATTCATACTTTGAGCCAATGCAACTTTATACACACATGTATTAAAACTTTATTCATGTTCAAGTGTTAGCAGACATTTTATAGCTTATTAAACTAATTTGCAGTTCTGTCAACAAACAAGTATTTTAACACGCTGAGTGTGAGAGGTTGGATTTTGTCTGCTTATGTGCCGTTTATTCACCTGTTTGCTGTTAGCTATGTTGTTTCTAATAGACTAAAAGATTAACATCTGATGTAATCTGTTTACATTTAGCTAATATGTGATTATTTTAATTCCATGTTCTGCCAAATGACAAAGTAGCAACGTGTTGATGTCATGGAATAAAGCTGTAAGACTGATCTACTGTATTACCAATTTCATTTATGACAACACTGGCAGTTTTATTGCCCTCCTGTGGTGAAAATTATGTGTGTTTCTTCAATGTTTGGAGTTTAGTAACAACTGCTGCATGTAAAAAATAATCATAAAGCAATTTGGACATAGCATATAAAAGACACATGCGTAGATAGCTGTAGGTTAGAAATACCAAACATTTTATTGATAAAATATGTCAGAAGCATAGCAGGCCGTAAAAGAGCAGCGGGTGCACGAGCGGTACCTGGTGTGCGGGGAGATTACAGGGTCCATGCTGCCCTCTGGTGCCAAAGACAAGACCAGGGTTCCCTTCTCATAAGACACGTCTATGTAGAGGCAGCCAAAGCCCGCCAGGAACACCACCTGCAACAATAACACAAGGTGAGATCAGAAATAATGAGGAGAGAGGCCTGAGAGCAATTATGGACAGCACACTGATCAGCAACTATCACAGGTTACGCCATCTTTTATTCTGGTTTTAAATGATGCATTGATAATAATTAGTCCTGTACTGAGTTGTCTTCAACATAGACAAATGGCCAATGCTCCACCAACTGAGCTACTGACGCCCATTTTGTGCTTCCATTCTTCTAAAAACTCTGGATATTATCTTATGTCAGCACTGCATCAACTTGCAAATAATAATAATGCATTGGATTTAAATAGCACTCAAAGACGCTTCACATGTCATAATTCTTTCACTCTATACATGCATGCATTGTTTGGCCATACTTAAATTGATAAGTGAAAAAGAGAACCACCCCCACAGCTCTCTGCCCAAAGGGTGAATTGGTGACCTGCTTGGCACTATCTTACAAGTATGCACCGCATAAAATGCTTTCTTTTGTAAGATGAAGACGGCATTTTGTGTTCTCATTTGTTCAACATTTGACTTTTTACAACGTTTGTCCCAACGTTTCTGTTGGGACAAACAGCATGTATTATTTATGAAAACAATATTAGCTAAACGCTATCTCAGAATGTACCATGTCAATGAGTCTCATTTAATCCCAATAATGACATGAAATGAATCACTTGGAAACATGCATGTCAAGAAAGGGAGCTGAAACCCAGGAGTAGGTCAAAACCAATCCTCTTTGACCATAAACTTAATATTTACTCAGTTTCAAGTCTCATGAACAGATAGAGTTGCGTCAGACTATAACCTGTTGCCCTCAGGTTCAGAAACGAGCTCCTCATGTGGAGTGAAGGCTGATCTGTGCGGCACGCTTCAGCGCAGTCACAACAAGAGCAACCTTTGGCGTTTCACCTCAGCCCCGAGGTCACAGACAGCGTAACCAGAGAAACCAGTCTGGCCTCAGCTGTGACCTGCAGCAGCGTAGACCCAACAGTAAACATTAGCTGCGAACACGAGGACAACTCAACACGACTGCGGAGACCAAAGACACAGATCCCCACAGTGGGAGGAGGAAAGCACGAAACATCAAGTTTAACAAACACTTTTATGCAACTATTGAAAAAAGGGAGGTATTGGTTTCAGATCAAGCAGGAGGCCGATCTTTACCAGCTGGATTTACTGTATGGGATACTTAAATATTGACAATGATTCCTAAAGAGATATTTTTTCTTTCTTTCTTTTAAAAAAACATTGATTGGTTGCTATAATCATAGGTAATTCCAATTAAGTGTTCTAAATAGTTTACATTTGCAGTATATTGTAAAGCACGATTGACTTTTCAAATGTATTGTGATCTCGCCAGTGTCATACCTGAGTGCCTGGGCTGTTGATGTCTATGGGATCAGTCCAGTCTGGTGTGCAGTGGTCTGAGGTGGTCTTCAGCTGTAAAGTGGGCAGTGCATCTTTCTGTCTGCACTCAGGGAAACTGGAGAAGTGGTGGTACAGCTCATGGTGCAGGGAAGTGTTGGCAGGCAGAGGAACACAGTAGAGCTCAGCCCTAGGAGTCTCTAAACATTACACAAGTGAATAGCTTTTTAGTTAGAATATTTGTTTGTATGGCTCCATGTTGTCCGAGCCCAGACCATTGCTCACCTTTACATAATTCCTTTAGTAGCATTGGAATGGGACATTTGTTGTGGATGACCATGCGTGGGCAGGGATCTTCGTTTAGTGTAATATATGTCACCCCGAGGTGCTCCTGATACGTCATCACCAAAGCTCTGCAAAACACAAAATACAAACAAAGCCATAAATATGGAGCAAAGACAAGAAACTTCCCAGCCCAATAACCATATGTCGATAAGAACCCCACCCACGGCACTAAAAGTCTTTATTTGTGAATGTCACAAAAATTGAAATAATTGGGTCTAAGGCCTCACCCAGATCATCACATTCTTCAGAAGAACAGAATATTGACACACATTTGCATTTGCTTTCTAAACATGTGCATTTGTAGTTCAAGATGATAAAATGTTTGTGTAAAACCTTGCTAAAAGTTGCTGTTTTGACATAACTGTTGGCATGTTTTTCACATTTCGTAATATTATAATTGTTGTATTGTATTTCAGTGTCTATCATATTTAGAACATTGTAAATGAAACTAATCAAAACCTGTTTTATGTAAAGTATGTACAATTGTGGATATAAGAAAACACAAGATAAGTCCAGAGCAGCTATGTACCATGCAGCTCTGGACCAGTATAGAGTGTGACAGTGGAAAGACTGAAGGCATTTCTGTGTGCTTCAGCTCCAGACTTTAACAAGCTGTGACCGCTTACTGTGCCTCCTCTCCTCACGTCTCATGCCAACTAAGACTTCGGCAACCTGCTCTAAATGGACTGTCCCCGCCAGGATAACCACACATGTTCCACTGCACCCACCTGCTGCTCGGCCCACCCCAAGAGTCAGCTTCCCCGGGCACGGACACACTCAGGCGGGGCAGGTCTGGGCGCACAGGGGCAGGCAGACTCCACTGTGACGAGGCCGGCTGTGGGAGGAGGCTGAAGAGAATGTTTTTGAGCGGCAGAGGGAATTCCACACTGCCCTGAGCACCGGTGTGAAGGAGGTCCCAGTAGGGCACCGAACACGGCCGGCCATGGGACGCCTGCTTGCGGGGAGGCAGCGTGAGCACCGCACTCTCTGGTATCGGACAAGCCTGGAAAAGAAGACGTGAAACACATTAAGGAGAAGTATGTGAAATCAACCTTAAAACTGGAGAATCTCATATTCTTGGTTTTGTGTTCAGATGAGTTTATTCATTCATCTTCAGTGAAAAATTTGTCTTGAAAACAGTTCTTTAGAGTAATATTTTGTGAACAAATCAGACCACAACAAGTTGCCTTTATCTTAAATATATCAAAATCAGAATCAGAATCAGAATCATTTTTATTGCCACGTAAGTAACAGGAGGTCACAGACTAGGAAATTGCTTTGGCTCAGTGCAACAGTCAAAAAGAGATAATAAAAATAAGAATAAAAAACACTTCTAAAGAATAAGTTTAAATTTAAAATAGAGTTACAGTTACTATTTACAATATACAAGTGCACATGGTGCACACAATGTAAGGTGACAGCAGTACAGTGAAGTAAAGTGACGTATGATGGGCAGTAAAGTGACTTTATAAAGGGTGGGGGGACAGGTTAAGAAGTGTTCAAGAGTCCAACAGCAGAGGGGAAGAAACTGTTCTTGTGGCGGGAGGTTCTAGTCCTGATGGACCGCAGCCTCCTGCCTGAGGGGAGTGGATGGAATAGTCCATGTGCAGGGTGAGAGGGGTCGGCTGTGATACGACCAGCCCGGCCTCGAGCTCGGGCGACGTACAGGTCCTGCAGCGATGGAAGGCTGCGGCCGATCACTTCCTCTGCAGAGCGCACAATGCGCTGTAGTCTCTGTTTGTCCCTGACTGTGGCTCCAGCGAACCACACGGTGATGGAGGAGGTGAGGATGGACTCGATGATGGCCGTGTAGAACTGCACCAACATCTGTGCAGGCAGCTTGGCTTTCCTGAGCTGCCGCAGGAAGTACATCCTCTGCTGGGCCTTCTTGATGAGGGAGCTGATGGTCAGCTCCCACTTGAGGTCCTGGGTGATGGTGGTGCCCAGGAAACGGAAGGACTCCACAGAGGTGATGGGGGAGTCCATCACGGAGGGTGGGGGCGGGGGGACAGTGCTCTTCCTGAAGTCCACAATCATCTCCACTGTCTTCTGGGCGTTCAGCTCCAGGTTGTTACCACTGCACCAGGACACCAGCCGGTCCACCTCCCTCCTGTAGGCGGACTCATCGTTGTTGGAGATGAGTCCAATGAGGGTGGTGTCGTCCGCGAACTTGATCAGCTTCACGGAGTCGTGGCTGGAGGTGCAGTGGTTGGTGTACAGGGAGAAGAGCAGGGGAGAAAGAACACAGCCCTGTGGGGCTCCTGTATTTATAATCCGAGAGTCCGAGACATTCTTCCCCAGACGCACTCGCTGCTTCCTGTCCGTCAGGAAGTCAGTGATCCACCTGCAGGTGGAATCGGGCACGTTGAGCCGGGAGAGCTTGTCCTGGAGCAGGGATGGCAGGATTGTGTTGAAGGCAGAGCTGAAGTCCACGAACAGGACCCTGGCGTAGGTCCCCGGGGAGTCCAGGTGCTGTAGGATGTGGTGGAGGGCCAGGTTAATGGCGTCGTCTACAGATCTGTTGGCTCTGTAGGCGAACTGCAGGGGGTCCAGGAGGGGGGAGGTGAGGGACTTGAGATGGGAGAGAACCAGGCGTTCAAATGACTTCATGACGACAGACGTAAGTGCTACAGGTCTGTAGTCATTGAGTCCTGTGATCCTGGGCTTCTTCGGGACGGGGACAATGATGGAGGATTTGAAGCAGGCCGGGACATGGCAGGACTGCAGAGAGGTGTTGAAAATGTCCGTGAACACAGGAGTAAGCTCACTGGCGCAGTGTCTCAGAGTGGCCGGAGACACGTGGTCCGGGCCAGGAGCTTTGCGGGGGTGCAGCCTCAAGAAGAGTTGTTTAATCTCTTTAGCGGCTATTGTTAGGCTGGGGGCAGGGCTGATGGGTGGGTCGTTAAAGTAGTGGGGGGTGGGGGAGTGAGAGGTGTCAGGGGCAGCATCAAAGCGACTGAAAAATAAGTTCAGTTCGTCAGCTAGCTTGTGGTCATCAGCACAGGGGGGGGCTTTGGGTTTGTAGTCAAAAGAAAAAGAGAGCAGCAAAGAGCCATGTCGACCGTACGAGGCGCCATCTTGTTTGAAAAAAAAAACATATGTTTTTTTTCAATATATAACAAACAAATATATATTTATATATATATATTTTCAAAACAAATATATGTTTTTATCTCTTTTTCACTGAAAAGTTGGTTCTCTCTTGGTACTAAGTGCACAAGTTGTGCATTTGCAAATTATCCACGGTGGCTGTGTGGTAAGCATCCCGGGAAAAAAAGATTCGACCGGAGTTTACGGATGGCAAAGGCCAGGCTATCGCTGGCCTCTCTCTTTCTGCTCCCCTCCCCGCACCCACGAAGCTATCGCCCCCCCCACACACTCACTGTTGAGACGGAGCTAGCCTCTCCCAATATTGATAATACATGAATATGGATTTGCACGTGGATGGCGTGACCATAAAACGATAGAACCGGGAAGCGCGGAGGAACGGGACTTTCTTTTGGATGGCTGTTTTGCTAAGTAAGCAGTAACCGGTGATGAAGACACGAAGCTTCAGGTTAGCTCCTCGGCTTGTTGTGCTAACTCAGCTGTCTGTGCTAACAGAGACCTGTAGATTTCTCACGAAAGTGGGGGCTATTGGTCCGCTGTGATTGGTCACAATCTGTGACCCGAAACACATTCTCTTCCTTGTTTCATCAAAACTCGATCTAAAATATAATGTCACGCCAGCACAAATCTGCGCTAATTATTCTTCAAAAGGACGTATATCCCAATGCACTACATGGACATGGATAGCATTTTCGTAATGAATACGAAAATAAAGTCAGTTAGTGCAGCTTTAACTTTACTTGATAGAAACAATTGGTTTGAGAGCTGGTTACATGGATCTTATTAGTTTAGTTTAGTTTAGTTTATTCGGTCAGGCATCGAAAACAAAGTTGTACACCCCATTAAAAAAGTTATTGTTTGTGGTTTCAAAGTTATGTACTCCAGCTTGAATATCTCATTAGTCATTTAATCAATTCATTGGATTGATTCATTCATGTTGTTCTGTTCTTGTGGTTTCCTCCCCATCTTCTCTGTTGCCATGTGCAATTAATTTCATAATTCGTACTCCAGATGATAATTGAGGAGTTCAAAAACTACATTTTCAAACAACGAAAAAACATTGCAGCTTCTTGTTACAACAGTGTCAGGCAATACGCTTTCCAAATATCATAATTTAGGAAAGATAAAGAATTAAGATTTGTGTATCTCTCAAGTGAGTGGATGAGGTAAAGGGAGGCATGGGACGATAAAAGTCATTTAAGAGAGAGTCTTAAACCAAAGTGACAGAGGAGGACACGAGAAAGGAGAAGATAGAACAAAAAGATCCAGTGATCTTCAACAAAAGATACACGGATAACCACATTCTTCCAACCACTAAGCTTAGTGCTAAATTGGTAGCAGGAAAGTCCTGCTGTCCTGGTTTAGCATCCAGTGAAAGGGGATTAGCTACTAAGCATGATGAATAGGGCAAATATAAAGGCAAGGCAAGGCAAGGCAAGTGTATTTATATAGCACAATTCATACACAAGGCAATTCAAAGTGCTGAACAAAACAAGAAAGCATTAAAATCATAAATTATCACAGAACATTAAAAAGAAAGATAAAAATATAAAATCCCTCAGTTGTATGCACAGTTAAACAGAACTGTCTTTAACCTGGTTTTAAACATTGTCAGAGAGGAGGCCTGTCTCACATCTTCAGAAAGACTGTTCCAGATTTTAGTAGCATAAAGCATAAAGGCATTCCTGTACTTGTTTGTGGTCTATGTTATTGTTGAGACCAGTGCCTGTTATTTAGAGCTTCTTTTTAAGGTTTTTCAGTCAATTAGTGGCAACTGGCAGGCCCCATAGAATTTTTTTTTGAGGGGATCTGAGAGAAATGACATCAGTGTATTGTTGCGCTCTTTGGGGACACGCAGTAGATGAAAGCGAGAAGAAAAACCTGCATCCAATTCTGGGTGTTTGTCTAATGTCCCCATGAACTGCCATCGCCACATGGTTAGAGCAAAAGGGGGAGCACTCTGATCTTATGGAAAACATCTCGCTACAACTCTGCCATTGGGAATCAAAAGTCAAAAGGCAGACCTTTATAAATACATGGAAACATAGACAAAGGCATAGTCTTATGGTTATTGAGGTAGGACAGCGGCATTTAATAAGAGACATTGGAATCTTTGGTGTTTGGAAGAATTGGTGCGAACAGATAAGCCAGAAGGAATAAAACACTGGCCTTGTCAAGGAGGAAAACTTGCATGTTTGTACTGAACATGGTGCCAACTCAAACAGTTGTTTTACATCTTTAAATAAATGGAGAAACATTTACAAAATCAACAGTGCCTGACAGGACTGCCATCAATTCATTAGTCAAAGAAGACAAACGCGAACACTTGCAAAACTTCCCTTTGAAACTTATTGCATTTTGTTCTCGCGGGAGGCAGAAGTGAAGATGATTTAGTGCAGTTGGACAAAGAGGGAGAGTGTTTTTGAGAGTTACCTGGTCCTTGCTTCCCAAGGAGTGCTTTGTCAGCAGAGGTCTGTATTGTATGGAGTAAGAAGTGTTGTTGACCAAAACCGTCCTGTCCTCGATGTGAAGGATTTGGATGCCGTGTCTTACAACTGAAGACACACACAACTGGCAGAGCTTGAAGAAAAGAGACAAAAGGACAAATCCAAATGAATAATAAAACTGAAAAAAATCTTGTCACCAGGGAAAGTTTTAAGGAATGTTTAAATTTGTGCCTTAATCAACTGCATATGTTGAAAAACAAACAATGCAAATGCTATTGTTCCTAAACTTAATTCTTAAAAGGATTACATGAAGTTTTGACATTAACAATTGTTGCACTTATTAACAACAGATGGTATTGACGTGCAAGAAATATGTTTCCAAAACAAACAGATTAGGAAAAATATGAACTGACACATGGATTTATATTTCCTTATAGAGGTTCTTTTCTGTCTCACAAAATCATGGTTCATCTGATGATGGGAACTGGAGCTAAATAAGACTCCAGACCGATTATCTCTGACTATATCACTCTAGCCACTACCAAACACTGAGTTTAAATCTGATTTTACAAAAAGCTGGTGTCATTGTAACTGTAATGTTGCTTGTTTGAGTCATGTAACTGACCGGGAGCCAACTTGTCGTATTTATCTTCAAAAATATGTATTAATCAAATAAGTGACTAAATGCAATTCTACAAGTGGGGGTTCTGTGACCCACAATATGGGAACTGTTCAGGCAGAGTCTGAGAAATCTTGAATTCTGTTTCTGTACCTTTTGCTTTCCGGAGAACGCTCCAATTGTGATGTCTGCCCCCACAAAGCCCTCCTCGTCCAGTGTGACCACCTCTGAGCTCAGACCCTCTTTCCACCGCGGAGACGTCACATCGTGCACCAGTTTGAGGGCAGTGGATTTGTGGACAGTGTTTGTGTTGGCCCAATAGATGCCAATCTGAAAGGCCTCCTGGACAAAGAGGAAACAGAGATGATTAATACATTAGAAAGAGGAAAGACATCAAAAGCAGAGTGTTGTAGTCATATACAGTTACTAAACCAAATTAATGATATTTAAAGAAATATAATCAAACAAACTTACTAGTTGCCTTTCTTTCCTAAAGATAGATTGATCATTTAATCTAATTAACCAGATTTATGTGCACTCCCATAAATATGCAGACCATTGAACCAGTGGTCATTGAAGATTTTTTTTTTTTTTTGTATTTAAAAACAACTTTTGTGATTTCTTTTCTACAAATGTACCATTCATGAGTTTCATCTTCCCCCATTGCATTGAAAAAAAAAAGAATGACAAACACCATATTTTAAAATATTTACATTTAAATCTTCTACTTGTATTTTACAGAGATGTGCATGCTTGCATTCCCCACATGTGCACAACTCAAATATTTTGTCCCTAACTACATTATAGACTTGACTGACTAGACTAGATGTTTTTTGTTCATAAACTGTTAAAATAAGTAAAAAGGCAATGTAACCCATGGAGTATGGTAAAGACACATACTGCTATTCAGGTTCAGTTCTTTTCTCCAAACTGAGTGAGTCCAGTGTGTTGTTTACACACATTAGTCACTTGAACCACCGAAAAAGGCTTGGAGCTGTGCATTGAGAATCTATAAATAAATTCTAAATGTTACCAATGGGGACATACCACATTTATGACATACACTGGTATTTGTGTATGTTTATTTTAAAAAGGTTTCCCAGATTGTGCTTTGACAGACAGATCAGACCCATCTTAGTGTTAGATGTATCAATAGACCTTGACCTTCAGTCGATACATAACATTTGCAGCAGTCCTGGCTAAGGCATTGGCCTGGTCAAAAGAACATAGCTTAGGTGCCCTACAAATGCTCGACTGATAATTGCATGGTATTTCTGTTCAGTGAGGTTTGACAGTCCTGCCCCATAAACCCATCAGATGCTAGTCCTCTTTTGACGTGCCATGATAAATAGCAGGCACCGTGGAAACAATGCTTTATTTGTTTCCATTTTACAATTGACACTGCTTGTTATGCGGTATGCTTTGTGCTGGACCATATCTGCACTTGTTCTTTGATATGTTGCCTCTTTTACTTAGTGAAAGAAAAAAAGAAATGTGTTTGCTATGTTCCCTAAAACAGGAGGGGGAAAAAAAAACATCTGGAGACCTCTTCTTCTGATCTCCAAAGTGAACGAGGAGACATGCCTACAATACTCAGTGACAGAGTTTGGCTGCAGATGAAGACCAAGATTGCTGTTCTGGAGAATGAGCTCAGAGTCTGTCCTTATTAGACAACTCTGAAAATAGCTTTAGATTAATGCTAGCGTCACATCAAAAGGTTTCTCGTACGGGCTGAAATATATTTTTAAGTGCAAAGGCAATTAACAATTAGGGCACAGGAAAAATGAGAATAAATGAGGCGACTTTTATGGCCATGAGATTAGCAGAGAATGTAAGCAATTATACCACTGTGGGAGAATTACAGTACATGGGTAGTTTGGCGAATGATGACAATACAAATAGCAACAAATTAGCCAACGACTTAATGAGTTTAAGTTCATGTACAGATAACAGATGACAGTCATATGTTGTTTAATCATTTTAAGTCGATGCTTATGTCTGTTTATAATGTTGAGGGCTATTACAGAAGGGAAGTTGAATTTTTTTCTAATGGCATCGACTTGATAGTTTGATATGCTAAGGTTAAAGCATTCATCTCAATCTTGTATTCAAACAACAGGCATTATTTTAGACCCTAAACAGTTCTACAAGTGATCATCTTACTATAAGGTGATAAAGGGTAAGGGAGAGCAATGTATTCCACTGTATAATAAAAAATGATAATAATGCACTTTTCAGGACACTCAAAGACGCTTCACATGTCCTTATTATTTCATTAGATACATGGTGGTGGTAAACCCCTATTGTAGCCACAGCTGCCCTGGGGCCTGCCACTGACAGAGGCGAGGCAACCCGTATGTACCATCGGCCCCTCCAAGCATCACAAACCATTCACAAACCCACACCAGACTCATTCAAAGGTTGCTTGTATCTAACGCATGTGAACTTTTTACCTTAAGGTTTGGAGGCACTATGACCTTCCCCGCTGGTATCTGCAGTATGATCGTCTCCCCCTCAAATAGCCACAGGTCCCATTGGGAGTGGTTTGCCAGCAGAGCCCATGGCAGCAGCTCTACAAGCAAAGTGTTCAGACAAGGCTTCCAGCAGGACAGCTTCACCTGCATGGGACTGTCCCACTGAGTGAGGGACTCTGACACAGCCCTGGGAAACAAGAGCAACACAAGCAATCAGCGCCTTTACATCAAGATTCAAGCTACCAGATAATGACTGTTAGAAATATAAGTTGTTGTAGACAGCCTTAAAAACAGCAAGAAACATCCAAACTGCTGGGGGTCAAAGGCCAGATATAACTCGTGTTGCCCCCTGGGGACAGGGCTTATTTTGTGGCTGGACCAAAGCTCAAGACCCTCCCTCATTGGAGTGTTTTAAGACCCACTTATATTCGTAGTGTCTTGTATTGTAGATCAGTCACATTAAGTTCTCAATCAGTAAGAACTCAGGGATCATCTGGATCATCTTGGGACAGAAAGGGCGTACAACATCGCACTACATGTTCTTTATTCAACCAATTCCCTGACACAGCATTACATTTTGAGTAATCGCGTGTTTGTGCATCTAAAACTGGACCAGAGCAGCATCAAAGGACGTTGAAAAAGAAAAATGTTTTTGTAAGTGGTTGCTGAGTAGTACTGATGAAGGAACATGGACCAGGCATTTAATAGCAGTAATGATTGAAGTGAAAATTGTTGGCAACTTGACCAATCCATGAATGTTTTGCTACAAGTCCAACAACACTTTCTAACTCCAAAATGGGACCCAATATAATAGTGGTAATAGTAGCTCTTTGCAGTTTATTTTGTTTGTGTAGTTATTCAAATTGGACTTTGCCGTTAAAAGTGCGGGTAGCCGAGTGAGAGCTCATAAATCACATCACACAGCTCACAAAACGGTAATTGAAAGAAATGGGGCTTCTGTCAGAACTGCCAGCTCTTAGCCGAGGGCAAAAGAGGTGTGAATTTGGCATTTTCACACACTTGAGTTTACTCTGAGCCCAACAGCTATGAGCGGTTTGTGTAATGATATATTACAAAACAACAGAAAGAAAAATAACATTTACCACTTTCAACTTCCTCTGCCCTTTAAAGGCCAATTATTTACTCACTCCAGTTCTCGCTCTCTGTTGTACTGATAAATAAAAACAAACATTATATCTAAAAGAAACTGTATCAGCGATCTTGCAGATACTGGTGAAAACACTTAATACACATATTAGTCCAAGGCTGAAGTGCATTTAGTTGTGGGGTGCGGGCCGTCTTTTGAGACGCACTGTGCGGGCCGGTCAAGAAGTCCTCATTCCATTGCTGGGTGGGTCACGGGGCGAGTTTTGAAATTAGTCTCACATCGTCACGATAGCAATGTCGTGTGTGTCTTAAGATTGAGATGGAATGTGTGAAGCACCGTGAAGAAGAGAAATAGTTCATTGATCCCCGTAGGAGAAATTCAGGTGTCCAGTAGCAGCAGAAACACATCCATCCACACAAACAAAATAAATAGATAATTAAAAAAGTAGCTATCAATAGTATTAAAATGCATCAACACTCTAGATCACAGCAGCACAGGTGGTGCAGCCAATTGGTTCGGACCATTTTCTCTGCTCTGAGTAAAATGCAGGATGCTTTGAAAGCATTTTTCAAGAAATTTGCAATCCTCCAGAGGATTTCTGCTTGATCTGCTTGGTTCGGTCCTTGAGTCCTCTCTAGTCTGATCTGTATCAATGTTAAACTATGAACCCTGTACTGCAGTAACATCTCAGGTAGAAAAAAGCAAGAAAAAAAACTTGTAAATTTGTAAAGCACAAAACAGGAACTGTTTCAAAGCTACTCAAGAGTAAACCACTGATATACTGTATAAATTACTATTATAATAATACCACAAATACGAGTTGCAATGTAATGAAAAATATTCCCTCTCAATCAATTGCGGGGCCATTATAAAAATTGCAGGGCAGGTTGGGGTGGGTGTGGGCCAGAGAATGTCAGAGAAACAGGATTAGGGTTAGAATATAAAATAGTTTCACTAGAGTTTTTGTATTATAATCACTACAATTATTCCCTCAGTATTCCCAAGTTTGTGGCACAATGTCCTCCTCCCACAGTGCAAACATTGTTTACAGTCTGTCGTTGGTGGATCAGTTCTGGACTATTCAGAAGGGGGCACTCCAGAGCCAGTTCTCTCCTCTCACTACAGCAGAGTCGAGAGAGTCCAGGCCTGCTCACCTCAGCCATCTCCAACCCAGCCTTGAGCCGAGCAATATAGTGGACACAAGCAATTGTAGAAAACCTTTAGCAATGTTAAAAATAACTAAACCAAACACTAAAATAAAGTTGTATGTGATTTTGTCACTCTTTGTTCCCCCCTACAGCATCAACTTCCAAAGCTATATTTGTGTTGTGTGTGTGTGGTAGCACTAATACATAGAGGTGATACAAATTCAGGCTACTGTAAGTGCTGCAGTGAGCAGAAAAACACTCAACCGCAGTCAGACACATGTCCAGCAGATCCACTCACTCTGTCTGAGCCTGCAGAGAGCAACGAGACGCCGATGTATTCAAGATGTTTATTTGATTGCCGTGTGACAAGAGATATGGTTCCTAGAGTGACATGTGTGGACAGGATTTTATATAAGCGCTTGGGAGAAGGGAGATGACCACATGCACTTGCTTTTCTTTAGTATTCTTGTGTCTTGGGAGGATAACATAAATATGTTAATACATACAATTATTAAATCACTTTTTTGCAGAGGTTGGTTTTCTGCAAAAAGTGAACTATGGGTCTATGGTAGTTCACTCCTGTAGCCTATAGTAGGAGGAGATGGAGTAGACACTAATGCACAAAGAGGACGTGGAGTTCTTCATTATAACTGTATAAGTACTATCCACACATTTTGTGTATTGTTTTGACATATTTATTGGATGTGTATTTCAGTGATAGCATTTCACTGCATGATCCAGATTTTATGCTTAGGCCGACTCAAGGCCTTCAAGGCCGATTGAATACATTTGTTATTAATGTGTCATATTTTTTAAAGCCTTCAAAAACATGCATACAGTAAGTTGCAGTATTTGTTTATCACACTGTGTTTCTGTTAATGTTGAACAGCAAGATTTAAAGTAATCTTAACAATATCTTAAATATTAAGTCACACTTTTATAGAAGGTGGAATAAAATCACTTTAATTTCTACAACATTAAATTCAGGGACTGCAGATGGACACTATTTTCTGATGCAGAACAGATATGTCTCTATAAGCTTAATGTCTCGGTACACTGTCCCTTTAATAAAGATTAAAGAACAAATAGAACTGAAGAGGAATCTGTTTATCCTTGAAGGACCTCAGTTACCACAGTTTGAGAAACATTTTATTAATGCTTTCATGAGATACTGAATTTGTGTGACCTATTTGCCTGTTAAAAGATGTGCTCAAGATGTGCCAAATTTTAACTGGAAGCAAGGCCTGAGTTGTGTGAGAAAGAGGGCCATCACACAGTGACAGACTAAATCTCCGGTCTGTGGGGACAGCGGCGGTCGTCTGAAGCACAGCACAGCATTGTTAGCGGAGTTAACCGTTTTATGATGAGAACAAAGGCTGTGCAAAGACAAGAAGCCTCTGTCATTAAAGACATATTGCACAACTCTGTGTGAGACCGACAATAGAACCCAAACAGAGAGGGATCTGAAAGCAATGTCCAAACAACACCACAGAAGTATATGAACATGCGCTACAGAACACATCCTGAATTATTGCAGGATTTCAGCTTGGAGGGATTTAGTACAAAACACTTGTTATCCGGCCTGATAGTTGGGGCAAACCCAAAAACTATTGAGAGAAAAAAATAATGTCTCAAATGGATGGATTAATACTAAAATTATCATTCTTACATTAATAACTAAATCAATATAACAGATAAGCGGTATATTTGAATTAAAACCCACTAAAACCATACCTGTCACTGTCTTTGGAGATGTAGGGCCATTGCAGCTCAGAGGATGCCTTTGCTCCATAGAAATCATTTAGGATGAGATCAACGTTGGCCTGACTTTGCGTTTTGTTCATTATCTGTTTGATCAGGCTTGTGGAGATCGGCACAGCACAATTTGATGCGTCTTCATCTTCCCTACAAAAACAAAACAAAAAACATGATATTAATTCAACTTGAGCACATAGTAAAACACATGCTTGTTTGTTGCATCCATATCAACAGCTGGAAGCATTTATTTAAACAGTCTCAACTTAGTACCATATAATACTATCATGTGAGCCTTCATTTTCCCATTGTTCTTGTATTTCTGCATTGCGACCTCTGTTAAAACAGTCAAATCACATTCTGTCTCTTGTTGACTTGCAGCTCAGCCTTTCAAACTCACATTTATTTAGGAGTATTTCATTTCAGTAGTGAATCTTGCAGACAGACAGTGGTGGTAGGAAAACTATAACAGAACACAAACAAATAGCAATAGCCTCTTGATTTCTTTGGGACGTGTCCGGTTTAAACGACAGTCTGTCTATTGTTAGATCTATTGTCACAAAAAGTGTTGAGCTCTGGTTTATAGGGGAAGACAAAGTGGGGAGACTTGGTGTTGACAAGATCAGCTTTCATGACAAAATGTTACAAGGGGGATATAGATGTTAGGGCTATCTTCTTCCCATTGTGGTGACGAGAATGAAACAGGCAGGACATTGGTTAGGCCTAGTTCGGTCTCCGGTTATGATCTGTACCTTGTTGATTAGAAGCCACAAGAATTCCAAATTACAAGGGGGGGAAGATGAGATGCAGACCAAAACATCCTCACAATTTTAGTTTTGGGGGACTTATGTCTGCAGAACAAATACTAAAGGTGCAGTTTTACAGTTGTGGCCTTTTCCGCTGGAAGGGATGAGGGATGGATTGAGTTCGAGGGGACATTTGAGTTTATGTGGTTTAGTTATAGTGGTTTAGACAGGGGGGCACATTCTAAACACTAGAAGCTTTGTGGTTACCAGCAGAAAGACAAGATACTTTTGAGTTTGCCTTCGGAGCGTACGAAAGGATTTATCTACAAAAACATCGACTAAAAATATTCCCAGTGTACAGTATATCACACTGCGGTTTCTTTAGAGCAGATGAAATGAAAACAAACTTTGTGACCAGATATCTAAACAAAAAATGCTATGTTAAAAATTGTGGGGATTCAGATGTGCGTTTACTCTGTTCACTACTAGCTGCTACCAATACAGCAATTTTTCTTCCACAGATTATGCAAAAAAAAGAAAAAAAAAACAGGATTACAATTGCAGCGAAAACAACAATCATGCAAGAGTTTTTCCATCGGTGCCACCCAAGCCGAAAATACCAATTGCCACTTCAAGGCTGTCAAACTGGAGAACCTGCTATGTAGACACCAAAGTTACACTAAACAAGAGGTAAGCTTTGAACAGGACAACACTAAACACTGGTTGTTAATGGCTCTTTATGGCCAAACAGATGTAAAACTGCAAGACATGCAAACAAGAGAAATAAAACATTGAAAAAATGTATAGTGTCAGATATCTGTGCAGTGCCCAAAATAAATAAATGCATTTGAATATGTCCTGAAGAATATATGGTTGTTTTATGTAGACTTTGTGTGATTCACTGGGAAGTGAGGTTGAAGTTGTGCCCTTAAATGCCCCATCATTTATGATGAATGCTTTTCCTTCAGTGAGGGATCAAATGAGGTAAGTGACTATTAAATCCATTGTGATACATATCATAGGGAAGATATTTTAAACCTCTTTATATTAGTTGCTATAGAAAAATCACAGTAGGTTATGTCAGGTTGTTTCCATGGGTGTAAAATTAGGTGTTAGCCAGAACAGTTTCTGCACTGGCAGTATTTCAAGGGAGCCTGGTCATAGTGGTATTGCTATGTTACAGTGGGTCTGTCTTTTTGGTTCAAAACTCTTCATTTTAGTCTTAAGAAATGAATTTAACAATGCTCCATCAGACCAGTGTGGTGTTATCTCATATCTTGAATTGTACCTAAAGCCCAAACCTGAGCAAGTTATGGCCCAAAATATCTGGCCGGTGGACCCATCCCAGCTGCTAATGTGCCAGCCCCAAGGCAGCTGTGATTGCTGTAATAAAGTACAATGTAAATTAATAAAGTGTCTTTGAATTTTCAAAACAGTGGTATATAAAACTCATGCATCATTCATATTTTCAGCTGTAGTAAAGCACCACCTCTAAATACATTTCACATTGAAACTAATTAAGTGCCTTGACATGACACAGCCGTCAGTCCACCCTGTATCTCATCGCCATTTAAAAACATTATGAAATGGACAGAAGACAAATTTCCGAAGCCGTGGTGGTTGTAGTTCGGCGCCCGGAGACCCATCTCTGATCCATCTATTGCTTGATTAGGACTATCAGAGCAAACTCCACTAAGAAAGGCCCCTTCTCAACCAGTATTTCAATAGTTACTTGAGAAATCTTTTCAAGCCTTCAGTGCATCTCCTGCTATTGTAAATGGACACAGCTACTGCATAAAGCACATTTCAACTGCCTCAAGGTGTCATTGTCTGTTAAATCTGTTTCTGAAGGACATGATGCACATATACCTGACCTGTGTGCAAACACTCCTCAGACACTACTGTATGTAACATCCTAATATTTAGGAGCGGCAAATTCTGAGGAAGACTATGATGAAGTGGTGACTGTCACACTTCTCCTGGCGAGCCCTGGGGTCCTAGGACGGCTACAGAGAAGACCACACACAGATAAGACACATGTGGCATGCGGCATTACTCATCAGCCCGCCCATGCAAACATGTACGCCATCACAGATAAATACTTCCAATACGGGCCAAAACCTGCTTTCTGTTAGACCCGGTATCTAAATGAGTGCAATTATGGTTCTGATGTGACATGATGGAAATGGAGCTGGTTTGTAGCCGCTGCCAATTTGACTTCCTTTTGCTTAAATATCACTCCCTGCTGTCGTCATATTGAGTCAGACAAAATGGAGTGGGTGAGTCTTAAGTAAGTGTCTTTTACCATCTGGCAAAATATATGCATAAAATGTCATAGCAGAAGACACGTGTCAGGGTTTTATGGTAAAATGAGCTGTTTGACAATGAGATAATGTAGCAGGCACTAGAAAGTAATCGGATTTGTCACAGTTATGAGAAATGTCAAGTGTACAAGTAACAAACTGGCAAGAGTTTTTAGAGACCGGTTTTGTCTCAAAGTCAAGCTGTCAACATTTGATTGAAGAAGAAGAATTGGTTATTGCGTTATCCAGTGTTAAAGATTTCCATTATGCATTGAGTGTATTGTGCGTGTATATTTACATCCTTTATTAAAGTTGTATCCAAACATATTTCTCTTATTGAGACAACAGCATATGTTTGGAGTATTTACCTGGCTTGGAAAGTAAGGTGGTGTGTCTGGTCAGCCTCCGTGTTCAGCAGTGGCTCTTGGTGACCCTGCCCCAGGATCAGCTGACTCTCCCGCAGCCCCAGACTCCTCTTCTCCACATGGACGATCACCGGGTCAGGCAGGTGGCTCCGCATCACAAACAGCGGACTGAACACCACCTTGAAAACACAGTGAAAACATGTAGACGTTAGAAAGAGAAGTGCTTTTTTTCTCCTTTACACTTACCACTCTCTGCTGCGTGTGTGTATCAGGTTCAAGGGTGACCAGGGTGCACCAGATGTATAGTAAGGAGCCACTGGAACAAGGCACCTGCAAATTGGATCTACAATTAAAACTGAGAATGACAGAATGAAAAAAAAAAAAAACTGTCTAGATATCCAACATGGAGAGTCAATGATACTCTCAAACGGACTGAAAAAGGGAAAGAAAACACCAACTCATTGGGAGCATGTTTATAGCCTCCACCAGTAACGCATTATCATGTATTGTACAGTACGTTTCTTGGCTTCTTTTGTTTGTAAAAATTTGAACACTGAGTCATATGTCAGAACGAAGCAAACTGAAGAGTGCTAATGCCAGATCTGAGACCACTTGGGCTAGTAAAATCTTTGTGAGGTTTAATGGCTGGGAATGTACCCATAGGACCAAGACTTTTATTGTGTCATTGGTGTTTTCTCCTCGCTCCTCATTAAAGGCCAAAAGAGGCCAAAGACCATTACTAATGGCTCTGTTTTATGACGTACAGGGGATTTCACTGTTAGGAACAACAACATTCTGAGGATAGTGGCACAAGCAAAACAGCCATGTTAGACATGGGAGGGTCCAATATTGGCAGTATCTATTGTCACCATAATACAGAAAATTCGGTGAGGTAGGCATTTCACAGATGTCCAGATGATAGGAGCAGTAAGCCACCCCCAAACAAAAATGAGTGTTAAGGCCTTCTTTAAATTTTGACTTGTATCTTTTGTCTATGTTTACATTACACTTCCACAACCTGTAGTCTGTCCAGTTTCCCCGGGGGCCTCCTCCCACTGCCTCAAGCCCAAAGCATAAGGAACATCAGGGGAGCATCCAGGAGGCAAAAAATCAAATATTGGTTTATGACTATGAGAAGGATTTTAAAATAGGACTTTTACTATGACTATTGTTTGATTTACTGACTGCAAACTAAACCATGTTATCGCTGGAATCAAAGCAACCATTGCATATTCCATCCTAATCCAAGTTGTGTTGTCAGTGTGGACTATGAACATATCTTCGATGGGCCTGAAAGTGGGTCACATTGACCTTGCTTTTAAGACAAGGGGGAGCAGTGTTTTGTGGGAGGAAGGTGTGATACAGGAGGAACTTCAGATGGATTATGGGACATTACAGACAGATTTGGACAGGGGAGTGATTCAGACCATGTAGCAGGTGGTTGAGCAGAGTGCCAGAAGGGTAAAGTAAATACTGAAGAGGAGTTAACTATAGCAAGACGGATGAGGCAGTGGGAGCAGGCGTGCGGGAGGAAACTGGAGAGTGAAATAGCAGTGAAAGACAGAGATAGAGAGATCTAAGCACTCAGCTACTCCACAAGGCAGCTCTCTCATAATGAGCCAAACTCCACATGTGAAATGTGAAGGGAACAGCTAACAGACGGAGCTAGAGGAGAAGCAGCACACACGCTGGAGCTGGAGTTCAGACCAGATCCACAAAGACACGAATGCTGAGACGGTTCAAGGAACTGGAACAAAGTCTTGGTATTAATGTAAGTCCAGTGAATGAGAGATTTTAACTTAACCCAGATAAAGTTGATATTAAAACAAGGACAAACATGGAGTATGTTATCCGAAAACTGGTTTGTTTCATTAACATGAATGTCATTTACTGATTTTAGATAGATAGTAACCATCTTAGATAGTTTTAGTAACCATCTTTGAAGAAAAGCGAAACATGACACCTTTAATAAACTTGTTTATACAATGAGAAGACTTGCCTCTCCAAAGGTTACATGCTTGTTTTCAAAAATGTAAGTTTCACGACAAACTGTATAAATATATACAGCATAAACAACAACCTTTGGATGACCCCAAGCAAAAAGCGGTAAGAAAGCGGTGAGAAATATTCAGAATCATCACAGTTGGTCCATAGCTTTTGATCAATTACTCAATGAAGTTCTAAAATTAGATATCAAGTTGTAATATAATGATATGAAACTCTAGTGTTACTGAAGACAGAAGCTGGGGAAGTGAAGGGCCTTGTGTTAACAGCATGGGCTCATATCTGAATAAAAACAGAAATACTTTGCCGGGATACAATAATATTGCCAAGGCCAGGAACAGCAGGAGGAAGAGATGGAGTGACTGTTTGGCTCTATACCAGCGGTGTGAAAGTGGCTTCAAAGGATCTCGACGTGCCCACATATCAGCTAGAATTTCCTGTCCATGGTTAGTTTTGTTATGAGAGAGCATAAACTGTATTTTTTGCCTATCAACATCTTTCTGGTTCAGGGTTAGAAAGTGTGGGGCCTTTGGTGAGCCATATTGGAAGGACAGAACTTAAAAAGGAGAGTAGAAGCAGTAGGGAAGACGTGCCACCATGACCACCCAGGAGGAGCCCAGGCAACTTGTCCCAGTTGGTGGTCCTGTCCCAGGCTTCAAACGAGCAGAGCTCGTGGTGTTTGCATCGTGTCTATTTATGTTTCTGTGTTGGAACGCTTTCATGATTTTGAATATTGATCAATTAGAACCAGTTTCCTAAAACAGTGGAGCAAAAATACCTTACAAGTAAAACAACTGCTGTCACACTTCAGTTTTGGGTTGGTCCAAATTTTCTATTCAAATCTACCATACATGGCAAGAAGCTAGAATTACCAAGAAGAGAGACATTTTTTGTTTTCATATATTTAGTGATACGTTTTCAAATTGTGTTTATTGTAAACATTTTAAAGCAAGGGTACCTAACTTTCAAACCACAATTCATGGCTCTCAAAACACATTGTTAAAAAACATAGTTTTCAGATACATGTATTTTTGGCCTCTGCCACATCATTAGATCAGCTTTTCCAGAGAGCAAAGTGAAAAAAAGCATATCATCCTCACTCAGCTCTCAGCCCAAAGTGTCAAATAGAGACTCACATGGATCACTCTTAGAACAATGCGGAAGATAATAAAATATAAATAAATACATATAATAATAAATAAAATAACTCTTTTCTGTTAGGACAAAACAAAATGAATTATTGATATAAAAAAAGTTAAGTGCCCCAGCTTTAAAGTACCTGGGTACTATCCATCAAGTCGACAAATCGATCCCTCTAAGGAGTTTTATAAACAATATAGCAAGCACCAAAAGTCATTGCATTATGGATTGAATGTAATTTATCAAAGAAACACTGTTGATCCGATGATATGGATATAAAAAGTGGCGTCATGTTACCTGAACCACCGAGCTGGAGGTGGTCTTGTCCCTCCTCTCAAGCTGCACGTCTTGGGACCAGTCCTCGTCCCCTTTGGCTCGAAGACACAGCTCAGTCATCTCTGCATCCTCCAGCACATACGAGGGCAGCTTCCCCCCGGCCTCCAGACAGTCACAGTGCTCCTTCACCACTGTCTGACTGTCGGAGCCCACGTAATGCTGCACCACTCTCAGCTCAATGTCCTGACTCAGATAACTGCACATCACCTGTCTGCCGCAGATGATTACCTTTGAGACAGAGCAAAAACATGAAACATTAAGTCATGGGGAATGAGGGATAACGTCGACTAGAGCCAGCATGTCAAACTCAAGCTCGTGGGCCAAATCGGGCCCTCAGGACAATTTTTATTGGCTTAAAACAACATTCAATTATCATTTATAACTTGCTGCATTGGTGGTTATGGGTCTACCAAGCTATGTTATACATCATCTATTCCCACAGGAAAACAACCAAATTGAATGTATTCTAAAATGTTAACCCAACACATCATTAATAGTTACATAGTTAAATATAAAACAATGTGTTTAACTGTACATTTGATCCAGTTTTGGTTAAATCTAATCAATAAACACATTTTGTTTTAAGTAATAATTTAAGAAGGAAATCCCTTCTATTCTGCCTTCCCCAACCAGTCCCCCTTTTTTCAGCCCCTGACCAAAGTTATTTTGTCATCCCTGGACTAGAGCCATGATAAACGCAAATTTAATCCGCAATGAATGCTACTGGTATTATAGAAGAGACTGAGTAAAGATTTTTGAGAGTAAAATCAACTGCGTGTTGCACTGGATTAAGAAACCACATGCGAACCACAAATAATGACCGATGTTTTCCTCTGCTTAGCATGTTTGTGCCACTGGTTGAACGGAGCAAGCAGCATTTGTAACTTTATATAAATATAGACAGACTTTTGTGTTTAGAGAAAATAAAACCACATTGTTTTTTTCCAATATGAAATAAGATCATAACAAACATTAAATTGTGTCTATAATTTTGTTTTAAGTGGTTTGAAAGTTTAAAGTAAAGACAGCAGTGACATGTTGGGGAACGGCTTGCAGTGGTAATGTGGCAGTGACAGTGGCAAAAATGACTTGTTACAGACACAACATCGGATTTGTTCATAGAAAAAAAGGCTGTCTAATTAATTTTACATTCTGAAGTTTCAGTAAAGCAGGCTCCATGCTTTTTGAAAGTCTCAAGACAACTAGTTCCATCTTTAAAATGCTTTTGAAGAGACTGAATCTACTGCTTCCTGACAACAATAAGAAATGAGAAGTTGGTAATAAGTAAGTGATAGATGTGATTTAGTGTTCTTAGTGATTTCTCGACTGTGGTGTTATTCAAGTCAATATAAAACAAAAAGGAAACAGCTTATTCTGAGCAACACAATGGCTTAAAGTATTTTATAAAAGAACATTTTTAAAGAGCTACTTAGCCAACTACCACTGACCAATGTTACAGCCTGTTTTTGAATCAAATCTGTCTTCTGAAGGTTTAAAGCTCTGAGGCTGTTTCATATCAAATGCTTTGTGTGTGACATACGAGTGCTCTTCTTTTCATTTCCAAAGGTCACACTCAATCTCCATATTTTCTGACATGTCTCTGCTGATATAAACCACAAAAATGGCTGGTATATAGCACTTTCTGATGCATGCAAAGCCACGCTCAGTCACGCCACAGATTCAAAAGACTGGCACTTTAAAAGGACTTTTGTTTCCCTGGTAAATGTATGGCTGATGCACTGGAGCAGGCTGTGCGTGTGCTCTGTGCTTGGACTGTGGTCATGATAATAATCTTCAATTGAAGTGTTTGCTCAGAAAGACATGCATGCCTAATCTCTTCATCTGTCAGTTTCTGTCCCAACTGCACACAACACAGGCGCAGATGCAGAAGCGGAAACAAAGAAAACAAACACATTTTCTGCTCTGTCAAAAACGCCTATGGCAACTTAACGTGGCAAATTATTAAGACAAATGTTTCAGGAAAAAATTAGATAGCGTAAAAAAGGACAGTAACATATGCCCATGTGAGATGCACAGTATCAATGACATTAATTTGAAAAGATAGCGGACAATTAAGAGATATCATTAATTCGTCCCACAGTGGAGAAATGTCAGTGTTGCATTACCAGTTACAGAACAGTAGGAATGAGTAGCACACAGCACAAAAACTAGTATACAATCTCTACCTTTGGCATAATAAGAATCAAGTATAAAGTACTGTATATTCTAGCGCAAGTAATATATAGTTGTGTTTACATCTGTACATGTTAGCAGCATGAGGGGCTGGGACAAAGTGACTAAGTAGAGCAACAGTGGACACATGTGGTTCTATATTGCACATTCTGACATTATTAAAGATCTTATTGCACATAAGAGTAATTAAAGTAAAATGACAGTGACACATGTGGTTCTAAATTGCACATTCTGACATTATTAAAGATCTTATTGCACAGAAGAGTAATTAAAGTAAAGTGACAGTGACACATGTGGTTCTATATTGTACATTCTCACATATACTACAAATAAACTACATTAACTGTAAAACTACAAAAAGTATGTTCTTTGCTGGTGCAATCTAAAGACATCTATGAGACTGCTATGAGACTACATCTGACGACATCACAAAAGCACAATGTGTATACAAGACCTAAGATGGAACAAGGAAGTCATATGAGTGTTCCACTCTGTTTTGTCTGAGGTACAAAGAAAAAACAAAAAGCACCACACCATTTACATAACAATCTGCCACCACTGCAATCTCATGTAAACATAAAAAACACAAGAGAATACTATAAACATGACTGAAACCTGTGTTATTGGTGTTAAACGGATTGTTTTTGATTTGCTTTGGAGATTGAAAGTTTGAGTTTGCAGAGCTATAAAACAGATACAGAAACAAAACAACAGCATCATAAAAGGAGATTTAGAGGTGCTTATCCCAAAATGTCTGAGAAAAAAAGGCCAGACATAGACAAGTGACACATCATAGTGGCACCAAAGACAAAATGTAGCAAATCAGCTTCTGGTTTTGGTAAAATCGCAACCACTTTAAAGATTTGTTGCAGGTTTAGCGTAAGTGGTACCAGACTAACGCGTTATTATAATGCGTGTATATATGACACGCACATGGACTTTCAATGGAAGATTAGTTATACAGCTTTCACTTTGGCTTTACATCAAGACAAACATAAACAGAAGCAGCCTCTGCTTTTAAAATGGACACCAGATTCAGCATGGTTCAGCAAAAACTCTGAGTATTAGGTGATAGATATCTCAAATGTATAAAATTAGAACTGACTGGACCCATTAGATAACACAAATATTTATTATTCACCACACTACGGTGAATTACACTATTCACCACATTGTTTAGTGGCACGGTGCTGCCGCGGTTCGGGTTTGTGCTTTACAGCAAGAAGGTCCTTGGTCAATTCCCGGTCCAGACAGGCCCTGATGTGGTGTTTGCATGTGAGCCCTGTGTCTGTAAAGGTTCCCTCCAAGTGTTCCAGTTTACCCGAAGCTACGGTAAAAAACATGTACAATGGATATGAAAGTAACGAGTGAGTGAACAGATGGTGATGGTCAGAGGGTCCAGTGAGCCAGATGTTCGGCGTAAAAAACCCTTTGAGTGACCTTGGTCTGTCTGTGATATACTGTTCTATACTGTATATATAAGGATTATTTATACAGTGTTAATCTTAGGAAGCTTTGTAAAATCTTGAGCCACTTGTACCTGTCTCTGCACCCCGGTGAGCTGCTGGATCTTAATGATGAGTGAAGCGGTGCGGCCTTTGTACTGGATAGTCCTCAGCAAAGTGCCCACGTTGTCAATGCTGAAGGCCTCGGACCAGCGCCAGTTTCCCCAGCCCTCGATACAGATGTGAAGCAGCTGTGGGCACATACACACATACAGACATTGGTCATTTTTGTCTTTATTTATCCTCCATGCAAGAGCAAACTAAACAACTAGACTGTGTTTAGAGGAGGCGGGTAGTAAAGAGATGCGGTTCCTGTTTAGTGGTAAGCTGGCTGCATGTTGGATGGACAAACGGTGGTCCGCATTCAGTGGAAAAAAGCTGATGTGGAAGCCGCTTACAAATGTATGGTAACTTGGAAGGGTCTGTTCTTGATGTATGTAAATAAGAAGGGGGGAAGAGTTTGGAGTCTTTGAGCAACAGAGAGTGTTTGGCAGTAAACACGTTGACCGACGCAGACACAGTACCCATGTGGGAAAGTGGGTTCAAATTATGCAACAACCCATTAGTCATGTAGAAGAGGATATTCGGTGATAACTTTAACCTTGACATAAAATGGCTTTGCACGTCATCCTAGGCTAATCACAGGCAAAGCTGAAGAAGGAAAAAAACTAAAACACTATTCTAACTAAATATAAAACAGTCAAATAAGGGACAGATGTGTTTGCAAGATAAGATTCAACCAAAAGTTTTCAGGCCATGTTCAGGATAACATTACACCCCTGATATTACTGATTGAGTGAAGAGTATATGAAGAGAATTAAGTAAAATATACAACTACAGAAAAATGTAAAATGTCTATAAAAAGATCTGCGTGTTTGTACTGAAAAAACAACAACAACATTCAACTATTTTTGCATGGTGAAAAGACTGTCAAAACAATGGTTAATGGCTACAGTCTAAAACATCACAGAGCGTTGGAGAATAGAGGGATAGAAGTGGTCAGGGGTCCTTTGAGCATATACAAGCTGTAGTGAGGTCACCGTCTGCTTCTCTGAATGGGACGCCGCTCTCAATGACGAGCAAACTCATTTGTCAAACAATGAATGTGTAGTCATGAGATTATGGTCACAATACAGGAGCCATATCATAAATACAAGGAGAGATCTGAGCCTTTGTCCCCCTCCTGAGGCGCCCCATGTGACCCTAAAGCTGTCTGAACTCTGTGGTCGCTGACAAAAACCCAAACTTGTAACAAAGGAGGAACATGAGAAAGACAAAGAATGCTTGTGAGTGATCAATGGAGAAGAGAGGATAGAGTTTGAGACATTCCCAGAGGAGGAATGACTAAAATCAGACGCATGCTAAGTATTTCTGATGATTTACACTTAGTTTCATCACCGAGTGCTGAGCGTTTAGCCAATCTCTTAAAAGAAAAACAAATTACTGCAGGGTCAGAGGGCGCATGGGGACCCTGGTCAGAACCTGGGATGTTGCTCCACGCTGTACATTCTCCTCACTGTTTGAAGGCATATTTCTTTACAATAACAATTTCAATCAGAGCCCGAATAGCTGGCTTTAAGGCGGGTCCTGCGGGCTGTCGAGTGAGTGGAAGTGACATAATTTCTCAGATCTACTCCCTCCTGAATTTACAAACATAGAAAAGTGACAAAGCACAGTCAACAGTCAGGTGAAAAGGTTATACTTAGGCCCTGAGGCTGGAGGGCTGTTATATGACAAGCACTTTTGTTTTTATTAGGCTTGTTTGGGTCATAATGGGTTTTTAGAGGAAAATACATGGATTGTTTTAAGCAGCGTCATTAAAAAGTTCAAAACAAAAAAATTAACATAAGATCTTATATTAACATATTATTTGTATAATACTCTAATATATTGTGTGTTTTTGGTTTGTGTCATTAGTCAAACAATGACATCCTTGTTGTTTATCTGTGTCGACAGTGAACCTTTAGTGTCACTATGCATTGAATACAAACAACTCTTTTCAGGAAGAATTATTCGTGCTTCAATCCAGATGAACACTTAAAAATACTTAAATGAGAGTTAGTTTATTGACAAAAGGCAGTAGGTTTCTGCACATTCACAGAACTGTCCTCTCACTCGGCAACAAGGGCAACACCTCCTCACTTTTTGTTGGAAGTGGATGCCTCCTGGACTTTAGGATTGTTTGAATCCATCAGTGCGAGTTAAACATCATCACGTTTTATTTCAACTAGAAATAAAACGTGATTCTTTAGATATTTTCTGGATAAACTTTAGTTAAACCCGATGCCAACAGCCCATGCTCCTTATGCCTGAATCGATTTGTTTATTCAACACTTGGTTCTGTTTTAACCCTGGTGCCCCTTGCTCTCCCTCTCCCATCACTCGACCATGCCTGTGGCTCAACTTGACCTTTAGGGAGAAGTCATAATAGCCTCTCTCCTCAAACTTCAAACAGGGAAAGACTTTTTGTTTAAATTCATCATTTCTCTGAGTCAAGCAAAAGGAGAGCACAAACATACAAGTAGTGACGCAGATGAACGAGACACGTAGAGTGACAAGAATGAAAATTAGGTCCATCACTGTTTTGGGCACAATGAATGGACAGTCAGTATCGTGCCGTTCTTTCAGGAAACTCCTGAATCATCAATTACACTGGTTTGTACCAAGAACATAAATAAATCAAGTTTGCATTGCATACTTGGTTATTATTCAAGGGCTTCAAGCCTCAGGCTTGCAACAAAACCATAATCCCATCTGCTTTCTAATTTGGAGACCTAACCTCAGAAGCCAAAGTGACGAAATGCCCCCAAAGGACTTGCACAAGAGAGAAGCACGAAATGTTCTTATAGTACATACAGTATAATGGAAGCATACTTCCATTCCATAGTGTGTTGCCGCTACGACCAAATACACAACACATCTGGTAATCCTAATGCAAAGCTCTATAACGTACAAAGAGAGCATTAAGGATGACAATGGAATCACACAAACGAATCCATCAGAGGCTTGTATTTGTGAAAAAGTTATTTTTGTTTGTTTAATTTTTCACATTTGCAGAAGCTTAGCTCACTCCATACCAAAATATTAAAATTAATATGCAAATTGCACTTCTGATTTATGAAACAAGAATTTATTTGATTAGACAAAACAAATTCATGTTGCTCTTAATCAATTATCAGCACAAATGTAGCTCTTTAAGCGACTACAGTTTTGTTGTTAATTTGTTAGCATATTTAATTGAAAGATATGTTTAATTTTGTTCACATGTTGTAAATATGTTTTAACACAGAGATGCATAATGAACATAAAAAAAACAATAAAGTTGTAATAACAATTGACAGTTTCAATGCAATTTAAAAATAGGCACACACAGTTTTATAATTAGAATTTGAGAGAAGTCATACTAATAGTTTTGTTAAAGGGGGGAATAAATTATAGCAGCACAATCCTCAGAGGGAAAAAATATCCATAATATCTTCTTGACAGAAATCATTTTGATCTACTCTTACAGTATTTTCCATTATTGTTCTTGCCAGGACGCCATTTTAAACTCCTTTAAGTCGTTCAACATAATATTAAATCTTTGATCAGGGTTCTCCTCTTTTAGATCCTGAGGCAAAACCGTGATTAGAGCTGGCTGTCGATGAGGGCTTTGAGTCCAGGACTGAAGCAAGTTCCAGCTCTGTACCACAACGCGCTGCTCTGGGATCATTAGAGAGCTGGTAAAAACACATGACAATAACAGTCTGATCCAGCACTGCATGTTTACCATCTGCTAAGTGTTCACTGATAACTTGACTGAGGGCCATCCCGCTTTCTCCACTTCCAAGAATAACAAGATGCTTAAGTTTTGTTATGTAAGATTTTTTTGTAGCTTGATAGCATAATGACATTAACTGCACACAATCAAATGCACATGAGCCCATGTCGTTCCAAAACATAAGAAAGATAATATCATAAATATCTTCACCGAGCAATCTCCACACTGATGTCTCCTCGGCAGTGACCGGTTTCAGTGAGAAAACAAACAAGCCATCCTCTCATTATTGGCAGCAGTAAATGTATGGTACTTTATTGCAACATTATTGGTCTAGGGCTACAATTGATGTTTATTTAGATAATCAATTCATCTTGCGATTATTCAATAGTTTAGAAAGCTGAGCTCTCATTCCTTTGAGAAAGTTCTGGATTAAGTACGAATTGTACATTGTAAATGTACATTGTTTAAGAAACAATGTACATTTCTCTCAACTGAAATAAAATCATCATCAAGCAAAATGTTTTCAAGTACCAATTCTCTCTGTTGGAAAAAAAAATATTTATATATATTCTAAATAAATAAATAAATAGTAACAGAAGTTGAACACAGTAGGTCAAAGCAAGGTAGAGATAATCAATCAAAATGATCAAAACAATCTCTCCATGTAGATATCCAATAAAAATACTGTTATGACACAAGTTCTAATGAGCGGAGAGGTAAAAAAAAGAGCTTAATGAGAATGGTACATTTGAAGACGAAACTGTTAAACTTGTTTTGCAGTCAGAAGCAAAAGGAATATTTCACAGTAGAAGGAAGAATGGTTTCAATTTGATTCCAACAAATTCTGAAAGCTAACTTGACACCATCTGTGAGAAAGTTGACGTCATAAACAGGATGGGTTCTTCCAATGGGTAATCATCCCAAACACAACTCAAAATGCACAAAGGATGACATCAAGAGGCACAGGATGAAAGTTCTTGCATTTGTCTTCAATAACATTGAAAATCTGTGGATTGACCACAAAAGATGCATAAAAGCAGATATTCAGCAGTAAGAATGCACAGAAATTCCTCAAACTAGAAGTGAGAATCTCCAAGAAATGTGTTCATAGCATTGATACTTCGAGGGGCGCAATAGGTTTCAACTCTGTACGGTGTCAACACTTGCTCTGACCGCCCCCCTTTGAGTCCCCAACTTTTTCACCACGCTGAATACATGGCTCTATAATAATAACTGGATAGGGTATTACTAGCTTATAGCGGTCCCACCTATGGGCACAGGGGGCGCCCATGGCACTGCAGACTAAATTCATGAAGGCTACCCAGAAAAAAGTCCCACAGAACTCGATGTAAATTAAAAAAGCTCGACCTCAGCTGACAGAGAGCCTTCATAAACAGACAGAGAGCTTTCATAAAGATCCCTTGTTTCCCT